ACCTGCCCAGCATTGATTGGGCAGACACTTGCCCCTTTTCTTCTGGAAGGTACTCCTTGACAATGATATCCAGCATCAGCTGCTCAAGTTCCCCATCCAATGTAGTGGGAACATGTAACCTCTTTTATCACTTTAGTGCATTGTTGACCTTTTCCTTTGCTGGATGGTTTTGCTTGATTTTAAAAATCTGTAAATGGCTCCCTTTTACTCACCACACAGCCTGTATGTTTCTTGTAGAGCTTACTCTCTACTGGGGTCATTAAAATACAGCATTTGCATACATTTACCTATACTGTGCAGGGTTGTTTTACCCAGGGCAGTTTGCTGCCAGCTTTCAATGGAAAATGTTTTCAGCTACTGCCTTTTTTTTTTTTTTGGCAGTGACCCCTTTAAAATTTAGTGATCTATGGCCTGATAGTTCGTAAGAAAAAACTTATCATTGTTAGGGTTTTTCTTTGTGGTTGATGCTACTTTTTCTATCTGTAAGTATTTGGGAACCTTCCAAAAAGGTTTGTTGAAAAAGAACTCTTACTGTTGCTGACTTGTACATGAGGATATTGTTTGAAATTTTCCATGTACAACCAATACCTCTATTCCCGTTGCGGGCTTTTCGTGATTTCGTGATTCAGCAAAATTGCTACACAAAGCTAAGTTGGTTGGTCCATTTGGCACTTAGAAGAAAATAAAGAATGACAAGAGTCCTTGTAAATGGGAAAGTGTGACATAGTCTTCAGTTTATCAGACATTTCCTCACTTCCATACCTCCCTAGAAGTTTGCTTTAAAGGAAAAATAGCAAAGGTTTTTTGGGCATGGTAAACATACTTTGTCACTGTTTCATACTTCCAAACTTAAAAAGAGCTAGCTTAGCAAACAGTGTATAAACTCTTTATATTATAGCCAGGGTGGACATGGCTTCTTACTGCATTTCGGATTGAAGAGTAGTTTTCAGTAAAACTTGGCCCGTCAAACCACCTCGGGTCTTGGTCAATGAAACGACATTGGCTTTTGACATGCGTTGAGAATACATTTAGCTTAAAGCTTTTCCGGCTCAAAGAGGGAGACACAGAGGAGTTTCAAGTACTTCCATGGTCTGTTATTCCAGATGTTGAAGAATTCATTCCTTGGTCATTAAGCGTCTCTCACACAGAACATTTTAGCATCATTTATTTCTAATTGGAGGTATTTCTTAAAGCCACGATAAAATTTTTCGTTTTTCTGTTCTTCGATTTTAAAGTTTTTAAAAGAATTGGACGGCACCAATAGAGTGGCGTTGGGAAAACAATAAAAAGAATCCTACGTTCTATGACTTTTTTCGCTAGGTAAGAAAAGTTATCTGTTCTAATTTTATCGTCTGTCCTCAGGTATTGTTCCACTTCAAAACGTTAAATGAGCCGGCTACCATCCAGAGGCTTTGTAGCGTTTTACACAAGAGTACAGGAGAAATCCTACAAAAGAAACCCAGGTAAGAAAGCCCATGTAAATCACCACAAGGAAAGGTAATCCCTATAACAAGAAAGTCAATTACCAATAAGTGCACAGTGCTTATTGACATTCTCACGTGGATGCTGCCAATATCAAAGAAATGACCCGTTGACACTATTTGCAGTTGTTAGTGTGACTGAGGGTTTGTTGTATACCCCTCGTATGCCTCTCGTATACCCCTCGTATACCCCTCGTATGCCCCTCTTACATTCCCATATTACTTCCCCCTCCTCCAATTTAAAATTTCATATTCTTGGTTGAAATGTCACTTGGCTTGATGAAACGTTTTAGATGGCAAATATAGGTTGTTTATATTTTTATCGCCAGCACGGAAATTGTCAAACATTCACACGAAAAGAACCCCATATTCGAACTTAACCAAAACCGAAGCAATCCCGAGTTACTGTGTACACTCAATTTAAACTTGTTCTACTGTTTTCTCATCATGTCTCCTTACCTCTTCAGATGTTTAACAAAGAATTCAAATGCGGAGGTTGTACTTCACACCTACAAACCCGTTTGTGTTGAATTATACAAAGACTACAAAGATCTTGGAAGATTTATGTTGCGCTACAGCGGTGAAACCATAGCCGTGGGTAGGTTAAAGCCTTGAAATCTTCTTTACTTTAATACATTCAACCCTTTCTGGTGGTAATACTTTAGGCTATTTTCTTGTGTCCTTAAATAAAGATTGGTAATCTTTCAAACGAACAGAAATGAACGCTGTGTTGAAAAGGTTTTTTTTTTTTTACAAGAATAGCTTTCACTAGTTACGGGTGATTTTGAAGAATTGGCGTGTATTACGTGATAAGTTCAACCCTTGTTCCATCCCCAAAATGTGTTAACAGTGTCATAGTCAGTGCCTCTTCTCCCCTTAACTCTTTTACTTCCAGAAGTGATTAACATACAACTTCTCCCTCTGATATCAATTCATTATTCAGCAAACAGGTAATGAGAATACACAAACTTATCAGGTACAAGTTGTTATCTTGATCTAACACCAAATTCTGTTTACTAGTCTACAAGAAAAATGTATAGCAGCTAGATAGGAGAATTAACAATCAGATCTTGGGAGTTAAAGGGTTAACGAGCCCAAAAGTTGCATGCAATGATTCTTATAAATTAAAACCTGACTGTGTCGTTCAAACTACTCAGTATGGCGTCCATTGTGTATTTCTTGCTTGTGTTTCCACAGATTTTATAAAACGAAGCTTTACAAGCAAGTATCTTCCTACAATAACCTTGCAAAAAACTGGAAAAAGTCAATGCTCCAGGAAATGGACTGGATGGACACATACTGCTTAAAAAGATGATAATATGGACCATGTGCAAAGCTGTCAATAGACCTTTTTACAGTTCCCAGCGCCATATTGGACATGCAACTGTGCTGTGAAAGTCGAGATGGGTCTCAGTTTTGTGTTTGATTGATTGAGAGGGTAGCGACTGAATCTTCCGGAGAATTCACAGGGCGATATAGAGCTAAACCAATGTGACTAAGAGGTACTTTAGGAGTGCTTCTTGTAACTCTTAATGGGCAAAACAAGTTAAGTTTAATTAAGCGTCAAATGAATATCCGAGTTTTTGGATAATAATTGTAACCCACATTATAATTTCTCTAGAACCGACGCGATCATTCATTTTCTTACCACACCAAGTGATTAAAGGCACTCGTTTCTGTTTTGGTGTAAACGGAAACTGTTGAATTTGATCGATGTAATCCGAGTAGTCGAAGTCTAACTGTCGTCGACTTCTTCAGGGAGTTTTGCAAGTTAAGACTAAACTAAAACCGTGGCCTCCAAATATTTTCTCACCTTGCATAAAAATTTTCACAATTTTTCACAACTTTGCCTGTTCCTGTTCGTAAGTCCAACTATATAAGTCGATATTTTCGATAAAACGAACCCTCGATATAACGAACGAGTTTCCCCAGTCTCTTGGCACTTCGTTCAATTGAGGTTCCACTGTATCTTAGTCTTCTAAGAGTTCAGTACAAGGATGGAAATGCAGTTACCACTTCGTTTTCCATACGGTCATGAATAACTGTTACAGAGTAACATTTACGTCCCGTAAGACCATCCTCGCCAACAGCGCATTTAAACCTCCTTTTTAACTTTCGTCTGTTTGGATAACTTTTATCGTCTTTCTCCAAATCTGGATGTAACAGAGTCGCCATGCAAAGTACTCTAATTTCCCTGAGGTCTTTACTGTAAAAAACACCTTTACCCTTTTTCTTAGGGTACATGTGGTATTTGGCGATATGTACCCAATTTCGCCTCCTTATCCAATTTTCGGAACGTAAGTTTCCTCTTGATATTGAACGTTTTCGTGGAGCCCGCCTCCGTTGAATTCGTCTCTTTTCCATAAGCATGTCGATGTGGAGGCTCTTGTTCCTGTCTTCCGCCTGCACGCTGCCCTTGCCGAGCCGGTATTTCTGATTTGTTGTTCTCGTCTCTCTTCCAGCTTGCCCACGTATGCGGACTTGGCTTAGGATGTTGTTGCACTTCATTTAAATCAAAGGGCCTCAAGCTAAAATATTTTTATCAATAATTATTTTCGTCTTTTTAAACCTAAAATATGATATATTCCTGATATATTTCGGGTATATTTCTGATATCAGTATATTTCTGATATATATATATTTCCTTATATATCACAAAAAAACGCTAAAACTGGTTTCTCTTACCTTGGTATAGTTCTTGAATTTCCTGATAATGGACGTTTTTATGTTTTTAAAGTTGTCTAAGACGTTAAAGTCGTCTCGACGACTTTTAACGTCTCTAGCATAAAAACGGCCAATCCATCGTTCCTGTCAGCTTCCAAAATCGGTGTCCACCAAACTTCCATTAGCTTCTCTGGCCCTTCGAAAAACCCTTGGTTTTCGGAAAGCACTATATAACATCGTCCTAAACCAGATGAGCCCACGACATATCAGCGGCATCTTGTATGAGTATCCGCAGGTTACAACGTGACTTCCGCTTATTCTTGTTAAAGCGTATTTTACAGTGTACTCATGGAATAGGAAGTGCGTTTGAGCCAGTTTCTGGCAGATTTGAACAGAAAAGCGGGTCTTTTGTTGGAGTGTAATGACATTTTGATCGATGGCGCTGTTAACGAAATGTTTGGCTGGTTCGTAAGTTGTCGACCTGGTTTCGGTCGATCTGATTAATTGGCAACACCTCTTGGAAATCCTACACACCATCGACCTAAGCCTCATAGCTGCCAAGTGAGCAGAAGAACAATGACATCAAGATACTCGAGAAAGATAAGTATTAATTTTAATTGCATTTGTGTTAAACTTATATGTACAGAAATTTCTGAAGAGGTACTTAATCAGAAGTTTATCACATGATAAGCCTTCAAACTTGTATTAAATAAATTGATGTACATATTTCACAATTTTAAGATGATTGTGTGATGACAATACACCGACGGTCAACATTCGAATATTCAGCTTGAGCTTCCTCCTAAATGTTAAGTATTTCAATTGAACTTGTAGAATATAACCTATGGATTAAATGTGGGTCTATAAGTATCATCCATGAAATTCTTACAGGCAATTTTCATCATGATATTAAAGCACCACAAACTCAAGAACAAGGAAAAATAATTGGTTCAATATGAGAAAATTTTTTCCGAATTTGGTCAACAGCAGCTGGTTATGATGAAATATGTGAGTGGTTTTAACCTTTCAGAAACAGGGAAATATTTTGAATGAATAATAATGCAAATTATACCAACATTACTATCAGCATCAGTAATAGTTACAGAATGTTATAATTACAGAGTACTGAACACTGTATTTTTTAAGAAAATCCATTTAAAAAGTCCATGACAGCATTCCATTAAAACAGTGCCAGTGCAAATCCCTCTCTGATAAAATTGTGATATTATAGTCTTGACATTGAGTTTGAGGAATGAGTGCCAGTGTAGCTAAAAGAAGCTCTACATGTAGTACATTTTAGTGGTCTTTTGTTGTGATGTATAATCTTTATTCATTCTTTATATATATTCGACATGACAGTGGAAGCAGCACAGTCTACAGTAGACTGATGATCTGTGTGAAGTTAAGTCACCTTAAATTCCCCACCAAACTTCAGTTTCCTGATTCCAAAAAAAATTTAATTGATGGCCAAGTACTTACCCTCCCCATGGGGTGAAATAAGTGATCCGTAGGTTTAGGAAGTAATATGTAAATACGCTCCTCTATAGCTATTGTTTGCTTCTTTTCTGACTCTAGGGATGTTCTCAGAAATTTTGACATTGTCTCCCTTCTACTCTTTGTGTTCTCTGAAATCTAACGATACAATGTTTTAATTAAAATAATATTTGAAAAATTGGTTTCTAAAATATTCACTCTGTTTCCATTTCAGGTAAATTTGTTTCAATTCTGCACAACGAAATGTCCAGGTTGTCTTATCATATGTCCACTTCACCTACATGTAACACAAGGCCCATTAGGATTAAGCGCCCTTTATTAGGCTAGTGATCATTCATGTTAATGGTAGTGCCCCCTGAACCCTTATTCAATAATTAAAATAAACTGACATTATTTTCAGGATACTTGATTATTTTCCTTAGGTGGATCTTTGCTGGACAGTCACATTTCTTCGTATCCTGTACTATAAAGCGCTGTTTGGTGTTGTTATAGCAGTGATCAGCATTCTCCTTCTGAAACCAAATAGATTTATTGGATTGTTAGATAGAGCAGTCATATGGGAATAGTTAAGTTATCAATAAACTTAGAAGTAATGAAAAGTATCCTTTAAAATAGTACTTGATTCCTACCTTGTAAACTGCAGTCACAGTGGTCCTTTTTTGCGACTTTGCTTATTTTAACAAATAAAATGTGATATGTCCTTTTACTTGCAAGTGGTAAAAAAGAAAACATTATTGCCTGCTATTAGCCCTGAGGGAGAGTTGAGTGCTCACCAACTTGCTTAGAAAAATCAGTTGGGACTTACCACCTAGTTAGCTTAAGAGCAAATAGGTGAAGGTAAATCAATAACTATGTAATGCCCTATATATGATATCCTCTTTGGGAGTCCTTAAGTAATAATATCATCTTGTTTACATTCTTATTTAGTTAACTATTATGCATGCTTACATCTTTTTGTAGTCTCTTTTGAGCCTCCTTCCTTTTGAGTGCCTTATTTCTGTCTGGCCCATTTTGGCATTGTAAAACTTTGACCCCCACAATTTGGAATGGGATGCCATCAAAACTTAGTCTGCATCCTGTCATCTCCTGTGAGTCAGCCCATTGTATACGGTGGTTCTTAGCATTTTTATCTGCATTTTCTTTTATGTGAGAAGAGGAACCAAGCTAAGTTAGCAATACGATACTTTTACACAAACACATACGTACATATGTACACATGGGTGCTTAAAATGGAGGGCCTCAAAATCAAGCCTGCCCCACCCAGATGTAGCCCAAGGACTGGTGTAATGGATGGGGATGCTGGCAGCTGTGTGTCAATAGCACTGAGTAGGGTTTTGACACTTTAAACTTGATCTTAATTAATTAAGCATTTCTTGCCAACTCTTGCTGCAGGCTCACAGTAAATTGACACTTGAAGCTAAGTTTAATTTTAATTACATGTTAATTTTGAAAGTCTAACTGACCAGTGTAAACCGAAGAATAATGATGAGTACATGTATTCTTAAGATATCAATAATTATTGGAAAAAAGTTAAATCCCTTTTTTTATTTTGATTTATCTATATTTCATGTTAGTAACACGATCTCACACGCCCCTGGCTTTAAATACCTATAGTGTCTAAATAAAGTTATACTTCACTTTACTTTACTGTCAGTATGGTTTATTTTGTAAATCTTTACATGTGAGCTTACTTACCCAGCCTACTGCAATTTGAAAATCCTCCTGTTTGTTTAAATACAGTGAAGCGTGTCGTCGTAGCTATCTCGTACTGTTTTATGAGTTCGTCAGCGCTGCTTTCATCGTTAACATACCCGGAATAAGGGTCAAACTGTACGGTCCATCTTGAAGCCCAAGGTGTACTGTTATCAGCCATGTTTGTTCTTCTACCAAACATTTAGATTTCCCGCCAATATTTACCCGCGAGCCGCAAAACATAAATGCATGAGTGTTAAATATTAACTGGACCACCCCTTGGCAAATATATTTATTAGTAGCAAATAAGATGTTGAACAAAAGCCAAGAGATCATGGTCAAATAAAACTTAAAGATAATTTATTACAAACAGAAAAGAACTGTATGTTTGTTCCAATCGAAAGATTTTACAGTGCAAAGTTATGCAAATGATCTTTGACCTGAATCTGCTTTTGGTCGATGATAGCGAGGTCAGAGGATAACATCGACCGAAACTATTGGGCCGGTCATATTTAAGTGTCGATCCTCCTTTTAACGCCTTTATAACAGGCTAGATTTTTTCTTAAATATGTGATCTAGACAGAAATTAGTTTGTACAAGTTATGGGAAGAATACTTTCGCAATAAAATATTGAAGAATACGACGCTTTATCGTCAGTCACACAGGTCACGGTGTCTTGATTCGCCGGAAACGAGCAGAAACATAGAAGACACTCGCTACGATTCCGCTGACGTGTCATGGGCTCATCTGGTTTGGGACGATGATATGTATTGCCTTAGGGGTGTTGTCAATTAATCAGATCGACCGAAACCAGGTCGACAACTTACGAACCAGCCAAACATTTCGTTAACAGCGCCATCGATCAAAATGTCATTACACTCCAACAAAAGACCCGCTTTTCTGTTCAAATCTGCCAGAAACTGGCTCAAACGCACTTCCTATTCCATGAGTACACTGTAAAATACGCTTAACAAGAATAAGCGGAAGTCACGTTGTAACCTGCGGATACTCATACAAGATGCCGCTGATATGTCGTGGGCTCATCTGGTTTAGGACGATGTTATATAGTGCTTTCCTTGGTTTTCACGTGACGTCACAGCATATGCAAATTAGGCGTCCGCCATATTGGAAAACTGAACATTTGCTTTAATTGGTCCCAAGCCTCCGTATTACTCACCTGACATGCGCAGGGCAATTAAATATGCAAAGGGCGCCAAAGTTAAAAATGGCGGCTAACAGAGTGAAGCGGGAGCGTAAGACTCCGAAGAGATTTATTGACGAATTCGCAGAAGCTAAGACCAAGCAATGCAAGAAAATAAAAACTACGGATAAGAATATTTATCCTGTAGAGATAATACAGGTCGACAAAGCGAGAAACATGGTCAAAATTCATTTCAAAGGGTACAGCGAGAAATTTGACGAATGGAGGCCATGCGATGAACATAATTTGCCCGTAATGCGATTGGAACCGATGTCAAAACCAACCGATGATTCCTTCAGCGATCGCCTGCAAAATTTTTATGAACGCGTTTATAGGGAGATCAAGCGAAAGTTGTACTCCGGGCGCAGAGAGGATCCAGAAGTTCGTATTGAAATTCAAGTCGATGACGACGTTTTCTATAAAAGTCTTGGAAGGATTTCATCCAAAAAATATCAGAGGAATAAACTAATATATGAAATTCTTTCAAATGAAACTCTGGATTGTTATATCGGCACAAAGTGGAATGAGCGGATCATGAATGAAAACGGCGATTTTGCTTATGTTGTACCAGGAACTGTGAGATTTTGGTTGACAAAAAGAAACCCCATAGTGGAATTTAAATTAATTGGCGATAAATACGTGAGATCTGAAATCGAAGACGGGCATCAACTCGTTTTTACATTTGTCCGTGGAGATGGCAACAGATGTGGATACAAAAGTATGGTCCATCATTAATATATTTGATTTAGCACATGTTTATTGATTTTGATCGTTGATGTCAAAGAATTATTTTACTTGCATGTGAATTACCTTCATAAAATGTAAACATGTGGTTATAAATTACCCATATATTTCAGTCTGTGATTCTGTTGTAATCAATGCAGTAACATTTTTGAAAAAGACTCCTTGAATGCTGTATACAAGAAACATTTCACAGGCATAGCAAATTATTCTACTCAACTTCTACTAACAGTTTTTTAATAATACACTCCTTTAATACATTGATATATTATATGATTAATGATTGATTAAATCACATCTTGGCCTCCATTTACCATCTATTTTAACAAGATGTGCACAGAAAGTGGGAGCATCACATTTGCTGCATTTTGCAGTACATGTTTTGATGGTATGGCCAGAAGTTGAACAGTTTCCACAGTTGTAACTTTCCTTCACCCTTTCCAAACCAGCAGCTTCCAAAAGCTGTATTCTGTGTTTTTTCAAGAAAAGTTGCTTTAGAGCAGAAACCCCTCTATGATTAGATGATCTAAAGTAGTCCTTTGATACAGTGTCATTGTACTTCTCCATACCTTGCTGAGTGTAATAAGATAAATTTTGGTAGAGCTTTAAAAATTCAGGTACATGAGCATACAAAGAATGCATATATGGTGTTACATCTTTTGCTTGGTAAAGGTCTAAGAATTTTTGAAACCATTATTTGATTTTGTCTTTGAGGCTAGAGATAGCATCATCTGTAGTGTAATTAAGTTTAAGATCACCCATAATATCTATGAAATTATCCCAAAGGGCTTGCAGCTTGTCCACATTATGAAACTCTGGTAATAGTAAGTGAAAATTGATATGTTGGAAAAGCAAGAGTTTTTCAGGTCCAGTAAGGTCTCTGTACTCCAACTTCTTGCTGTCCCTATTAATTTTCCATTCAAAATTAATTCCAAGTTCTTTTACAAATTTCTCATACCCAGCCATATGTCTATACTTATTTCGACAAAACCCATTTGAAAAAGTAGATACCTTGTCAATGGCATCTTTCCTGCGAAGTTCCCTGATCAGAAGTTCAATTAAATTATCCGATATTCTCAAAAATAAATGTAGAGTATCAATTATTACATGGTCTATGGGAATAAAATCAAATAATGGATTAGTTTTACAATTATATTGCTTATATTTTGCATACTTACCTATTTCTTGTAAATCTCTTGCCCCAAGAGATTTGTCAGTTATAGACCACTTTTTACTGATGTCAAACCTTTCATTTCTTGGGCACTTACACCAAATACAAGAGAAATTTTGATTAGCAGCCCCTAAACCACAAACACAGGCTAGAAACTTCCAGTCTCCTCCCAAAAAATACTCAATGCTATACTTATGACTATTTACAGTTATTTCTTTTAAATTTGACATTTCATTATTTAGATCAGCAAGGCTTTCTTTAAGATTGTCATAGTTCTCTGTTGTCTTAATTATTGCTAGAACATAGTTCCCTTTTTCATTCATTGCTGCATCCTTTTCATTCAAAATTGTGTATGTCACATTTTCAAGTTTAAGCCTTTTCCCAATGTTGGTACCATCACCACTGAGCTTTACTTTAATAGTAGTAACCTTGTCCAATACTCCATTTTTCTGCAGCCTTTTTATCTGTTCCTCAAGACTCTCCCTGAAAGAAATCTGTACTCCCTCTGCCTCCCCTGGTGTACTTCTCAGATTCCAATTGGCATTGAGCTTATCTAGGTGTTTGCATATTTTATATTTTGTGGGCATGTCTTTACACTTCATGGCCAACTCATGCCAAGCTTCATTAGATATATTGAATTTGTCCTTCAAGTAAACCCACATATTGATGTCATCAATATCATTGTCAGTCAGTTCTCTTGGCTCTGTTTCCAATTGTAACTCTCCCTCTTCTACCAATGAAATAGTTTCATATTGTTGAGTGTCATTATTAAATACCTCAACCTTGGTGGCAATAAAATTATAGAGGCCTAAAAATGACAGTGCTGAGTGGCAGTCTTCTTTAAATCCTCGCCTTAATCTTGCCTGATGTTGTTTGGTATAATCAGTGAAACGTTTGCTTTTGTTTGGACCTCTTTGTCCCTTTTTTTGCATTCTTGCTGCTTTTTTCGCTAATCTTTTGAATTTTTGTTTGTATTGTTCTTTTCTGTTTTCCGAATCCCTAATAACATCTTCAAGCTCCTGCTCAATTTTTAATCGCTTTGCCTGCTCTGCGGCTAAATCCAGTTCAGCCTTCCTTTTCTGCCCACGAAGCTGTTGGTTTTCCTCAATCAATGAGTTGTTTTCGAGCTCATGATAGAAAATTTTGAAGGAGTAGTTTTTTGCCTTCCACGCATCAATAAGCTTCTTTATACTTTTCCCCCCACTTTTTGACACTTTCTTGAACGCTGAGTGGAGGAGAGAAATCTTTTTCCTGAAGACGTTGAGAATTCTGGAATTTATAACAACTCCGCGAATCTCAGATTCCCTCAAAATTTTTCCACGATTCCCACAATCACAGAATCAACACTTTCGTCGTTCGGCTCTTGATCAGACTTCTTCGACAGGGAATATATGAGATAGCTGATTAAAAAAAAATCAGTTCGGTGAAAAAAATTGAAAAAAATTAAAAAGAAAAAAGAAACAGGTCGGAATACACTTCGATAAGCGAAATTTTTACTTACTTGTTTATTTCGTAAGTAAACCAAGGCAGTTTTTCCCCTTTTGGACCATTTGTTTCTTCGCCGAAATCGTTTTGTGCATCTACCGCCACCGCGAGAAGAGCCAGCGAAGAAAAAATCACCAGTGCGTAAACTTCGAGTCCCATTTCCCGAACCCAAACAATATCCAAACCTCATGTATTATACATCAAATTGCGCCAAATTTATTGTTTTTTTCGTATTTCGCGGTAATGACCAGTTATAGGCATGCGCTTTAGAGTTATAGCCCCAGACTCCATGGCCACTGCTTGAATGTGGCGTGAACCCCTCTTCGACATGTCTGAATCGCTAACCATAAGTCTCAAAAACCCGAACGAAATATTTTAATGATTGCCTTCAAATGCAGTGGTATAGAAAGCTAATGTACGTTAGTTTTAGAAACTGAAGGTAAGAAAGATAGCAATTCAAATGAAATACGCGAAAAAGGGGAAAATGTTCGAAAATTAGCGTGTTTTTGACGGACCTTAGACTGCGTGACATGTCACGAAAATCTATAGAGGCAGATGTTAAACGTAAGTTTGATATGACAAAAGCAAATAAAATTTAAGTTAAGGTTTCTCATTCGATCGGTCAGCATTAGATTCCATCCACCAAAACCACCTCGGTCGAGAGGGACTGAGATGGAATATTTAATGACTTGCACTTGCAAAACATAACCGAAGGTTCTCGGAAATCCGCAAGTGACGTAGCCGAACATCAAAATCTGTAAATCCCATGATTCTTGAGGAACAAACAGAAACAGCATAGCGAGAATTTTAACTTGAAGTCGCGAACCATTGATGGTAGACATGCAGATAATTTAGGATACGTAAATTCTGTTGATGAGGCGCATAAACTTATTGTGGAATTTGAAACAGGATTGACGACGAAGTTTTCTTTCTTTAAAGCTGTCAAAGGTTTCGGGAACACACATATATATTGATATAGCTCTTTAGCATTACAAAGCTTTGGTATCGCTATTGTGCATTCTCACTAGTTTATCTAGTTCAAGTCCTCTGGCATGGCTTGGATGATACCACAATTGTGGAATCATTCGGGTTAATTTAATGCTTACACCTCCTTCCTCGGACAGAAGTCACAAAAAACTGGGGGAAGATGCATGAGATATTTAAGGAGCAAAAATTCGTTTTTTACTGGTGTGCCTTTCCTAATTTTGGGAAGGAAAGTGTTCAATTGCCAGCACGGCATAGATAGAACAGCTGTAGAGAAAAGGAAACGAAAAGATGCAGAAGAAGTACTGTATATAATAATTTCTTTTTATCCTCAACCTTTGTGTTTCTGTCAACTATGGCTTGCTAATTCGAAAGGTCAAATACTTGAATGGGTCATATGACATTGATCTCAGAATACTTTTATGACAAACGTGATAACAGTTCAATCTTGGCTAAATTGAAGATGGTTTAGAAGTTAACAATTATAAGAACTTTTCACTAACATATGCTGCTGACAAAGAAGAAAATATATGCAACTCTGCATTTTTTGCTTTCTATCAAGCAATCATATGTTTGCTCCTTATCACGCTATGACACTTCCGTTTTGTCACATTCCAAAAAATAACTTGAGAAATACACTGTCACTCATCTTACACTGTTATATTTACCTATTACAGAAGGCTGGAAACAAAGATTTTGTTTTCAAGAAAATAAGATTTCTTGTCCAAGACACAAGGAAGTTTGACTGCAAAGCACATGGCATATGAGGGCAGTGTGCATGTATTTCCTAAGTGTCTGTTTGTGTACAGAGTGGCATCTTCAGGCACTATGTTTAATTTGATGGTGAGTAGAACAACTTAAAACTTGGTCTTTTATTGATCAAATACATCAGTGTCTACTCCCTGAGACTTCAAATACTCTTTTAAAACCTGCCCAGCATAGGTTGGTGGGACACCTGCCTTTCTTCTTCTTAATGGTATTCCAATGAAAATGACATCCAGTATCAGCTGCTCAAGTTCTCCATCCAATGTAATGGGAATGTGCAACCTCTGTTGACCCTTTCCTTTGCTGGATGGTTTTGCTTTATCTTAAACATCATCAAATGGCTCCCTTTTACCCACCACACAGCCTGTATGTTTCTTGTAGAGCTTACTCTCTACTGGGGTCATTAAAATACAGCATTTGTATTCATTAACCTATACTGTGCTGGGTTGTTTTTTTTTGTTTGTAGTTGATGTTGCTTTTTCTATCTGTAAGTATTTGGGAACCTTCCAAAAAGGTTTGTAGAAAAGAACTCTTACTTTTGCTGACATGTAGATGAGGATATTCTTTGAAATATTCCATGTACAGTCAATACCTCTCTTCCAGTTGGCAGCTTTTGTATGCCTTTTCTGACTCATTATTAGATCTTATTATTTTTTGTTATTTTTAGGCAAGGGAAATTGCATCCCATAACTAAACATGAGCAAATCAACTTGTCAATCCCTCTGTCAAATGATATCATGCCTCATTGTTTTAACTCATTCTTATTTTTCTTTCCTTTGGTTTTTTTTTGTACTTCATGAAATTTGTCAGACACCTGCAACTGAGCCTGGAAATTAGTACAATTTGTGCATGCAAATTATCTCTCCATCAAAAGGGTTGAAGGGAAGAATTTGATTTTGAAGTTCCTTGTTTTTCACCATTTTTTACTGCAAGCTTAAATAAGAACTCTGTTTATTACTTATCAAGTGATTTTTGATAAGTCCAAAGGGCAGGAATGTAATTTTAAAAACTGCTAGACCACCAACACCAGCAGTAATTTCTCCCTTCTGGATGTCTAAAATATTAAGTGAAATGTAGTGGATGCTGTGATCGAAGGAAAGAATGAAAAGACTACTTGAACAAAAAGGGGGTGTGATTGGTGCAATGTTATGTTTGTCAGTCTCTTTCATGCTTGCACACCTGTAGAAGCGTGGAACAAAGAGAAAAAAATGAGCAGGGTTTCGTGATTCAGCAAAATTACTGCACAAAGCTAAGTTTGTTAGTCCATTTGACACTTAGAAGAAAATAAAGAATGACGAGGGGTCTTTGAAAATAGGAAAGTGTGAGATAGTCTTCAGTTTATCAGACTTCCATACCTCTCTAGAAGTTTGCCTTTAAAGGAAAAATGGCAAAGGTTTTTTGGGCATGGTAAAATGCGACATACTTCGTCACTCTGTTCCATACTTCCAAACTTACAAAGAGTTTGCTTAGTATACAGTTTATAAACTCTTTATATTAGCAGAGCTTGCAGAGTGTAGCCCCATAATTATACAAAATAGGATTAACCCATCAAGCCAAAAAAAATTGGATGTACGACTGTACAACCGTACAACCATACAAGGTGCTACTTTTAACATGCGTGGTCAACTGTACCGTGGGCACGCCAATGCCACGGCTTTGTTCAGTAGTCCAGTGGTCAGTGCACTGGGCTCTGAGTTTGGGTTCTAGTCCTGGCCAGGGCAAGGCGTTTTGCCCTTGAGATGTGCAGGGAAAAAAAATGCAAGCTCCGCTTTCAGGCTTGGCTAAATCTATATATTATGGCCAGAGTGAACATGGCTTCTTACTGCATTTCGGATTGGAGAGTAGTTTTCTGTAAAACTTGGCCTATCAAACCACCTGGGGTCATGGTCAATGAACCAACATTGTTTTTTTGGAATACATTGAGATTATATTTTTAGCTTAAAGCTTTTCTGGCCCCAGAAAAAGCAGAGTTTCCAGAACTTCCATGGGCTATTATTCCTAATGTTGAAGAATTCATTCCTCAGCCATTGAGCGTTGCACATGCAGAATAGTTTGGCACTATTTCTAGTTGGAAGGATTTCTTAAGTTTTTAAAAGAATTAGATGGCACCAAGGTAATGGCTTTGGGAAAACAATGAAAAGAATCATGTTCTAAGACTTTTTTTTTGCTAGGTTAGGAAAGTTATCTGTTCTAATTTTATCGTCTGTCCTCAGGTATTGTTCCACTACAAAACGTTAAATGAACCAGCTACCATCCAGAGGCTTTGTAGCGTTTTACACAAGAGTACAGGAGAAATCCTACAAAAGAAACCCAGTTAAGAAAGCCCATGTAAGTCACCACAAGGAAAGGTAATCCCCATGGCGAGAAAATCAATGTTCCATTTAGTGCATAGTGCTTATTGACATTTTCACGTCGATTCCCATGTTGAAGGAATGAAGCTTTGATACTATTTGCAGTCATTTGCGTGACAGGGGGTTTGTTGTTTACCCTCGTATACCCCCCTTACACCCAGATATTACTCCCCCCTCAAATTTAAAATATCATACTCTTGGTATTAATGGCATTTGGCTTGATGAAACGTTTTAGAAAGCAAATGTAGGTTGTTTATGTTTTTATGGCCAGCATGAAAATCAGTTTTTTCAAACATTCACACAAAAAGAACCCCAGATTCATTTGTCTTTATAACCCAAGTTCAGTCCAGTATGGATGCTGGATGAATCCTGTTATTGACATGTTACTAAGTACTGTGATAAAGGATGTTTTTATCGGTACAGGTATGAAGTTACCGTGGGGTTGTGTAATTTGTTATATTATTATTTTTGCGAGTATTGTAAACTAATCACATACCGAGTTTAACCAAAACCAAGGCAATCCCGAGTTGCTTTCTACACTCAATTTCAACTTGTTCTACTGTTTTCTCATCATGTCTCCTTACTTCTTCAGATGTTTAACAAACAACTCAATGCGGAGGTTGTAATTCACACCCACAAACCCGTTTGTGTGGAATTATACAAAGACTACAAAGATCTTGGAAGATTTATGCTGCGCTACAGCGGTGAAACCACAGCCGCGGGCGTTGTGACCGAGGTAGGCCTAAAGCCATGAAATCTTTTTTACTTTAATACATTCAACCCTTTGTGGTGTTAATCGTTTAGGCTACTTACTTTTGTCCTTAAATAAAGATGGGTGATCTTTCAAACGAACAGAAATGAACGCTGTGTTGAAAAAGTTTTTTTTTTTTTACAAGAATAGCTTTCACTAGTTACGGATGACGTTTAGTAAATGACGTTTTTGAAGAATTGGCATGTATAACGTGAGAAGTTCAACCCTTGTTCCATCCCTAAAATGTGTTAACAGTGTCACAGTCAAGCCTCTTCTCCCCTTAACTCTTTTACTTCCAGAGGTGATTAACATATAACTTCTCCCTCTGACATGCATTTATTATTCAGCAAACAGGTAATGAGAATGCACAAACTTATCAGGTACAAGTTGTTATCTTGATCTAACACCAAATTCTGTTTACTAACCTACAAGAAAAATGTATAGCAGCTAGAAGGGAGAATTGACAATCAGATCTTGGGAGTTAAAGGGTTAACGAGCCCAAAAGTTGCATGTAATGATTCTTATAAATTAAAACCAGACTGTATCGTTCAAACTACACAGTATGGCGTCCATTGTGTGTTTCTTGCTTGTGTTTTCGCAGATTTTATAAAACAGAGCTTTGCGAGCAAGTATCATCCTCTGATAACCCTGCGAAAAAACTGGAAAAAGTCAATGCTCCAGGATATGGACTGGATTTCAGAACGCTCTGAATTATTTTACTGCTGTCCCAGAAATGAAATCTAAATGAATCGAAAAAGATTTTTAAAAAAGTGTTTGAGATCAAGGTTCATCGCTGTGCGGTGATATGTTCATAAAAGAGAATTATAAACGAAAAGAAATGTTTTGTCTTTTGCTTTTCTGTACTAAACTGAATATTGGCTGACGCAAATGTTCCGTGCGGAACAGTGTCTCCCCACCCAGATATCACAAGGAGTCAATGAGAGATTAGATTACGAGCAGGCCTTCATATTATTAGCGCTTCGGCACGCGCGGCTCCTCCCCCGCTAGTCAGGTTTAAGTCTTAACCCCTTAAACCCGTAGAGTGACTAACATCTAATTTCTCCTTAAAAATCACCCTTGAATTATGCGGTAAGGTCATAAGAATAAAGAAAATTATCAGCAGCCAAAGAAGTTGTTGATTGTTACAAAAATTCTCCTTCTCAGTACCTAAGAGAATGTATAGAGAACAGTATGGAAAATACCTTTACTGATGTTAGGGTGTAAAGGGTTCAGGAAGGCGAGGTAGCGGAAGAACTGTAATGGATTTGGCACTAATAATTATCTTTGCTAGACCCCTTGAAGACTTCTTTCTGGTTCTCGGAGTGCTTCTCCTAACTGTTATTAGACAAAACAAGTTAAGTTAAATTAAACGTCAAATGAATATCCGATTTTTTGGATAATGATTGCAACCCACACTATACTTTCTCCAAAACCGACGCAATCACTAATTTTCTTACAACGCCAAGTAATTAAAAGGCACTCGTTCCCGTCGCTCAAACGGAAACCGCCCAGTTTGATCTATGTGGTTTCAGTCGTAAAGACCTGAAAAGAATCAACATTTCCAGAGGTAAATCGCACTTGTTTTTCCCACTACCCATCTTTCCCATTTCTCGTACATCAAAATCACCTTTTTCCCTGGTTGGTCAAAAACCAACCGTTTATTGCACCTGTTAACCCATAAAAAATTGAAATGTGCCCGTGATGTACAAACGTATCTCGTGTTATCCTAACATCCCGCGTAGATTGTTACGTGTTACGCCGGCAAACCGATAGAAAGTGCGGTCTGTTGCTTACTTAATGTATTCCTTCATCAGTTTAAGAGTACTTCATCTACAGTACACTTGGTACTTTTAACTCTGATCTAATCTCTCAATTTAGGCTGTTAAGTTTGATCCTAGTTGACTTCAGATCAGTGCGAAGAGGCTTAGAAATTTTCATTTAAAAGAAATGAAAGTGGCACAACTTCTACTGCAACCAATAATAATAGTGATGAATTTATATATTATTTACGTTTAGATTAGTATTTGTCATTGTCTAAATTACATAATTTAATTGTAATTTATATATTTATTTATACAGTCATTTCAAGCTTATCTATTTATTTATGTATTATTAGTATTTATAATTATTAATATTAGGATATATTTTTAGATGTAAATTTATTATAGTGTAAAGTAGATAACAGGTCCACATCGGCAATAGCTGCCATCTATTCAACCTGCTGTGCCAAATAAAGGATGTATGTATGTATGTATGCATGAATAAAGCCAAGACTATAGATGATGTGATTGCGCCCTAAGAACGCATTGCGGACCTATTCTTACCTTATCCTCCCAGAGTTCCAATGGGCGTAGTAAGGCAGGGACTGGTTTGACATATTCATCATGGCGGCTGTGAAGGCATTAAATCCAAAAGCTGAGGTAGCAAGATCGGCTGCTGCTCTTCACCTTAACATAACAGCAGCAAGAGGACTTCAGGATGTACTTAAAACAAATTTGGGTCCAAAGGGGACTATGAAAATGTGAGCGCATTTTTTGCACTGGTTACATAAAAGTAGTTTGAACACGTGCTTGTCGAAAATTTTCGACTGCCGGAAAAGCCAGCATAGTTTCCTTCTGATTGGCAAAGAAGAGTTATATTTTTCCATTGAAATTCCTATGTATCCCATTTATATGTTCTTCGTGGTATTTCTCAAAGTAGAGGTAGTTGTTTACGGTGCAAACTCAATAAGATCAATGAGATTCTTGGGCCGGTAAGATGTTAATGAGACTGTTTTTCGCAAGTAATTCATTTTACGGAATTTTTCAGCCTTCAAAAACGGTGAAAAGTATGTCCATTCGACTGAATAGGCGAATTCAGCCCCAGATCTTTTCTTCCAGTTCAGTATATCGATTATGGTACATCTAGGAATGATTTATAGCCTTTGTACATTTGTACCGAATGCAATGTTTAAATTGACGACATGGTAGTTACTCTTATTATACAGGGATAAATAAGAATCTGGGCCCTTAAGAGACAAGGTTGTCAATCACATGAATTACTTCCTGTGAATAAAAGTTTTTGTAAAACATGCAAATACTCTGCTTTCCATCACAGAGAGCTTTTTGTTTTTGTAATGGAAAGTGTTCTCCACCCTTCAAACAACCAATAGCAGTATCCTTCAGTATAGTGAAGTGTTGAGTACAATTTGAGTTCAGGAGGGGTGAAGAAGGAAATTTATGAGCCAAATGATCAATTACTGCAAGAGCATATTGCAGATCATGTTAAAGGAACATGTACCATATTGCTACATGAAACATGTAACATAGTGATTCTTGTATCATGTAAGATAGTGATCAGGGAGGGGGGGGGTGCTTTTCCCTGAAAAAAAATCCAGAAATCCATGGCTTGTAGGTGAACCACACAAACATTTCAATTTTGTATGGTCGTTCATTGGTACTCATTTATCTATTCCTTGGTGGACAGAGACATGACAAAGACAGACTTTCTCCTAACAATATCAGTACAATATCAAGCAGACAAGAGATGAGAATGAAGAGAAATTTCCATTACAGGATTTTTAGCTGATCTAGTACCAAATTCTCGCTACTAACATAATAAGAATTGTATGGCAGACAGTAAGGAGAAATAGTAATGAGATCTTGGAAGTGAGAGGGTGTAAAGCATGTGTTCCTCTGTGATTGTGATAGGTTGGTGTCAGGTGCTGGAGACATCAAGTTGACAAAAGATGGAAATGTGCTACTACATGAAATGGTAAATTATCTGGCGGATTAAAGCTTTACTGTGACAGTATTTATTGAAATTGATAAGATGTATTGGTTATTTGCTGGAAGTATTTCCAGGATATTGTGATGTCTAGAACCAATACGCCCAGCTACAGTAAACTGTAGATTTATTCTGACCAGTTTTTATCTTTTTACAAGGAAGTTGTGCCAAAAAGCAACCATTTTTTTGTGAAGGAAAAAAAACTCTGCAGAAATAAATCTTCTAACTTACACCATCATGCCCTTGAATTTGTGAAAAATTGGGAAAAAGAGATCAAAATGTCTGTGTATTTACAACATTTTTACGTCAAAGTCTGGGTGATGTAGTTTATTCAAGGAACATGGCACAAATGAAAATGAAAATAGGTGACATTATTAAAGAACACTTGTACTTCAAGATGTGCATATAATTTATATTTTTTACTTGTTCACCATATATATTTTCTTCATTGTTTTGTAACAGCAAATTCAACACCCTACAGCTTCTCTAGTAGCAAGAGTGGCTACAGCTCAGGTTAGGAAACTTTCCTTTTGTCTCTAACTAGAGTAGATACATTTGTCAAGTTTTTTTTACATCTATTGAGTATCCAGCTTTATTATAATTGCTTAAATAGGTGATTAGAAAGATGTGTGGGCTCTGATTGGTTTAAGGTTGTGCCGTATCTCACCATAATCACCCTGTAAGAGGTGATTATAGTGGGGGTGCTGAATTTCAAAATGGCTGCCTCGTATTTTGTCAATTTTTCCAAGGAAGTGATAACCACAAAAGAACATAATTAAATTGGAAAGAGCACAAAAGATGCTATTGGGTTTGGTGGAACATTTTCAAAGGATAGATATAAAGTTTTTGCTGATTGAATTTATGATATAAACCTGATAAAACTCCTTACTCATCTTGATACAAGTAATCGCTGTGATTGTAACAAAATATGTGCAATGCTTTCTTCAGGTACAGAATTCAAAGTACCTTTAGTTAGCAACAATACTAAAATTAAAAATATTCACTTTGCTTCCTAAAAATAATTGTTAAACACTTTAAGATATAGGTATAGATGTATCATGCTCTAAATTTTGATTAATTGGAGTCTAGAGAGGGGTCCTGTGACAGTAAAGCATCTTATCTGAGTTCAGATGGTTTGTCTTATTTCAGATTTTGGACAATTCTCTGCAGTTTTAATTTTTTTTTTTTCATTATTTAAGGTGGTTCTTATATCCATCTGATCTATTACGGTTTCATGTCACTGAATATTCTGTTCAATTTCATATGGTTTTGTGAGATTTCAGACAGTTGTATCTCATTTTATATGGTTCCATTTCATTTTGACAGTTCTATCTCATTTTGACAGTTCCATCCATTTTCAATTGTTTCTCTAATTTTTCTTTCAGTTTTTGTTCAATTTCAACTGATTGTGATTGAAACAGGATCACTTAATTTGTCATCAAGACAAAACATTTTACAGACTCCCAAAATATATTTGAGTTTTTATTTGATCATCCATTTTTTCCTTCTTTTCATAGGACGATATTACTGGAGATGGTACTACTTCAAATGTCTTAATTATTGGAGAATTGTTGAAACAGGTATAGTGTAATTTTTCTCAAATCAGTTGGCGATATTTTAGGGAAGTTTTGAACTGAATTCAGTTTGCTAGAAAGGCAAAAATTGTCTTTTTCTGCAAAACTTGGGGATTCTAAAATTTTAATAGGACCTAGGTTAAATCCTGGAAATTGGACGTGGAATCCTTTGGCAACTCTGCTGGCCAATCTTATGGACAGACAGGCACTGATGGAATTTGATGGATTTGAAATTTTCAATGTAGATGCAACAGACAAAACAAAAACTTGTCAAGACAGAATTTGTCCTTTGATTTTGTTGGGACAATTCTAGTTTTGTCTGCAAGTGCAGAAAGGCCCCTAGAGACATGCATAAAAGAGCTGAACTAAAAGCATGGAAACTTGTTTATTTAATACCCTCTGACATATCTACAAACCTTTTTTGTTCACATTAGACTGTACAAGTTTTCATGTTGTCCATCAGGCTGGAAATAAACTTATAAGTGCAATTATTTACAGTACAATTTCACATCCTCTAGTAAAATAATTCTGATAGTGTCACCATGCCTCATAGCCATGGGTGTTGTGATGCACTCATTGAAGACTTTTAGAAGGTTTCGTTACCTTTGTTGTGTTGTTCACTTGTAGTTTACCTTCCATTCTTCTCCCTTTTTTGACAGGCTGATCTCTACATATCAGAGGTAAGAACAATGTTAACTTTTTAAAGATGGTTCTAGCTCTACAGTTTGTTCTAGATCTTTGAATCTCATTTTGTCCCTGAAAAATTGATAATAAACTCAAGATTTCTGTTGATTTCTGAGGGCCCAAATCAACTTTTATGCATAGCAATCCTGAGCAAATAATCCAATGGTTTTATTACAAACTTCTAGCACCAAAAATAATCAATTTAAACCAATTATACAAATTCTTTTAGGGTCTACATCCCCGTCTTGTCACAGAAGGATTTGAATTAGCAAAGAAGAAAGCTTTAGAGGTAAGATCACCATGATGTAATTTAAAAGAGCCTGTCAGGGAAAGCTGATAAAATTCCATGGGGGTGGAGGAGGGGTGGGCAACCTGCAGTGGACTAGCCTCCCATCTAAGGGGGGGTAGTAATACTTCTAGTCGTTTCATGCTACAAAAAGAAAAACCATGATAAGAACTGGCTGAATGGGCCTCCTGGCTTGAGTGCAGTCTTTACCATGCTTTATCCTGCAAAGGGCTGTAAATTTAGTACATTTTTGCACTAGAGGTCACATTTGTATCCTTTCAAGTTAAATTTGTATGCAAAATTTTTTGACAGGCCCTGTTGGTTGGAGTAGTAAGCCTCCATATCAACCCCATAGCTCTGATCTCACTGTTGATGTGAGTGGTGATGTATTACTAGGGGTCCTTTTTGCCTCCTTGTGATGTATTTTCCTATTTTTTTTTTATTGAAGGTTTTAGAGGAAGTTAAAGTTTCAAAGGAAATGGATAGAGACACCTTAATAAGTGTAGCAAGAACATCACTTAGGACAAAATTACACACTGAACTAGCAGATTTACTAACAGAGGTGACAATTCAAAACACCTAATGTATTGGATTCAATCTTTTCAAGTTTGTGTATGCTGCATGAACTGAATGATGTTATTTGCTGTAAACAATACCAGTTGCTGATTTAATCTGCCACAGAGGTATAAAAGGCAGTTGATTAGCTATATCAAACACACACACAATAAAAAATATCGTAATTTTATACATGACTGTGCAGTTACGGCTTTTCTCACAGCTGGAAATACTTGTGAGACCACAGTTTGTATAATAGAGATAATTATTTCCTTGCCATCAGGTTGTTGTTGATGCTGTGTTAGCCATTCGAGATCCTGCAAAACCTATAGACTTGCACATGGTTGAAATTATGCAGATGATGCACAAGTCTGGAACTGATACAGGGTGAGTAATAAATGAGAATATTAGTAATATTCATAAAATCAGTATGAGCCAGAGGTGAAGTGAAGTGAAGTGATTTTAATGATAAATTCATTTAGCTAGGTCACAGATTGTCCTGGAAAAAGACTACAGGTCTTGGAGAGTGCTAGAAATCTGCTTAATTCAAACAGTATAATTTTCAGAATTTATGTTATCAGAAATGTTTGTAGACCATAGAATGAATTGATTTTAAAATCTTGAGAATTAAAGGGGTAAATTGAAAGTGTAAAAGGGTACAAACCCTGACTGAGGCAGAGTGGTTAACTCTCCAAAATTCTGGCTGAGGTGGTTTGAAGGACAGATAAGACTATCCAATGGATAAATCCCTATCCGGTAGATAGTGCAAAGAGTTTTGTCAACACTGGATAGGAACTTATCCATTGGGTAGCACTATCTTCCATTTTTAGAACAGGGATCTGGTGTAGAGGTCCAGATCCAAGCACTGGCTTGGTCACTCGAATTTGTCTTTGGAAAAGACACTTATCTGTCACATTGCCTCTCTCCATTCATTAGTGTAAATGGGTAGCAGCAAACTTTTCAGTCAACCTGTCAAAATTCAGGGGGTTGTGTAGGATGAACCAGTATCCCCTTCAGGAGGGTGGGATGCTTGTTACTTCATGATGTGCCCAGTCTCTTGTTGCCACAGAAAGAGGGATAAGCAATAGATATGGTCCTACTTTGTTCATGTTACAGAAAGGGAGTGTGAGCATTGGCTGCTATGATCCAACTGCCTCCAAAACTTAATCTAAAATTTTGGTTTCGGCAAAAGTCAAACAAAAAAGTGGAACTACAAGGAGACAACATTTCCTATTTGGAACAAATTAGGAAAATTCTAATGCACCAATCACAGCACACAAAAATGCATAAATGCATATGAGAAACCAGCATGCTACATATATCTCTGTTGATTTTTCAACCCCATCTCTTGACTTTCAACAAACATTTGAGAAGTTATAACATAAAATCAGCAAAGTGAGACAAAGGGGTAAATTTTGTTGAACTAATTTGTACCTTAATCCACAGCTTAGTCAAAGGGCTTGTGATGGATCATGGAGCTCGTCATCCTGATATGGCTAAAAAAGTAACAGATGCTTACATCCTCACTTGTAATGTTTCCATGGAATATGAAAAGAGGTCAGTGTATCACATAAATTGCAAGATTTGAAAATATGATTGGAAACATTTTTCAGAAATGAGAGTTGAAATTTATTAAGTTATACACTGCAGAAAGGATCTCAATAAATTGTCCTTCTTTCTCATGTTTATTACATTTGTTTTCCTCATATAATTGTCATCACTATGAAGTGCATCTAAAATCTTGTTGAATTATTTTTGTTTGGAATGTTTATGGCAATTTTCATCATCTTTAGTAGTGTATCAATAATGTTATCATTGCTATAATTATCTCTATCATAATATTTATCATTAGTTGTTAGTATTTACTCTGCACTGAATCTATGAACCTTTTTGACAGTTTTTTTGAAATTATGACTATAATGGTCAAATTATTATTACTCAAAGAATTTGAAGTAAACATTTTTTACAAATTTTGTTGTTCTTTGTGCTTTACAGTGAGGTGAATTCTGGCTTTTTCTACAAGAGTGCTGAAGAGAGAGAGAAACTAGTAGCAGCTGAAAGAAAATTTACAGATGACAAAGTACAGAAAGTAATTGAACTAAAAAATAAGGTGAGAGTTAATTGTGGTGCTTTTTGCTGGATCAAATTTGGGTTTTAGTGGTTGTGTCTAAATAGCTTACCAGTAGTGCCAGAGCTTAAAATATTTCTGTGAAATGAGGGAATTAGGACATTGTCAATCTTCATGTACAGGGCCAAGTTGTTAGGGTAACCTGGGGTTAGTGTGAAATTTTATTTCAGATGTGAAAGCTTTAAAAGAAAATTCAGTTTAAATCTTTTTGTCTACAATTTTGTGACCCATGTATACTCCCTGGCTGAGAGGGTGGCACTGACAAAGTGTCTTAAACAAGGGCCCAACCTGGACTTGTACCCAGGCCTTTTTTTCTTCTGTCCATTGTGATAATCATCAGGTCACCCCTTATCCCATGTACGTTTGCTAAGGTCTTTTTGTTATTGGCCCTCCTTTCTTTATTTGTTTTCTCATTTCCACTCATTTTACTTGGGGAATATAATTTTGTCAGGAGGGAGAAGACAATCTGATGTGAGTTGACATTAATTTTAGTTAGAAGCAGCAACAATTAGTTGTGGGTTTGTGTTTTGTTAAAGTGTTCCTTTCTCCACTGTAATTAAGTATGACACATTCAACATACATGAAATACATGAATATATTTCTAGTACATAAGTTTGATAGCACTCCTCTAGTGAACTTTAGTATGCAAATATTATTAGCTTTCACTTTCAATTGTACTTACTCTTAAGATATTTTTCTTTGTAAGGTTTGCGAAGGAAACAACAAAGGATTTGTGGTGATTAATCAGAAGGTTGGTCCTAAAAAAACTGAATGATGATCAAAGTATATTGTTACCATTTCCTGTCCTTTTGGTGGTTAGGACTTGAACACATTCTTGATAATTTAACCTTTTAACTCCCATTGAGTGACCAAGACAGAATTTCTCCTCACAATATCAATACAATGTCAAGAGTTCAAGTGATGAGAATAAATAAAAAGGTTAATAAAAGGATTATTTCTTGATCCAATGCTAAATTCTCCAAACTAACATCGTAGGAATTGTATAGCTGACAGTAAGGAGAATTACACATAAAATCTGGGAATGATGGGGTTAACCATAGATTGTTAATCTTGTGAGCTATATTATTAAATAAATTATTAAGATAATGTCAATTGAAACCATTCTCTGGCTGACTGAACAGTTTTTTTGTTTTTTTTTGTTTTTTTTGTTTTTTTTTTTTTAAACAGGGAATTGATCCATTATCACTGGATACATTAGCCAAAAATGGCATTGTGGGGCTTCGTCGTGCCAAGAGAAGGAACATGGAGAGACTCACTCTTGCTTGTGGAGGAATTGCCATGAACTCCTTTGATGATCTTACACCTGAATGTCTGGGTCATGCAGGACTTGTTTATGAACATGTTCTGGTGAGAATTTTCACTATATGGGTGAAATAGAATGAGTGGAAATGTTTTTTCTCACATGCCACTAGAGCAGGTTCAAATTCTGTACAGGCATGAATTTTTTTCAGGCCTTATTTCCACTACTGCTTAAGAATTCTTCATTACTGCAAAGATTGCTTTCTATGCTGTTCAATATGATCTAACAGTGGTCTTCATGTATTTCCTCATTTCTCTATTTTTGTCTTCTATTTAGGGAGAGAGTAAATACACATTTATTGAAGAACTGAAAAACCCTCTCTCAGTCACTATCCTAATTAAAGGTGAATTGTAGAAGATATTTTTCTATAGACTGACATTGTAATTGTAGAGCGTAAGAAATCTGGACTTTTTTTTTTTTCTCTTCCTGAGCCAAAAAAAAGGAGAACACTTATTAACTCTGTTAGATGTTAAGTTGCTTACTTTACTTATTTAAACCACATGGGTAGTTTTTTATGAGTGTATTCACCTGTCTTCTGTTCTGGGGCAGGATGCATAACTCTTGTCCTCAAAGCTTCTTTATGCCATTAGTTAAAATGGAAACCAGTGAAATCATGTAGGGAGGATTGATCATCTCTACTGAATTCGTATCTAACCAAGGCCTTTCAAGAATACTTTAGTAACTTCCTATATTGGAAACTGGCATCTGTTTTTTTTAGCTCTGGGTGACCTTTTTCTTGCAAATTTCCCAGTAGAAACACATGAAGAAAAAAAGTGGTATTTGATTGAAGCAAATCCAAGTTAAATAACTGTGGTTCAGATTATTGATAGCTGTTAGAAATATGGGTTGAGTGAATTGCAATTCCATTGTAACTTATTGGATTAGTTGTTTCTCTTTAACTGTTGTTGTCTTCTATGATTTTGCAGGGCCAAACAAGCACACTTTGACACAGATTAAAGATGCAGTGCATGATGGTCTGAGAGCAGTAAAAAATGCTATTGAGGATGGTAAGAAAAAAAGGGGTTTGAAGCATTTTTTTCAATACCTTTTCCATAAGCAGCTGCCAATGGTGTTACTAATGTCCTGTAGGTAAAATCCAAACACGAGCCTGCTTGCATGCTAAACAGACAGGGGTGGAGGTGTTAAACAAGCCAGTATACTACTGGTAGTCAGCTTTTGTTAAAACTTCTGTTTAAAATATCCAATCTTTTAACAAGTCAACAACTGGTAACAAGACAGAGATGTTTCATTGTAGGAAGTGTCGTCCCTGGTGCTGGAGCATTTGAGGTGGCCGTCAGTGCTGCTTTGACAGAATTCAAGAAGACAGTGAAAGGCAGAGCAAGGCTTGGAGTTCAGGTAAGGAGCAATTAAGAAAATAAAGTTTTCTTTATTCAAACTTTTATCATGCAGTTGACCTTTACAGTAACAGACATCTTCATGACCATGATATGTTCATCATGATACCAAGAGTAAGCTTCAGCAAAGGAGATGCCCATTTAATACATCCAGTTTGAAGTCTCCGGTGATTCTTGCTCTTGGTTCTGAGCAAAGCAATTGGTTCATGAATCAAACTGGTTTTCTTTCCATAATTTTGTCTTTGCTTTTACCAATGAGATCTTGGGATTGTAAAGATTAATTGGTGTTTTCTTCCAGATAGCAGGAAGATAAGAGACAAAAAAACATGGTTTGGCAAATTTTGTACTTTTTTTTACAAACTTTGCCCTTTTGGAAAAAAGAAGGTGTAATAATTTTTCTTCTAAACAGTTGAATTGTGTAGTTTGAACTTGGAAATAAGAAAGAAGCAATCAAACTTTCTATTGTGTGATCTTTGTTCTGAAATCATATTTGTGATTTTAGGATTAACAGTCTTCAGTTATGAAAAGTTTTAGTTTATTTGTGGCAGTCACTTTGGGTGTGAATTTGTGGTGCTTACTTGAAAAACCTAAATTTTTAATTTGATGAGTTTAATCAATTGCAGGCCTTTGCAGATGCCCTGCTTGTCATTCCAAAGATCCTGGCTCAAAATTCTGGTTATGATCCACAGGAAACAATTGTTAAGCTTCAGGTTTGGAATTCTGTATATTTCTTTTTTTCTTGAACAGTAATAAAATCAGTTAGGATGCTTCAAAATTTTATGGCCCTCTCTACTTTTCACAGCATCTGATATTTTCATGTTTATGGCCAGCAGCCAAAAGCTGTGAATGGTTGCTTTTAGTGCAGTTCAAAATTGAAAAGTTCACCAGGATGTGGAAATTCATTATCTAAATAGGGCAAATGATCAGAAGCATTTTTTGTTGTCAATGAGATTGGGACCTTTTAACTCCTAGGAGAAACCGAAAAACGAATTTCTTCATGCAATATCAAAATATTTTCCAGCATAGAGTCAATGAGATGCAAGAAAACTATCAGTTGGTGGATATTGTATGATGTAACCACAAATTTTTAGAGCTAAAATTTTAAAGAATGTCTGGCAGACAGTGGAGAGATCTTTGGATTGAGCAGGTTAATGTGAATTCTATTTGACTGGCTGAGATTGTGAACAAGGTGCTAGAATTTTATCTTGCATTAAAATGTAAGGGATAGTGTTTGATCTGTTTCAGGAGGAATATGCTGATGTTGGTACCCCAGTGGGTATTGATCTCTCAAGTGGAGAGGCATTAGTTCCCTCAGATAGTGGTATCTGGGATAACTACAGAGTCAAGAGGCAGCTGCTGCATTCATGGTGAGTAGAAATCCTGTCCTCCAAATTTTGTCTTTCGTTAGTTCGACTACAGGCTAATTTTGAGCTTCAGACATGTTATTAGAAGGTTATAATAGTACTTTAAGGGCAAATAACTGTTAACTCCTCGGTGAGAAGTGTTAAATTATGGACCTCCTTTAAAGAGGATTGGTTCATTAAGGTAGCTCTGATATAGTTCCAGCTCAATTCTTATTTTTCCCAAATTACATTTCTTGTTTCATATATTGGAGCCAGGCATGACTTAGTGGCTTTGGGGCCCTCATTTCTAGGTGCCAGTCCTCCATTTTTTTTTTTTTTTTAACTCAGTAGTCCCAAGTTAATAGCACCACTGGTTTGCCTTCTACCACTCACTCACTTGTCTCCTTCACAGCCTTGGTTTGGGCTCGTCACGCAACCGGCTTTCTCCCCTGCGTGACGGGACCAAACAATGGCTGCGAAAGAGACGAACCACCCACCAATTTTTTTTTTAACAATTTACGCTGTAAAATCTTTGGATTTATATTTACATCGTTCCAAATAAGCTCAGAGGTGCTTCAACAACAGCAGCAACAAAAAAATTTCAACTCGGGCAATTAGATAGAGTTATTTATCAATTCAGTGATTTAATCATTCTTTCGTTTTCTTGTTTCGTTCATTTGTTGAATAATGTATTAAATCATTTATTCTGCAGCACTGTAATTGCCAGCAACCTTCTTTTGGTGGACGAAATCATGAGAGCTGGTATGTCTTCTCTCAAGGGCTGAGCTGAGCTGGAAATTGGATTTACTCAAGGTATAAGAGGATTCTACAAGAGTCTTAGTAAACAGTTATTTTTGCGTCCAATTTCATCACCTCCTAGTATTTTCTTTCAGTTATATAATGGTTTTATCATAGCTGTTTGAAATGAAGGAAAAAATTTTGTGTCCCTGTGTTGCATGGTTTGGTAGCAATCTTAATTTTTTGCGTTTGAAAATGGATGACATCCTAGGTCAGACGACAGAGCATGTTTTGATTTAGTTTTACTTGAAATCCAAATGCGAAATAACCACCTAGTCCAATCAGAACAAAGTTAAATATCACAAGGAACTAGTGACAACTCAATGTTAAAAAAATATGCAAATTACCTGAAGCGCGGGAAAACACCAGTGACCAAGTTACAGTTGGTTTTAGTCTTGTGTGTGATTGGTTGAGAGGGAGGCACGAGTTTTGTAGACCAATCGCAGAGCCAGGTAGACGAAACCAGTGCAAAAACTGGAATATATTGGACCTGCTTTGTTGTGCTGTAAAACAAGTCAAAACCTCACCATCTTAAGCACCCAAATGTTATTATTTAAAGTTATCTGGTCACGACAACATGCTTATTATTTTCTCTGCTTTTCCTTGGTTCTCTGTTAGAGCAAAGATACAAGCACTGCGTGAAGAAGTTCGTTCACCTTGCTGTGACTCCACGAAGATATCGAACAGCGGTTTTCAGTGTTACTCATTACATTATAGCTGCAATAAATGTGTTCCATGAAACTTAAACATATTATGTGATTTTGGCATCAGCTTACTGGGTTCAGACAACTAAACGATATAAATACATATACATAAGAAAAATCGAAACACAGACTTCATATATATTTACACACACACATATATATATACATATATATATATTTTAATTCAAACTCTATCATCAACAGTGTTGACATATGTTTCTTCCAAGAGTAAGTTGAATGATTGTCTTTTTGGGTCGACCTCTTAACCCTTTAACCCTTTACCCCTAAGAGTGAGGAAAAACTAATTTTCCTTACAATGTCACCCCTGAATCACACAGTAAGGCCGCAAAACTAAAGGAAATGGTCACCAACTAAAAGAAGCTCCTGAGTGTTAATCAAATTCTCCTTGTCAGCACCTCAGGAAATGTTTATAAAACAACATGGATAACGTGAATACTGATGTTAGGATGTGTAGGGGTTAAAGCCACGTCAATCATATTCGGACAACAAGTGTAGAATTCGATTTAAAAGAGTTGTTCGTTCCGAAAACACTCACTGCACAGCGCCAACATTTACGCCCGATTTAAGACTACGGATCTTGTAAGACACCCTGTGTTGAACGCGTAATTAATAAGGAATTGTGTGCCTGATTTTACGACTCGAGACCCCAAAACTTCACTCCCTGTCTGGCGGTACGTACATATTAATACTCATGAAGTGGTATTCAACTAAATTTAATCTTTTTTTTTTTTTCGCTGTCAAAAATACCTTTCCGAGGAATGTGATGAAGCTGAAGTCCGGAATTCGTTTCAGAATCAACAAAACAAATTCAAACTTAACACTTGTGATTTGCCCAAAGACGTTTAAAAGACTGTGATTTGTTACTCTTCATTAGTCGACGAAATCATCAGAAATGATTAAAAGACAATCTAATGATCTTACTCTTGTTGGATATTTCAACCATCTTTTAAAAATGTTCGCTTCCTAGCTTCATCAGTCTTTAAAAATGCTAGAATGACTGATGTTTTAAAAATAAACAGAAATTCCTCGTCAGAGTCGAAGGCTTGACTCAGGTGATGACTTCCGCTCGGGCTATGGAAACGTCAATCACTGTCACCGACATATTTACTAAATAAGAACAGCCATTGACCCTTAATAGCTTGAGAGTGATAAGCATCTAATTTCTCTCCACAGTATCACCCCTGAATCAAACGTTAAGGTCGTGAGAATAAAAAAACAATTAATCACAAACTTATAGCTCTTGACTGTTAAACAAATTCTCCTTGTCGTGATAGGACATGTATGGTGAACAGTAAGGACAGTGTGCATAGCAATGTTAAGGAATGAAGGGCTGATATATGATATTTGTAAATTTTATTTCTTGGGTACATGATCCTTCTGAACGACCTCCACAAAACAAACAGGACATCAGAACAGCAGAACACTTAAGTTGGGTTACAACACATCTCTACTCCTGGCTGAATTTCAGTTCTTTAAAGGGTTGGTCTACGCTAGCAAACTACTTCTTTCACAAAAGATGCTTCTGCGAGTTATTATTTCACAATCGAGCAGATGAACTCATTCATTGCTTTCCCTCTTAGGAATGTGACTTCTGGACAATGAATAAAAATTACAGGAAAAGTGCTTGACGCAAGTGATTCTTTTACTTCAACACAAACCGAAAGAAAATGGTTAACGTCACGATTCTCGACAGGTTTTGATTTTGTAATGCGGTATAAATATCTCAAGATTCCTTTCTTTCTGTGTTGTTCATGTATTTTTCTTTCAGAATCTGACTAAATTCAAGTTTTATCATTAATTGCAATGTGTTCAAGACAAAGTCTTTGGTAAGTACGATCTATGATCAGTCATTTTAGTGTCCTGTACCTCCTGACCGCTTTAAAAACAATTTTATTTTATATTGTATTCGGAAGTTTCTATTGTTTACACCGCTTTTACCTCAGTTACACGAATACCTTGTAGGTTTTAACGTTTGTTTAAACCATCAGTAAAGAATTTGACATAGATCTTTTAGACCAGTTCTTCGATACAGCCTAATCGCCGATATCCTTCATCAAACTTAAAGTGGAACGTTTGATAGTCTTGATCCCACGGTTAAATCCAACATCGATACATGATGAAATAATTCAAAGGTTAACTTTTACTTTTCTGTTGGCATGGTTTGCCGATAACATTTTCTTGAGAATTGTACACTAAAAAGCAGATTCAAAAACTCCGAATGGCAGTCCAATCGAAAGAAATTGAAGATTTGACTTTTATGAAGCAACATTTCATGGGCGAATTGTAACACGCTTCTCTGAAACAATCTGACGCTATTAAAAACGTCGGTTGATATATTGCCATACTTGAATCAACTTCGATTCAGTAATAGAGCAGCGAATCAAAGTCCAATTGACCCGAAGAAAATCTGTGTCGATATACTAATCTAATGGATGTATAAACTACGATATGAGATTTGTTCACGATTTTCTAACTTTACAGATGTACCCTATAGCAATCTGAATACGGTTCAAGAAAGCTCGATACCAGTATTATGACTGAAGTGGCTTTATTTAAATTTATTCAGTTCGCTCTAACATTTATTAAACATCAAGTGAACAAACTTAAACTTGAAAGTTGATGAAAACACAATAAGATTGACACATTTATTTGCTTTATGTTCATTTATTGCTAGAAATGCAAGAAAGCTGAAGAGTTAAATTTTTTTGACACCCAAATATAATTTTCAAAAACGTACCGCTATGAGCCTAATGAAGTGAAAGAAGCATCCAAGTTAAGTTTTTAAAGGACTAACTTCTAATTCACACCTTGCTCCGCTGGAATTTGTATTTATCAATATTTACATACCTGAGATTCAGAACAAGCCTCCTTGTTTGTACGTTTTTCTTTTCGTATAATTTCATTTATATCAGAAGATCAAAACACTGAAATATGACAACTTTCTTTCTTTGAACGTAATTTTACCGTGTTTAATGGTTTTAAATATGTAACTACGCAGCTCTTGAATTCAAATCAGATTGAGTAAGGTTTCTGAATCGAATGACAAGAGAAAAGACCGCAATGTGAGTCTTGGATGTTGATAACGACTGCAGTTTAGTTATGATGCGGGAGCCACTATTACTTCACCCATGTAATTAACGGTAAAAAAGACAAATAACTAGGTTCATCATTACTGGCTGTTACATTCCTTCGATATCAGAGGACTTTGTTAGTTAACGTCTGCAAATATGTGGGAAACTTGCAACGCATAGCCTATTTAATTTTGCTTCGATTCAGCTTTTGCGTAGCACAGCAGATGTGTTTCGTCCGATCTGAACAAGCTGAAAATTCTGATTATTTCAATGTGTTTAGAGGAAGTTTTGAAATGAGATTTATTGATCAATTCCGTAAACCACCAGACTCGAATTTTTTTTATTTTCATAGCAAAATGTATTTAGCAATGAAATCATGCGTGATTGTTGCACATATAGCAACGCTGGCTTAATTTCATTTTCTAATAGTCTCTGCCTTTGCGCATGCCTAACGAGACTAAATTTAAGTATGATTTTCAATTTCAATAGTAAGTCACGCCAACACATATATACGCAGGAATGAAAATCTGATTGTGTTTATGAATTCCTGCAGGATGCTTGAAGTTGTTTCTAAAAAGGTTCCTATATATTTAGAAATGATTTCAGAACCACTGTCACGTAATTGTACAATAGAATCAAAAAAGTAAATTAGCAATCTCTCTTTGTTTAACCCTTTACACTCTAACATGCATCTTCTCCATACTATTCTTCATACATTCCTAAGGTACTGACAAGGAGAATTTGTTTAACAATCAAGAGCTCCTTTAGTTGGTGATCATCTCCTTTATTCTCATGACCTTAATGTGTGAGTCAGAGGTGGCATTGTGGGGAGAAATTAGATGTTAGTCAGTCTTAGGGGTGAAAGGGTTAAACAACCAGCTGTTGGCCGGTGCATAATATTTCTGTAACTAGCCACACTCACCTCTTTGTTGAAAACGGATCCACAACAAACCAAACTCAAAAATAGTAAATCCGTTTTCAGTGTTTGATCTGATTTATGAAATAGAAGCCTGAAGCTCGTTTACTAGTGTCATGCGAGGAAGTTTAAACAAGGACTTAATTGGTTTCGTGACAGGTTCAAGGACATAACCAAACTTTTAGAGAAAAAAAATTTACAACACTAACCTACGAATAATACTTATGCTTGTAAATACAGAATGCACTACATATTGACCAGTATATATTCAAATGGACTTAAACACCATAGAGACCGTATCAAATACTTTAAACCGTAAGCGAATAAACTTTTCCTGAAGTAATCAACGAACATAGGCGGCCATGGAACCAACGTATCAACATCGTGTTTCCTCAGTTGCTCGCGGGAAAATTATTTTAATTGTTCAACCTCCCCAGTTATTGTTAATTATCATTATTGCATTTTAATTGTGTTGAAATGAAGCAGAACTCTATCTATGTTCTCCATTGCTAGAGCAAAATTGAAAAATCTTGACTCGAGCCAAGTAAAACTTCCCTTCTTTTTCTTTGGGGCTTTTAACTTTGCGCGTTAAAACATCTTTATTGAACATTTGTCAGTTTATCCTGTATATAAGTTCCTCTCATCTCTCCTAAACTAACAGGGACTGAAGCCCGCGATGGACAGCATTTTCAAAGACCTCACAACCATGGAAATTGGTTTTGTTGTTGCCAACTTCCTGCGAAACACTAACCGTCCTCTACAAGCGATCCAATTATGCGAGGAATGCTTGATGTTACTTTTGGATAACTCACAGTTGCTTGACGACGACAATTTCAAATTTTTCTACTCTGATATCTTAAAAGAACTGCTCAAGGCATACTGGGACATCGTTGATTTCAAAAATGCCGAACGATGCGTGCAGGAACTTCTTGTCATGTCTCAAGACTCTGGTGACACACAAGAGGAAGGAGGGTGGAGGTTAACGCTGGCACGTTCGTATCTAGCACAACATAAATTTGAAGATGCAAAAGAAGGTTATCTGAAAGCATTGGATATCATAAAAGTAAATGGTGTCAGGGAAGATGAAAGAAGAGCGTATGATGGTCTAGCATTTTTGTCTGGTTTTATTGGTGACATTAAGAGCGAAAAGGAATATCTCGAGAAATCGCTCCTACTCATGAAAGAGACTGGCGACAAAAAGAGTGAAGCAGAATGTTACAGCGCATTAGGACGTTATTTTTTGAGTGTCAACGACAATCGAACGGCAAATGAATATTTTCAGAAAGCACACGGAATCAGGATGGAAATTGGCGGAAGAGAAGAATTAGCGGCTGGTTACGAGGACCAAGCAGACTTTCATTCCGCGTTGGGAGACCATGAGAAGGCAGTGGAGTATTGGGAGAAGAGACTATCGATCATTTTAGAAATTGGCAATAGGATTGAAATAATAGCAGTTTACCATGAACTAGGAACGGAATTCTGTAGTCTTGGTAAATTTATCAAGGCCGAGGAATATTTAGAGAGGGCACTCTTGTTAAGCAGCATCAGTGAATTGGAATCTTTGAAGCACAACATCCTTCTTGAACTTACGAAGGTGAAGTTTTCACTCTTAAAGACTCAGGAAGCACATTCGTACCTATTACAAAGCATTGAATTATTTGAAAAGTATCGAAATTTCAATAAACACAATGAACAGTTGTCAATACCTCTTTTGGAGTATTATCAATTGTACAAGAATTTCAGCATCATGCTATTCTACACCGGAAGTCCCCGCGAGGCCTTTTCCGCGGAAGAACTGGGGCGAGCTAGAGCCTTAGCAGATTTGATTGCAGCCAAGTACTCTCCTGGAGTAAACCACATCTCAGCAGATTTGAAATCACTGTCTGGGGTTGAAAAGCTCATCAGTAACGAAAGTAACTGTACTTATCTGTACCTTTCGTATCATGAGAGAAGCGTTCGTGCTGCGATTTTGAAACCGGGTGAAGACACGTACTTCTCAGAGGCAGAAGAAGCTGATATCCCCACTTTGATGGCCGAGCATGTTGTTGATTTGCATGACCTTTTCAACAAAAGCTTCCGCAGCTTTGGAGTGTTACCCAGAGAGCTTTGTGAAGATCGATCACTGGATGACACGGATTATCATGATGAGAGCTTAGCCCCTTTCCGAGGAAATGAAACCGCAGACACCGACAGGGATCTTCAAATGTTTTACAAATTGATTATTGCTCCTGTGGCCAATTTACTCACAGGGCCTGAAATCGTCATTGTTCCCGAGCGGTCCATGTTCCGAGTCCCATTTGCAGCCTTGCGTGAAGAGACTGGCGAGAAATTTCTAACAGAGAAGTTCAGGATCCGTATCGCCCCTTCTTTGAAAACTCTCAAGCTCATTCAGGACAGTCCAGCGGACTATCACAGTCACACCGGTACACTGATAGTGGGCGATCCGGAGGTTGGCGTGGTGCTCTACAAAGGAGCTCCCAAAGACATCACAGCACTTCCTTGTGCAAGAAGGGAAGCAGAAATGATTGGACGACTGATGGATGTCCAGCCTTTGATAGGAGAGCACGCAACTAAGCAGGCGGTACTCAACGGAATAGACAGTGTGAGTCTAATCCATATTGCCGCTCATGGTAATGCAGAAAGGGGACAAATTGCCTTAGCTCCTAATCGTAGAACTGAAAGCACTGGTATTTCGCAAGAAGAAGACTACCTTATGACCATGGAGGATATTTCAAAAGTTCAACTGCGAGCTAAACTGGTGGTACTTAGCTGTTGTCACAGTGGCCGCGGTCAAATCAACTGCGAAGGTGTGGTTGGAATAGCTCGTGCGTTCCTTGGATCCGGTGCTCGCTCGGTGTTAGTTTCACGGTGGGCCCTGGAGGACACAGCAACGGAGCAACTCATGAACCAATTCTACGCACACCTTGCTGATGGAGAAAGTGCCAGTGAATCTCTACACCAGGCCATGAAGTGGATGAGAAATAACAGGTTCACCAAAGTTTCGCAGTGGGCTCCTTTTATGCTGATTGGAGATGATGTGAGAATTGACCTCAAGAGTAAAGGTAAGTTTTAAAATTTGGAACATACACCTGAGTTACAATGACTAGCTTACAGGCACTGGCTTTTGAGTCGGTATTATTCTTCAACTTCTTTTCATGTCATCATCATCACCATCATCAATGTTATTATGGATATTATTTTGGTTATTACTCCAAAATCTTATTATTGCAATCATTTCACATGAGGAGATGTAAAAAATTAGTATGTTAAATTGACAGAATTAAAAAGGTTACATTTTACCTCTCATTCCCTGAAGATAACTAAAGTTGGTTTTAGTATTTTTCAATTAGGAGAATAAATATTGATAGTTAACTGAAAAAGGCAAGTCTATACTTTACACTAACATGTCACCCAAATCTCTTGTTTTCTGGACTAGTAGAACATGTCTGTTGGTAGAGTCTCTCCATATCACCTAAAATGGTTGGAATAAGCTCTGTAAGCTTAAACAGTTCTGATTATAGTATTTATTAACATATGAACATTTTTATTGCAGCAAAGAAGACCCTGCTTGCAAAGGACTAGAATGAAGTCTACATGAACCAGTTCCAAACAGACCTGAAGATTTATGGCTCTCATCTCTGTATCTACCATTTGAGTATGGTATTTCATAGTTATTTACACTGACATTTTGTTGCCCAGTAAAGCAGGGGTAGCTTCTGCATTAACACAACTTTTTATGCCGGTTGAATTTTATTTTTTTCCTTTTGATTTTGCAAATTTAGGAATTCACAATTGTGAAGATTTTATGGATACAAAATAAGACAAACTGTTGGCATGATGCATCAAATGTTTTGTCTTGTCATGCAGCACAGTTTTTCTGAATGCATTGTGTGTCAAGGCAAACTTTTGCCACAAAGGAAACTTGGAATGATGCTTAAGACAAAATGTTGAATTACGGTCAACTTGCTGACGGTTCAACTCGCCAACGCCAACTCGCCGAGTTAGTCTTCAATCCAGTACAACTTATTAGAAGTTAAACATATAGAAAAGTAAAAGATCTTTAGTAAAAGAAAAAATTTTTCTTCCAACAAAGTTTATAAGAACCTCATGGTGAACAAAGTAGGTAAACATCACCAATGACTATAACAGCTTCAGACACGAACGAGATAACCAATGTTCACCAATGTTTAAGTTTCTGTTTGATGTTCACCAATGTTCACCAGTGTTTTTTTACTAAATATCATTTACTTTTCTGCATGTTTAACTTCTAATAAGTTGTATTGGATTGAGGACCAACTCACTGATGTCTCTACTTGATTTTATACGTCGGCGAGTTGGCATTGGCGAGTTGACTGGATACCCAAAATGTCAATATGGTGAAAAACTTAAAAAGAATTGGTTGAAATTTTCATGTTGATGCGAATAAATTGTATGCTGAAGCCCCAGAATGCACATTTAATGGAGAAAGAGTTGTGATGAGAATTGAGCTTCACTGTTGAAAACAACAACAACAACAACAGCAACAAAAGAAGACAAACCAATAAAGCCACCAAGTTTAGGCAGCTATTTTTTAAGATATTGAGTCCCATGAGTGTATGGCTAAGCTAACAACCATGCTCAGAAGACTGTCTGTGACAACTAACTTGGTATGTTACTTGTTCATCATTTTATGGTTAAAAGAGACCAAAACTCACAGCTATTTTTTGTACATATTCTTAGACCTCAACATGCCAGTTTACCTAATCAAATTTGTTTTAGGATTATTTCAACAAATGGCTCTAGGTTGCGGTTTATTAACAGAAATTTTTGAGGCAGTTGACCAATAAAAGCTCTTACTTGAGAGAAGAATTTTGAGAAGCTTTTCCCTTTGCTAAAGATTGTTCAAGATTTGTTTTCAGTTAATCAGGATATAGTGATAATGTATCAATTCTCTTATGGGAAAGCAGATTTAGAAGGTCTCTACCCATTTGCAGAAATTAGTTGCATGTTTTAAGTATTTTAATGGTGCATGACTGAGCAGTGTACCTTGAAAAAATAGGGTGGGGCTGTTGCATTTCTCCATCATCCTTTTCACCCTAAGCACCAGTTGCTCTCAATTAATCAATATATTATAATAGAAATCTTGTATTACTGTAAATTCTCTTATGGGAAGCAGATTAAGAAGGTCTCTTCCCACTTGTAGAAATTACTTGCATTTTTAATTTAAGTAATTTCAATCTGCATCACCTTTAGGAAAGATTGGAGGGGGGGGGGAGGGTGGGGCTGTTGCATTTCTCACTCAATCTTTTCACCTTGCATACCTATTGTTTTCAGTAAATCAATAAATCAGAGTTTAATAGTAATCATGTATTACCAGTAATTCTCTCATGGGAAAGCAGATCAAGAAGGTCTCTACTCATACGGAGAAATTACTTAAAGGCCCATTTCCAACCTTTATGCAAAGTGGTCGTTTGTTTTTGTTTAGAACCTCCGCTTTTGTTTAAATAGCACCTCTGATTGGTCAGTCATTTATAACCCTAGACGTTGTCTCAAAATAGCTTCTGCATTTACCCTGATGAGTTTGGTGAGCTTGTCAAAATAATTCTGTGTAAAACAATACCAAACATTTTATTCTGGTATGGAATCAGATGAATGCATTGATATAACACAGACTAAATTCAAAACTACAGGAAACTGCAAAATGATGATTGGTGAATGTATTTATGTAAAACAATTGATTACATGTCCAGGATGGCTCTTGAGAAAGATGTTTTTAAGAGGTTTTCAGTAATCCAGGAGTTTAGTGTGACAGGAAATAGGTCATGGTGCATGTTGCATTAAGGGTGAAAATGGGCCTTTAAGGCTTTCTGTTTATAATGATAATATATTAATTCTCTTATGGGAAAGCAGATTAAGAAGATCTCTACCCTAGTGTTTTATTTTTTTAAAGGAGAGGAGGGTGGGGCTTGTGGCTTTTTTGGCTCACCATTTCCTCCTTATGCACTTAAGGTTTTTATTTAATCATCATAGTGATAATGTATTAATTCTCTTATGGAAAAACAGATTTAGAAGGTCTCTTCCCATTTGTAGAAATCAGTTGCATGTTTTAAAAGTTAATGTCATTGAGAAGTGTTTCACATTAACAAACGTTGGAGGAGAGGGGGAGAGGAGGGTGGGGCTGTTGTCTTTTCCCTCACCCTTTTCATCTTATGCAATTATTGCTTTATTCAGTATTATTCCTTTTTTTGGAAGCAGATTTAGAAGGTCTCTTCTCATTTGTAGAAATTGATTGCATGGTTTAAGCGTGAATGTCAGTTAGAGGTGTTTTATGTTAAAAAAAGTTGGTGGGGGGGGGAGGGGGGAGGACATGGCTGTTGTCTTCTCCCTCACCCTTTTCATCTTATGCAATTATTGCTTTATTCAGGAATATATCTTTTTTGGGAAGCAGATTTAGAAGGTCTCTTCTCATTTGTAGAAATTGATTGCATGGTTTAAGCGTGAATGTCAGTTAGAGGTGTTTTATGTTAAAAAAAAGTTGGTGGGGGGGGGGGAAGGACATGGCTGTTGTCTTTTCCCTCACCCTTTTCATCTTATTTGCTTTATTGAATATATATCTTTTTTTGGGAAGCAGATTTAGAAAAAATTGATTGCATGGTTTAAGCGTGAATGTCAGTTAGAGGTGTTTTATGTTAAAAAAAAGTTGGTGGGGGGGGGGGGAAGGACATGGCTGTTGTCTTCTCCCTCACCCTTTTCATCTTATGCAATTATTGCTTTATTCAGGAATATATCTTTTTTGGGAAGCAGATTTAGAAGGTCTCTTCTCATTTGTAGAAATTGATTGCATGGTTTAAGCGTGAATGTCAGTTAGAGGTGTTTTATGTTAAAAAAAAGTTGGAGGGGGGGGAGGACATGACTTTTGTCTTTTCCCTCACCCTTTTCATTTTATGCAATTATTGCTTTCATTTCACTAAGATATGGTTGTTCAGTATTATTTCTCTTTTGGAAAGCAGATTTAGAAGGTCTCTTCTCATTTGTAGAAATAACTTGCATGTTTTAATTTACTGTAAGGTTTGTGAAATGTTTTACATTAAACATTACTTTTTATAAGAATTTTAAAGCCTTGAGGTTTTGTTTATCTTTCATTTGACAAGCCAAGGTTAAAAAATGGACCCACAGTAATGTAAAGTCATCATGCAATGAATGTTTAAAAAACAATCATAATAGTTATGCTTTTATTTCTTTCAGGACTGGTCCTCTTCTTAGACAAGGCCACTGCTGTATCTGTGCACATGCTCAAGTACACTGGCACTGGCAAGAACGAGGACAAATACACCTTTGTCATCTCGTTAAATGTCCTGACCAAGTTTTTCACTTGCACCTCACTTTTAACCTCCTAAACCCTTACATCAGTATTAATATTCTCCATACTGTTCTCTATACATCCTCTAAGAGACTGACTATAAGTATTTGTTTAACAATCAAGAGTTTCTTCAAATGGTGATCATTTCCTTAATTCTTCTAACCCAGACATCCAATTCAACAATGTTATTGTGAGGAGAAACTAGATGCCAGTCACTCTTATGAATTAACAGATTATAATTATGGCTGGTTGAGAGATCTCGACCCCAAATATGATACTTAATACCATGGATACAAGTTATGAGAATGCAAATTGTATTGAACAAGTATGGCTTAACATTTACAGGAATTGAAAACTTTTATTTAAAGATACAAAATTACTTAAGTGTACTGTTTTATTAAATGGACTTGATATTATCATTTACTAACAGAAACGAACGGTTGCCAAGTCTGGTAAGAAACTGATCCTGAGCAGTAAGAACTGGCCCAAGTGTGTTAGATTAGAGCATATTTCAATGGATTGTTGTGAAACCATAATCAAATTAATTGCCGATGGAGAGAAAGGAAAATTCTAGAAGTGGCTGATGAAAATTCAAAATAAGGAAGCAAACCAGAAAATCTGGAGCAATCTTAAATCCTTGATTACTTTTGATGCTCAACCAAAAATTGCTCTAATCATAATACTTCCAGCAGTTAAATTCTCAACAGGAGCTTTCCCCAATAAAATCCTATTTTTCTTCTTAAACAGTTCTCAGCATGTCCATGCTTTTGCAAAGTACTATTTATTAGGGCTGATGCTACCTTGTAACAAAGTCAAGTAAAACGTACTGAGATTGTTTAATTGAAACAGTTGAGATAAAAGTTTCAGGTGAGCAATATAAAAAAAAAAAAAAAATGCTATGTCTCACCACACAAGAGTAGATACCCCTTTCCAATCCCTGGCTTTAGAAGTTGTATTCAGCAGTGAAATAAACTTTGTAAATTTTCATTGCTTACATAAACACAACAAAAACTGGTTTCAAACTTAATTTATGTAGTGCCATGCCTTAATACTTATCACTTGCAAAGCTTTACTATTACTGTAGTTTGATTGAAACCAAAAGAACAAAGAAAAAAAAACAACAGTAACGAGGATGCATGGAAATTCCAATACCATTTGTAGGGTTTCCATTTAAGAAGAAGCCCAACTATTATGTTTACTATAAACAGCAAACATCTGCACACTTAATTTCCATTGGATTCATGATGGAAAGTTCTTATTCCTGGGAAATTTCAAGCACTGATGCTTTACCTAACTAATGAAAATGCCACAATATAATCATATAATAGTTGACCCAAAAATGAGGAGAGAAAAAGAGAAAACAAAAACAAAAAAAACTCAACTTGCATAGGAAATACAACATCAATATGTTTTGTAACAATTAGATTGTGGAAATAGGAAACTAAAATGTGTTATCTTGATAGAGAAATTTTCAATGGAGTGTCAAGAGTAATCCATGATTCCTTTGTTTTTGTTCTACTTCATTCTCATTGGTCCAGAAAACTCACGCCATCCTCTCAACCAATCAGATGCAAAACTAAAACCAATCAACTCATAGTTACTCATTTTTTTCCAGCACTTTAGGCAGTTTGTTTGTTCTTCCTTTGAGTTCTCATTGGCTCTTAACCCTTTAACTCCTTTGAGTGACCAACACAGAATTTCTCCTTACAATATCAAGACAATTTCAACCAGATAAGTGATGAGAATAAAGAATAATATCAATTTGGGAATAATTGGTTCATCCAATACTAAATTCTCTGCGCTAACATTATGAAAATTGTATGGTTGTCAGTGAGGAGAGGTACAAATTTGATCTGGGAGTTAAAGGGTCAAAGGTATTTTCATATTGGTCAATGTGATTATTTTGGTTTTGGTTTTGCAACACTCTGTTAAAAACTGCTCTATTGCACCAAATTCTCTCAACTCATTTACAGAAAACATAACATAGTGGAGAGAATTACAAATCACCCATTGAAGCTCATACTAATTCCCTACTAACTGAGGCTCATCTTATTATGTGCCATGTGACCAGAGTCCAGCACAACTCTACAGTAATTGTACACTAAAGAATCACTGTTCCCCTTTGGCGTCTGATTTAAATGATGCAGCTCTGGGATGATTAAAGGCTAATAACATCAATGTCTTTCTTAATATTGCTAAGTAAACTATCTTCATGTATAAATAAAATGATTTCTTGAACTGTATTAAGCAGGATGTCATAAATGAGAACTGCCATCTTCAATTCTGAGTCGTTTCCAAATGCACACAACATTAGTGTCTGCAACAGCCACAATGTAATCCAAATTACTACTTGCACTGACTTGGTTAAACACTTTTGTTGTCTCATTTGGACAGGCCAGAACCTAAAAAAAAATAAACCAAACAAGGAAAGGTCAAAATTCATCATTTTTCTACATCAGCAACACACTTGTCTGGGCCTTTTGTGCCTCTTTCTTGTTCTTACCACAATCTGACTCTACCTGTGATCTATTACTGAACAGACATACGGCAACATTGAATCTATTTGATTCATACAATAGAGAAATGAACTGCTGTTCACCCTTAAACTCCCAAGATCTCATTAGTAATTCTCATTATTGTCTGCCATAAGGTTCTTGTGATGTTAGTATGGAGAATTTAGTATTGGGTCAACTTATTATCCTCTAACTGATATTTTTCTTTATTCTCATAACTTGTCTGCTTGATATCATATTGATATTGTAAGGAGAAATTCTGTCTTGGTCACTCATGGGAGTTAAAGGGTTAATGGTGATGTCATCTATGTGTCTGCCCTCTAATAGATCACAACTAGGAACCAATCGAAATGTGCAATTTTTGCTAGCATTTTTGGGTGTTCACCTCTGAGCTGCACTTTATACTTATTATGTAAAAGTAAAAAAAAAAAAACCCTCAGCAGAGTGGATTCCAATTTATTGTTTCCCTATATAACAGGTAACTGTTATAGAAAAGGGTATCTTGAAATACTACATAGAAATCATGCAATACTCCTTACCTGTGTTTGTTTTACATCTTCACTCTTTGTCGCCAACACATTTGATGCAACATCATACAACCAAACAGATCCTACATCATCTCCGGCCAACATCACTGAGCATGCTGGAACAGATATTGTTTAAAAAAATGGTTATGCAAAAACTGACAAGTTGAAACAATTTTATTCCAGTCTGTTGAAATTATGTTTGTTATATATCCCTAACTTTTCACTAAATGCAGATCACACACAGAGGTCAATCAAAAGAAAGCATGTCTTATTTTACCACAACTTGCGATTCTTAACCTTTTACACACTAATATCAGTATACATATTCTCCATACTGTTTTCTAGACGTTTCCTAAGGTGCTGACAAGGAGAATTTGTTTAACAATCAAGTTCTTCATTAGTTGGTGATTATTTCCCTTATTCTTGTGACCTAAATGTGTGATTCAGGGATGATATTGTTAGGAGAACTTAGATACTGGTCACTCTCAGGGGTTAACTAAGCCTTTCACTCTCAAGCTGACAGTAATGATTCTCCTTGCTGTCCATCATGCAATTTTTATCTCCTCAGTTTTAAGAATTTGTCGTAAAACCAAAAGATATCCCTTAGTTGATGATCCTATTAAATTATCATGCCCTTTCTGCTCAATAATGGATTAAATTTGTGGGGAAAAATTGCTTGTTGGTCACTCCTGGGAGTGGAAGGATTGATGCAAGATTGACAAACCTGGTACAAAGCTGAATTTCAAGAAAGGTACTTCAGTGAGTCTCCATGGCAGCTTGTGAGCCACTCTGAAGTCATTCTGCAAAACAATCCAACAAAACAAATCATTTACTTCACTCAGATCAGCAATACTTATGTTTTGATACCCCTTCTGGTGGTCTTGCTCAGCTCTTATTTAGCACAGTGACTGTTTAATAGGCATGGATTACAAAAACATCAGCCCTATAGAAAGTCTGTGGGAAGACTATGTCCACTTGAAGAGGGTCTTTGGAGTAACCATTTGTAAACCTCAGTTTCCTAAAAATATTTATCCTTTTCACTTATCACCAATAATTTCAAAATTACTTCACATTCATACAAAATTCATGATGATCATGTTTCACATAAAAATGAAAAACCACAAGAAATTCCACAAAATTCGCAAATTTAACTTTTTTTAGACTTGACCAGTCTTATCTTAATGTAAAATCTTAATGTTCAAGAACCATTACTGGTCTGTTTTATGACTTTTGTCAATCCAAATAAAGTCCATGTCCTGTCAAAACCTTGGTCAAAACTTAACCACAGCCACTTGAGCATAATACTAATACTAAAAAAAGTGCTAAAAATTCATCATGCAAAACTAACTGAATCACGAGTAGCTTTTAATTCAGCTCTTCATCCATGGGTCATGTTCAAATAAGAAAAAAAATGTTCAAATGGACATGAAAAGATCTTATCATCTTATCAAAAGAAAAATCAAATCATGATTCACGAGAAAAGAAATTGCCCAATCGCGCTTTACCTTACAAGTATAGGGGACCCTCCATCAAAGAAGTGAATCTGTAATTGAGTCTAATTTACAGAACACATGGGGTGTATATTATGGCAATGTAATAGTTTACTGCTTAATGTAGGATGAATAGTTGACAAAAATCAGCTTATTACAGGCATGACTGTATTACACCTCATATACTACATGAACAGATGGAAAAGGCTAGGATGAAGAAGCCTGTCATAGACCTTTTAGAAAACTTGCAAAAGACAGAGAAGAATAAATAATAATTCAAACTCAACATACCTTCATCATTTCTGACTCTGAGTGCCAAATATGAATGCAACCTTCTTCAACTCGTTTAGTAGCTGAAGAAAAACAAGAAAGACATCAGGAGACTAGCACTACTTCTACAAAAATTCTAAATCCTAACTATCTAATCATTTAATTTCATGTATATCTTCCATATTGGCTTCTATGACTAATGACAATGTTGTTTTACAATAAATAGAGCCCACAATTTAACTCCACACACCTTCCAGTAATACAAGTACAAACTCCACAACAAATAAATTATTCCATCTACTGGATCCATCCTATCCTTCCACTCAAAGAAAAAGTGAGTCAAACTTACCGATCATATTGTTTGACAAGCACACAATACTGTCTAAAGGAATTGTCTTTTTACCAGGAAAATCTAACTTTCCAAAATATGTCCTAAAAAACAGAGGTAGACATTTTGAAAGGCTTGCACTTCTGCTATTTTCAAGACCAACACAGTCACTATTATGCTCTTGCAAAATAAAAAATAAATAAAAGAAATACAAAATTTTTAAACATTGGGATATCTAGGGTTTAAGTCAGTGGCTGCCAAATAGGCAGAGAAGAATGAATTCATGAGTGTTATGAATTTCTTTGGCAGCTGTGCTTTTTGTTTTATGAACAGAGCACAGAAATTATCAAACATCCTTCTGATATCATCATTTGGATCCATTGAAAGAGATAAGCCTCAGAGACTTGTAAATCTTTAAATCATCAGAAGAATAAGACAGGCTGCTTTTTAAAACAGCAAAAAAATATCAATGACAACAACAAGAAGGCATATTCCCTTTAATTTAGAAAGAAGAGCTTGGCTGAAAATCTACAAAAAATCACCACATAAAAAAAGAAAATGCATTTTAGGAAAAACAAAAGTCTTACTTTGTTTTATCCTTTTTATCTCCTTTATCAGTTTCACTATCAAATAGATTCCAGACATAACAGCCATCGTCACATCCTCCAATAACTACTTTGCCATGTGGAGGAATTGAAAATAATCGCACTATTGAACGAGATTTCAATGTCAGCAGGAGTCTGCACAAAAATAAAAATACATATATTATTAAACTAGAATTACCCTTAGTGAGGAAACCCTTTAACCCCTAAGAGTGCTTAACATCCTATTTCTCCTTACATTATCACCTCTGAATGAAACATTAATGTCATGAGAATAAAGGACATGATCAACAACTAAAGATGTTGATTGTTAAACAAGTTCTCCTTGTCAGCACCTAAGAAAATGTATAGAGAACAGTATGGAGAATATCCATACTGATGTTAGGGTGTATTGGGTTAAAGGTGTCATGAATTTTTGTAAATTGGAATTAACCCTTCTACTACAAGGATCTGAGATCAAATTCTTCTAACTGTCAGCCATAACTCTCAAAATGTTAGTTCTAGGAATCTGATGTTGAATAAAATACAATCTCTCCCTGATAATGTTACACTTCCCAGATTTCAAAACACCTCCCAGGTTGTAAAAACACTTCCTGGATTCCAAAACACTTCCAAGATTTTAAAACACTTCCCAGATTCCAAAATACCAGAATTAGATTTGCCATAAAATAGCTGGTCACTCACTACAAGTGCTGTGTGCTCACTAATCACTGAACATTACCATAAAGTTTTTGTTTGGGATACTATTATTACTGCTTCAAAATATAGTTTATAGCAAGGGGATTACCAGTCTATGTTTGTGAAGAAATGTTTAATTCAGTTAAAGAATGTGTAGTTGCTGATAGGAGCAGAGGACATTAAAACGCGTCAGTTTTGATTTTCATGGAATTCACTGGACCCCAAGACATCTAAAATATTTTATAAACCACAAGCTTGAATTAAGAAGAAGAAGAAATCAATCTGGGAAGTGTTTTGTTCCTAGGGGTCACCATAGTAACCTATTACTAAACCGACACAAAGCACCATGGAATTCATTTCTTCATTAGTTATACACTGATAAAAAAAGGGACTTACTGTGATTTTCCCTGGTACTCAGCTGCTTTAGGCAGACCTATTTCCCACACCATAATAGTGTTATCATCAGCAGCACTTAGCAACCATGTGGGATGATGAGGGTGAAAAACAAGACATTCTAGAACTCCTTTGTGTCCCTGAATTTCTTCAAAGCATACTAGCTGATTAGGTTCTATTATTTTAATGTCATTTTGTAAACCTCCTGCAGCAATAAGGTTGCCTTTTCGTTTCTTTTCTGAATCATAGTCTAAATAAACTGTAGTCCATGCTACGCAGTAAAATGTTTCTCCAGGTTGTTTGTATTTTTTCATGACACGTCCAGTGCTGCAGTCCACAAAGCAAACAGAATCTCCTCCACATGTAGCACAAGTTGTGGTTGTGTGACCTAACAGCACAAAGAAAGAACTTGTTGAACGATTAACCCATAAAGAAGAAGTCATTCTGACCCTTAAACTCCCAGAACTGACTCAAATGTAACTTCTTCCCACAATATCCATCCACTATCCAGCAACCAGGTAATGAGAATACTCAAATGTATCAGGTGAAAGTTGTTGTCTTGATCTAACACCAAATTCTTGCAACTACAGTAATTTACAAGGATGTGTAGCAGCTAGTGGGGAGAATTAACAATCAGATCTAGAAAAAACATGCCCTCCTTACCTTCTCTCTCAGGATCTGGTTCAAACTCACAACCCCACACTTGAGTCTTTCTGTCTGTGGGATCATTGTTTAGTGAATGTGTTTGAAGTAAATGAGACACAGCAAACTGACAATAAGCAGGACTGCTGTTCTCAGCCTGTAGAATAAGGAAATAAACCAGTCACTGTAATAACTTTAATTAAGGGTTTGATAAGATTTCATGATAGTGACTCACTTAATTAACACAGAGAGCTCCTCAGCTGGTTAACATTATAATTCTCATTATTAAGATGAGCCTTCTCGCTTTGAAGCTAACTTCCCCTAACTTTAGAAGGAGCTAACATTTGTCAGTGGTGACAGATTCAAATCAAAATAATAGTAAAATTAATAACCTTGATTTCTCTCCCTTGTGTTCTTCGTTTCTTTTTAGTCACTTTCCCTTCTGCTGTTTTTGATTTCTTTGGTTTGTCTCGTGCATCATTTGCAACTTCAGCTTGACCGTTAACTAAAATATGAGACAAGGTAAAATCTTTAATTCCTCATCTCCCAGATCTGATTTGCAGTTCTTTCTTCTTGCTACTTTCCATACATTTAATCTAAAAGATTTTATGTTTCTTGATGACAACACCCTCTATATGATATGGGAGGGGACATTGGGGGTTCTGAACACCAAAATACTGCAAAAAATTTGGCAAATTCTGCAATATTGCCAAGAAAATCACAAAATACCACAATACTTCATTACCCCTCATTACCAATGTCATGCCAAAACCATCACTCTGTACATTACATTTGGAGCAAATGACAGATATAACTAACAAGCTAGAATTTGTTAATGGAAATTCAATCATATATTTTTTTTAATTTCAGTCTGTTTTTGAAAGAATTGGAGAGTGGAAACGGCTTGGAAAACACTGGAGGACTTGAAGGATAACTTAAGATACCAAACAGCATCTTGCAGGTTTGGAGAATATGGCAATTCCAGATTAAAGTTACCAAAATACTCCAAGAACAGTCCAAAACAAGTCCCACAATTTCTCAAAAACCCATTTTCTGCTTTGCTAAGTTTGTTTATTCATATCACTTTATTTTTGCACAAGGTAACGATATTGAAGGGATTTCTTTACAAAACACGACTTTGGTATGAAAAGTGTTGACCCTTTACACCATAACATCAGTTTGTATATCTTCTCCATACTCTTCTCCATATTTTTCCTAAGGTGCTGACAAGGAGAATTTATCTAAAGATCAAGAACTTCTTTAGTTGCTGATCATTTTCTTTATTCTTGTTAGCTTAATACCAGTTCAGGGGTGATATTCTAAGGAGAAATTAGATGCTGATCACTCTTAGAGGTTGAAGGATTAAATTTACTAGTAAAGGTAACTAGTCGGACAAAACACCAAAAATTAAGATTTTTTTTTTCAAAGGTAATGTCACCCATTTTTATTGGCCTCACTTTTGTGTGACTCAACCAGGGCCAACCAGGTATTCCGCCATATTTGCATCCAGTGTTTAAAGAGCTTTTGATTAACAAATATCAGAAGGGAATTTGGCAATGATTTCAGCACTCTACCTCTTTGAGTGTTTTGCAAGGAATAGGAACCTGTACAATATAACACAATGCATTCATGTATGTGTATTTATCATACCTTGACTGGTTTTCTGTTTTTTATTAGGTGGTTCTTCACTGATCTTTTCCTCACCCTTAATTTTCTTGAAATAGAGCTTTCCTAAAACTGTGAGCTGTTTAAATAACTTTTTTTTTAGTAAACATCCTTAAAATTGTACATCTACATCATCATTCTTTGACAAAAGAATTATCAATCCAGGTTAATTAGCAATAACTACCTTGTATTCCCTGTAGTTCTTCAGCATTGCAGGGCCACAAGTAACTTCAGACTGAAAGTGATTCACAAATGAACAAATTAGAAACTTAACCCTTTAAGTCCCAAGATCTGATTGTTGATTCTCCCCTGTAGCTGCAACACATTTCGTTGTAAATTAGTTATGAGAACTTGGTGCTAGATCAAGATAACAGCTTTTACCTGATAAGTTTGAATATTCTCATCACCTGTTTGCTGAATAATGTGTGGATATTGTAGGGAGAAGTTTTATGTTAATCACCTCTGGGAGTTAAAGGGTTAATTCATACAAGGTGGACAAAGGACATATGAACAAGGGTTAAAATACCAACACACATGTGACTGTGCAGAGGCACGAAAGAATAATTATACATATTAATGTTTTAAACACGTTTTTCGGTAGGTCACCTTTTTTCACATTTTCTTTCCTTAAATAAATTAAAAATAAATTAAGAGGATGGAAAGAAAAATAAAGACGGAAAGAAAGACATACAAAGATGGAAACTAAGACAAAATAACACAGAATGGACTTGAATATGTCTTGAGAATGGTGTACAGCAGTGTGTATCATGTGTGTCCACTCTCCCAGATACAGATCAAATCTACCACTCTCCTGTGCAGTTCTAGATAATGGTAAACTATATATTTTTTTCTACAAAAGAGAAGGATTCAAGCAAATTTTATCTACAGTGCCATTTTTGATTATGTCTGTCAAAGCACTTTCAATTTGTGAAAAGAGACTAAGATGAAGTATTCACAAGACAGTGGATTAACCCTGACTGGCCTCTAATTTCTCCTTACAGAATCCCTACTGAATCAAACATTGAAGTCATAAGAATAAATGAAATGATCATCAACTAAAACAAAACAATTGTTTGACACATTCTCGTTGTCAGTACCAAATGAAGTGTATAAAGAACAGAACGAGATTACAAGATATGTATACTGATGCCAAAGTGTAAAGGGTTAATGCAAAATCCACTGCAGTAATAAAAATTAATATTTACCTTGAGCTTTTCAATAAACTCATTTTCAAGTTCAGTTCTTTTATCTTCATCTAACTGATTGTACTTTGTGTTGAATTTCTCACTCCAAATGTCAGCTATCTACAAAGACAATTAAAACAAAAGAAAAAGCCAAAAAAAATGAGCTGTACATTGCAGGTAAAAAAGGATTAGGATAGGATTCAAATTATCTGACTGACAAGACCAAAAATGTTCAATCCACATTCCAAAGACAATGTGTAGAAGGAACACCACAGATAATTTGAAATTTATCTTGCTGGGGACAGCACCATCAAGAAGGACAGCACCATCAGGATCTTGGCATTTTTTTATATATAGTATAGAATAATGTGTTCTGTTTAATTTCAAAACCTAACTAATTCCCCTGTGGTCATTGCTCCCATGAATTAGTCATTAAATGGTATTTTTTGCCAACCTTTTGTGTCATAGTAGAATCCAATCTATTTACTGCATCCCTCATCAGACTGATATCCTGTAAACAAAAACAAAAGAAAATGATTTAAAATATACACACTTGTAGATATATAATAAAAAATTTGCACTTTCAGATAGCAAAAAACTATTAAATCCCTTGATTAAAAAACAAAAAAAAACAAAAAAAAACAAAAAAAAGGCTCATAACATAGCATAAATTATTGCACCTGCTACATGAATATCTCAGAGCATTGAAAAATAAAATTAACCATCATGGTGAGAAAATAGCTTGTCCAGACTTCCACAGCATGAAGTTACTAGGACAATAATTGTTTTTCATACTAGACTGAATGCTAAACAAACATAGGTAACCTTACAACAATTTTGCCGAGGGCACAGTTTGCTAGTACCCATCCATACCCCTGGGTAAAGAGTAGTACTGAGAATTCAAGTGTCTCACCAAAGAATACAACACTGTTACACAATCTGGCTTGAACCTGGACCTTTATCTCCACAGTCAAAATTCCCACACCCAATAAAAATGTAAAGTTTGTACTCTAGCCAAGTGGTCCGGCCAGCCGAAGTTTATCCTGGTTTCTTAGGCATGAAGTGACTGGGATTATTCCTACTGGAAGGTATGCGAGTCCATCACAAGTTCACCCCCAGCATTTCATCAGACTTCACATTAATCACTGACATAACTTCCTCTTTCAAAGACAGTTGGTGTGACAAGCATTAAGATATACACTTATTTAGAATTCAAATACTAACTTTCCCATCCAGAGTTTTTAACAAAGGGCAGATAGACACCAGTTTGTATTTGTCTGAGACCTGAAGGGAAAGAGATCAACACAATTGATAAATTTTTTTTTTAATCAATTCACTCTCAAGCTTAGAGCATTTCAACCAAATTTAGTTTTGCTTTTCTTCATCACAGATTACTTTATCTAGGTCAAAGACAGAGCAAAACCAAAAAGGTTGGAGAAATAAAACCCTTTACCTCCCATGATATGATTTTCAATTCTCCCCTATAACTGGCACACAATTACTTGTAAATAAGTTATGAGAATTTGGTGTTAGTTTAAGATAAAAACTTCTCCCTGATAAGCATGAGTATTTCAATTGGCTGGATAATGCATGGATATTTTGGGGAGAAGTTAATCACTTCTGGGAGTTAAAGGGTTAAGACAGAGGAAAAATCCAAACCATATATATTTTGCTATACATTACACAATTTCAGTGAAATCTGTAGTTCGCAGTACACAGCGATATTAACACTTTACAAAATTTTGGGGAGACCATAAACCAGGATACAATCTATCAGGATAATCTTACTATTTCTCAATTATACATGAATGGAAGACTTATGGCAATGTTGAAAATAAAAACCATTCTTCATAGTTAACATGCAACATGAAATTTGTTACCTCAAGGGTTGGATTACTAGTGACATCCAAACTAATCAGGTTAGGAAATGCTGTCAGTCCATCCACATTACTAAGCTGGTTGCTGGCCGCACTTAAAACTTTGAGTTTTGGAAAAGCTTTTTCACTGTTAACATCTGATAGTTTGTTTTTTGACAGATTGAGCTCTGCAAGATTTGGTAACTGTTGAAGCAGCTCATTTGGGATGCAAGTCAAACCAAGACCAGATAAACTAAAATTGGAAATTGAACAAAGTTGATGAATTAACAAGTAATACTTCTGTTGACAACACAACGTTTCCACAGACCAATTTCTAGTCTAGGAACAGTAAGGTGTCCTCTTCCTGGTAATGGTACTGAAAAGGAATGTTCTTTGAAAAATTGACTAATATTTCAATTAACTGTGTGGAAGTCATTATAGGAGAATTAAAAGCACATGTGATCAGATTACCCTCTCCTAAATAAACAACTGCAACTCCATGGATTCAGAATCTTATGTCAATTTGGTATTTTATACACAAACTACTGTATCACAACAATAACACAAACACCACAATTAAACCTTATGACAATGCTTTTACCTCAGGGTTCCCACCCTTTTTCAGAGACAAATTTCCAGAACTTTTGCAAGACTGAGATTGAATTTTCCAGGGCTCTGAATCTCATCTTACATACATACATACATACATACATAACTTTATTTGATAACGCAGGTTAAAATTTGCGCAACTTTACAGCTGATGTGGACCTGCCTAAACTAATTAGTCTATAATTATATAAAATACAGATATGATAAAATTTATAAGTTGAATAAATCAAGTAAACCATAAAGTTTTAGTAATAGTGAAAATTTGGTTTCATGTTTTGTATAACATTACCTCCCTTTTCAAAATTAATATTCATAACAGTTTGCTTGGATTGTTTTAAGTTATATTTAAAAATAGATAAATTTGGAGAATCTTTAACATTATCGGAAGTGCATTCCATGCTACTGCAGATCTATGAGCAAAGGACCACGACCCAATTCGGTTTTGGGCCTATTAAGTACAACATTCAGGGATTTCCTTAGGTTATAACTGTTAGAGTTCTTGGTCACCAAACAATTAATTTCCCGCAACCCTAAATTATAATAAGCATTATATGTAATAGTTAAGATACGTAGCTTATAAAAATACTCTAAAGGCATCCAGCCAACCTTAGAAAGTACATCATTATCCCCAAAACTATTTGGTATCTTATGAATTAGCCTGGCAGCCCTGATGTGAATCATTTCTAGATCTTTAAGCTTGGATCCAGACCCCAAATTGCAATTCCATATAGAACACTTGGTATAACTATCCTATAGTAAAAAAGTCTCCAAGATAGATGTACATAGGAAATTTATACGTCTCAACATTTTAACTTTGGCATTAAATGCAGATCTAGCCAATGCAACATGCTGAGACCAAGAGAGTTTATCATCAATTGTAACCCCAAGGCAATTGGTGGAGGACACATACCGAATGGTGTCCATACCCCACTTCAGCTGTTTCAAAGGACCTATGAAGGGGTAGTACTTAAGACCATTGCCTCGGATTTACCTTCATGTAGAATCAATCTGTTACTAAGACACCAGGAATTAACCTGGTCCAAAACAGCCTGTAACCCTGTTGTTATTTCATCAACAGTATTCCCTACTACATATATTGTTGTGTCATCAGCATACATATAGACTTCTCCACTGGTAATAGATTCAGGGAGGTCATTAACATAAGATGCAAACAATCTTGGTCCTAGTAAGGATCCCTGAGGGACCCCAGCTCTAATGGGGATTCTATCAGATCTAGACCCACTTACACTAGTCCCTTGTACACGGTTGGAGAGATAGTCATTGATCCATTTCCACATATCACCTGCCAAGCCAACAGCCTTGAGTTTCTCAGTAAGAATACTGTGGTTGACACAATCAAAAGCTTTATGGAAATCAATGAATAAGACTCCAACCTTATGGCCTCTATCCAGGGCACTCCCCCAGGACTCAGTGAGATGAAGGAGGAGGCTCTCCGTTGAATAGCCCCTCCTAAATCCCCATTGTCTATCTGTGAGAATGCCATTGGATAACATGTGATCATCAAGTGAGTCACACACTACCTTCTCAAGAAGCTTTCCTGGTGTACTAAGCAAGGATATAGGTCAGTAATTGTTAGGATCCAGCCTGTTCCCTTTCTTAAAAACAGGTGTAACTAATGACTCCTTCCATTGTTGAGGGAACTTACAACAGTCCATGCTTTTTTTGAACACCTCTAGCAGACCCTGAATAGCAGAGTCCTGTGCCAATTTAAGATCTTTAGGAAAAATATTATCAGGGCCTACTGCTTTGTTTGGATTAATAGACTTCAAAACATCTCTAACTATATCCCAATTCAACCATTCTTAAACCATTCATTATCAATACTTCAAAATCAATTCTCCTTACAGTCTACAAACTTTTCTTAGAACTTAAATTCAGAAAACTTTATCGCTTGAGCTAAGGTAATGTATGAAAGCCATACAACTCTCTCTGAATAATGACATATGGCAAACAGAGGATCAAAATGAAATTGCCATGAGCAGAATATGCACAAATTAAACTGACAACTAACTCAAAAGACTTTCCCGCGCATGGAGTTGATCACATGTTCTCGAACAACATTCACAATGGAAATCAGATGTGCGGCAACGTGGTTGTTGCAAATTACTCAATAGTTGTCAAGTCCAGTTGCAATATCAATAATGCATGCAGGACTGAAGTATTATAAAAAAGAGCTACCGTTTTCCTTGAAACGACCACAATCTAAATATAAACATAACGAGCATGCTGCGTCATTCATGTGTTAATGTGTCACATGTTGACGCAGGCGGAGCTAGTCACTTCTATCACGATCATGAGCCCCTAAAAAACAAATTAAAAAAACATACATGCAGGAAAAAAGCACTAATTAACAGCAACAAATCACATCTCAGTAAGTCTAAAAGCAGTCCAAATTATTTTGTCCCACTCTGAAATGAAGGCGAAGTTTCACAATTAAACTAGAGAAGAACTTTAATATATGACCATTGGATCGATCTTTAAACAGCTTCCTGTAGATCTTCTAACGATTACTTACTCGAGCTGTCGGATTTCAGACAAGTTCTCCCGTCCAGAACGCTTTTTGATGTCTTCTATTGTGAGTTGTGGAGTACTTGACATCTTCCTAGCTTAAAAAACTCAGCAATACCACCAGAGTCTATTTGTTTGGCAAGTTTCATCCATCACAAGCGTCCGAAGTAAACAGTAAAACACGTGTGTAGAGAAGACAGCTGTCATGCGCAATATTCCAACTTGTCAAATATAACAAAACTTTTAATTGGATAGTAAGAAAATGAACCAATCAAAATTCATAAAAGAAATGTTGCTTTGAAAAGATTCTAAAATGGCGGATGGTTGTGGCTGCACTGGCATTCGGAAGTGCTTACTGTGTGAAGAAAACAAGAAATCCAACAATATGTTCGCAGACAAGCGCAGCAAGACAACAGAAAATTATGAATTTTGTATTCTTTGTGGAGAAACGTTTCTCGTTGGTCAAGAATGTTTGCATCGCAAAGATATTGATGACGTAAACGTTAAATTGAAAGGTATTACTGTGATTCAGGACTTTATAAATGAAATTGAAGAGGAGACGATTGTGGCAGATATTGAAAAAACTGTTTGGAAGCCATCACAGTCTGGAAGGCGAAAGCAGGTGAGTAGAACTCAATGGTTTCACCGACAAGGACTGCGTTATCAGTACCTTGTGGGGGAGGGTGGGGGGGGTGTCACTGAAGTGCAGTTGCAGCGGGGGGGTAGGGAAGGGATGTGAGTGAGGCCAAATTTTTAGCGCAGAAGAATACCAACAACCCAAAGCATAAATTATAGAGGGAGTTTGGTTTTAACTGTTATTTTTATTTTTTTAACAAGAAAGATTCTCTGGAAAAACAAAGTTTTAACGCATGATTATAATTAAAGTTCTTGTATTTCACCTCCAACATGGTGCTTGTGTCTCTGTTGTTTGCTGATTGTTTGTGAAGCCTAACTGTCTTAAATTTGTGACTATTGATGGAGATCGTGATTTTTGACAGATACAGCTGATGTGTCTGTGGAGGTGTACATCCAAATGGACAAATTTGTGAGACAGAGGATAATATTATTATTGTTGGTAGTATGATGGCTTTGTTTGTTCCTGAAGATAAAATTTGCCACCCAAACATTTATTTCCTTTTCCTTTTAACATGTGTTCTCATTTGTCACAGGACTTTGGACCTCAGGTGAATTTTAAGAAAAGGAAATTAAAGCTGAATAACTTTACAGGACTACCACAGTTCAGTAAAGTTTTGGTGGAACGGATGTGGAGGATAGTTCCACTTTTGTCTGATTTTCAACCAGTGGAACTTTGTAATTTAGAGTATACACCAGACAGAGGCTCATCTATTGATCCACATTTTGATGACTTTTGGGTGTGGGGTGAGCGTCTAGTCACAATAAACCTTCTCTCAGACAGCTCACTAACATTTTCAGTGAGTGGAGATACCAGTCATATTGAGGTTTCTGTTCCAATGCCAAGGAGGTCTTTGATCATTGTTCAAGGACCAGCTCGCTATGAATGGAAGCATGCAATAAAAAGACAGGATATTCTTTCCAGAAGAATTGCTGTAACATTAAGAGAACTTGCACAAGATTTTTGTGAGGGAGGCAAAAGCTACACTGTTGGATATGAATTAATAAAGACTGCTCTATCTTTTCAAGGGGAATCAGTTCATGTCAGTATTAATAAGGAACGTGAAGGCTGAAGTCACATTGTCGTGTGTATTATGATAGTAGTAAAAAGTATTTTCACACAAAATTGTGATTAAAAATAAAGATTCTTTTAGAAGTGAAAGTATTCTCATTCTTTAGCAACTTTAAAATAGCTTGTAAAATCATACAATCAAATCAGAGCAAATTGCACAAGTGTGCTTGCCCTTAAAACATCAATACAGTATCACACAAATAGGTGGGTGATTAGAATAACTCAAACTGGTACAAGAGGTTATCTTGATCTACGAAAAAAATAGAGGGGAGAATTTAAAACAGATCTTGGGAGTTAAAAGGTCAAGTTAGTTAAGGTTCCACTGTATGATAGCAATATGATGCAGGAAAGCTTGCCTCAGAAACTACTGGGGATTGGTTCTATCATACTACAATGTCCTTCAGAGTTCTCTTTTCAAATTCTGACTTAGATTTCTGTGATAAGAGTTGCTTTCTTTGGTGGCTTAGAACCTCCCCATACTTGCTCTAGCTTTTCTCTTTGTTCTTTGTGTTGTCTGTTAGACATGGATACCTCTGTAAGAACAACTTCCATGTTTAGCACAAGAGATTGCAAAATATGAGTGTTTGTGTGAACCCATGCTAATAAAAACTCTACTTTCTTTTTTGCAAGCCACAAAGATTTACATAAATCTGCTTCTTTTTGGTTCATTTTGGAGTTGACTTTCAATCTCTCTCTTCCTCCACTGAGAAGTCGACACAAATGAGACAGAGCACTGTCAACAAAGTTTGTTTTCTTTCTCTCCATAACAACATATCCTTTGATCAAAGAAATAACATCCAGAAGCACCTGATGAGATGATTCCTCAGAACAGTAAAGGTCCTTGCAATCTAGCACAGCACTCAAGGAGCTGTGAACTACTGACTCCACACTGTCAAACACAGCATTTTTAGAAAGCACAGGTGAAAGCTGTAACAAATTCTCAGCTGCTTGTTCTAAACTGTCTTCTGGGCATCCATTGTACAGCCTCATGATATATGCATATGAGAAAATTACATTTATACAACTGAACCGCACATTTGGATTCACATTTGAATTTTTCATGGCTAACAGTAATGATGTGATGTTCCTTTTTAATGCTGGCATCTTTTCCTTTTTTTCTTGTTCCTTAGTTTGGATTTGATGGCTTTTGCTTTTTTGTTCATCTTTCTTTCCTAAAATGTTGCTCCCTTCACTTACAAACTCTATCTTCTTTCTATCAACAGATATCAAGAGAAAAAAAGTAGTTAAAAAGAATCAAATAAAAAACAAACAGGTGCTTGTTATGAAAGTGTCTTCTCAATTAAGTACAAGTGAGTCTAATATATAATTTTCTGGAATACATAGAGGAAACCAGAGCACTTTTGAAGAACCACCTATAAACCAAGCAACTTCAATTTCACCTTTTAATTCCCACGAGTGACCAAGACAGAATTTCTCCTTACAATATCAATACAACATTAAGCAGACAAGTGTGGAGAATAAAGAAAAATTTCCACTGGGTTTTTTTTAATTGATCCAATGCCAAATTCTCCAAACATCATAAGAATTTTATGGCAGACAGCAAGGAGAATTACTGATGAGAGATCTCGGGAGAGAAGAGTCAAACATAGTTCAGTTAGCACAGGGTAATGCAGATAAAGAGGGGTATGAAGGACTTTTGCTTAAAAATGATGGGAATGCTACTCAGAAATATTAGAATCAACCTCATGACCTCATGCTATTCTAATTAACATATAGAGAAGCCTTGACTGTGCTTTGTTCTGTTTTCAAGCACGCAGGAGCTGGCTAGAGTGCAAGAGAAGTGTAGGGAGAAACACTCAACTATGTCTCCCCACTTCTTAAGTCCTGCCTATCCGCATGGTTTGAAGTTCTAATGTAAACCCTATGTAATTCCCCGATATAATACTCATTTGCATAAAAACTCTTGTCAAGTCCGTCTAGGCAAGTTACCTGTTATTTCTGTCATCTTGTTTAGTCCACCACGGGATCCAAACGTCAATGACATGAGAAATCTCTCCGCTTTTGACGGCAGATTCAAACTCTTTCTGTTCACTATCTGTCAACGCCGACCACACGGCTTCTGTGTCATTGTTTATATCAACATTTTTCAATCGTTCCTCCAAATCTACAGCATCCTGAAAGCCTTCTTCTTCATCCTGCTTCTTTAGTTTGTGCAACAATTCCAGCATTTTATGCTTGTCTTCACTACTACTCTGTTGTTCGCACATTGCTTCCATGACACAATCTTTGTAAAAAAGCTCCGAACACTGTAAGTGTTTATCACTTTTATAGCACACACTGGAACAGTATCGGACATGGCAACGAGGACACGTGTACTTGGAGACTTCTTTAGAACAAAACCCACAAGGCGAGTTGCTCTGAGAGGTCGAAAGAACGTCCTTAAAACGATCACCGGACGATTCATCCGCCATATTGGTCTTTTCTACACCCAGTCTCTTCGCGTATTCGCAAATGGGTAGGACGTTTTGTGCAAGCTCACACGAAGTTGTAATCACTGTTGCGTGACACGTTATGTAACTTGTTGACGACTTCAGGTTTAGAACACTTCTATGTAGTATTTTCAAGAACTAGACGATCGCCAAATAGCTATATTTTTGATATGATTGAATCTTATTTCATTAAGAAAGAGTCAAAATGTGCAAAACGCAAGCTGGGCGAGAAGGAAATTGTGGGAGAGCCTGAAATGAAGGTGAAAGCTTGTGACAATCCAAACGAACAACCCTCTTACTCTAAATTATCTTTTCTTGAAGGAAATAGAAGGACAGACCTTAAATGGAAACGTATAACATCAGAAAATTTAAACCTTGATTATGTGCAGTTATTCTCTAAAACTGAAGCTGACACGCTCTTTCAAGAGGCAGAGAAAGTGATAAAGTATAACAAAGACAGTAAAGTGTTCGTTCACGGAAAATGGCACAATGTCCCAAGAAAGCAAGCAGCTTATGGAGACGCAGGTCTAACGTACACATTCTCTGGTTCAACTGTAGCGGCACAGCCGTGGAGTAATGCTCCCTTTCTCAAGCACATAGCTGACCTTGTTTCATCTCTAACTGGTGGACACCAGTTTAACTTTGTTCTTGTGAACAGGTACAAGGATGGACAAGACCACATGGGTGAACACAGAGATGATGAGGTTGATTTGGTTCCCAAAAGTTCCATTGCGTCTCTGTCTTTAGGTCAAACCAGAGACTTTGTGTTCCGTCACAAAGATGCCAGAGGAAGTGGAGCTCAAAGAAAGATTGATCCTGTTAAGTTTGAACTGTCTCACGGCAGTCTGCTTATGATGAACCACCCAACCAATGTGTATTGGTTTCATTCCCTTCCTGTGCGGAAAAAGGCAATATGCCCAAGAATCAATTTCACATTCAGACAGATGGTTGTAAAGAAGTGATGGATGTTTTCAAAGTTATGAATCTGATACAAGGTGTTGTTTTTGAAGAGCATAATGATATTTTGTGGTTTGCTAGGAGTATTGTCAATGGCAAAAATTCATGACCAAAATGTAACGGTCTACCCTCTTGAAAAATTCAGATTGAGTGCAATGCATAGTACTGGCAATGCAACCCAACCCTATTTCAGACCTGATTGTTTGCATGAAAAGAGTCACAATTTTGTTTGAGAAATACTGAATTGGAGATTTCAGAATCAATATTTGAAAGTGCAGTAAACCTTTCCTGGTAGAAGCTGACATGAGTCAGGAAATACTCTGACATCACAAACATATAGAAACTATATTCAGATACTTCTTGTTTTGAACGACCACAAAACTTTCCTGTTTCAACAATTCTTCTTAGAAACTGGATGCTTCCTTGTTTCTGTAAGCTTTTGGAAGTTTCTTGATGAAATTGTATCCTAGTGTTAGCGTTAAACAGTTATGAAAAATATGTAACATGATCAGTCAATGCTAAAAGACTTTGGGGAACTTTTCCTTACTGTACTCTGTACATCAGTTCTCATGTATGGAGTTCTTGATAAAGTAAACAATGAAAAGAAGAACAATAACTGTAATAATTTGACCTGCCAAGTGTGTTGTGTGCATTTTTAACTGGTCTATATTGCATTGCCTGAGTTTTTTGGCAGAGAAAGAAAAATTTTTACCTCTTTGATCCCAATAATGCACTTTTCAAATTGAAGCCTCCTCTGTAACACTTTGACTGGTATCTAATTTCTCCTTACAATATCACCCCTGAATCAAACTTTATGGTCAAAAGAATAAAGGAAATGATCAGCAACTAAAGACCCTCTTGGAAATTCTGCCAGTGCAGTCAGCATCTTAGGAAATGAATATTGAACAAAATGGAGAATATGCAAATTGACGGCTTGTTATGAATAGCACCATAGCAGAACATTGCAACTTCGCCCCATGTTATCTTCATCATGTATTCGCGTTTCTTTTGTCTTTGACGAGACTGACGTCATAAAAATTTCCCCGGCAGTCACCAGTTCTCCGGTCTTAAAACGGGTAATTTAGGAGAAAGGAAATAACAATGGCGGAACCACCGGGAGCGTATTCGGTGAGAGAAGTTGAAATGAATACCGATGAACGCTACGGCTTCAGAAGAGAGTTCAGAAAGCAAAAGTAAGTTTTTATTCCCTTTGTTTTGACTCCTTTTTCTTTAAGTAGGTTGCCTTCTTTGGCCGTTTTACGTCAGTGTGTGTTGTGGTCCCACTTCCACTTGAAGTTGGGGGGTGAAATTTTTGAAGGACAATCGACCAGTAAACATGCAAAGCAAAGCAAGGGTTCTCCGGCGAACCGTCCTTCGTCACCTTTATTGTTTTCATGTGCTATGTTATTCTTTCGATATTTTCGCGAAATGGGAGAACAACATCCATGGAGAAATTCAGAGAACCTTGCGTTCCAACCACTTCACATTCACGATGCATTGTAATGATGTTCTGAACAAATTTACGCAAGGGATTTCCAAGGCGATCAGCGCATTTTTATGAAGAATGGTATCAATCCAATCGCAAAGTGATTATTAGTCTTTAAAATACATTTTACTTAAAGGGCTGTTGTTGTTTTAATGTGTTTATGATCCATGACTTTTGCTGTAGCGTGTGACAAATTTAAAAGCGGAAGAACCCCTCAGGAAGTGGTATCTTTTGGGATTTGTAGACTAAAGAGACCAGCCTTTGCTATTCCCACATTTCAAGGGAGTTCTGTCTCTTCCGGTTAGATTTAGCAACATTGATAACGATTTACGAAAGTGCGTTAAAGGATTTGATCTAAAAGCCATTTACTTTCTTTCGGGTGATAATAGTTGATCGACTGCTTGGTAAACTTCCTCCTCATGTACCCATCTAAGTAAGATCGCGTGCCTTGCGCAGAGTAAATCGATGAGTGATTCAAACAAAACAGATTTCTCTCCATGGTAGCATTTAGCTGCTGTTGAAATATAGTGAACTATTAAATAAACCCCTGATATAGATTTATATCCTTGTGAGCTGTATAACTACCGGTAAGCGCAAATTTTCGAAACATTTTCCTTTTTTCGAATCTTTATTTTGACTACCAGTGGCTTATTGCATGTAGCTACACTTGCAGATACTGCAGGTCAAACTGGTTAAACTTTTGAATACAAGTATATTTGCAAAATTATTTTAAATGTATTCCATCAAATCAATATTTGGACAGTTTTCATTTGGAATTGTTTACATTCCTATATAGGGTTGGCAGCTTGTTCAAAACATATCTAAGCCAAGCTAGGGTGAGGGTGAATTTTTGACTTGGGTTCATTAATTTTCTGATCTTTTTACAAGTTCAACTTCCTTTAATAATGTTTTTCCCTTAACCCTGTAACTCCCATGAGTGATCAAGACAGAATTTCTCCTTACAATATCAATACAACATCAACCAGATAAGTAATGAGAATAAAGAAAAATATCAATTTGGGGATTTAGTTGATCCAATATTAAATTCTTTAAACTAACATTATAAGAATTGTATGGTTAACTGTAAGGAGAATTACAACTTTGATGTGGTAGTTAAAGGGTTAACAAAGATAAAACCCTGCAAGATGTTTGACCTAATAAATAAATTTCTATGAAAGAAATGAAAATCAATAGAGAGCAAAAACCTGCAGTCCTTCAGACCATTTTTTGTGGTGAATATTTATCAAAGACAAAAAAGAACAGACTGATGCTAGTGCTAATGACTGACTTAAAAAAAGTTACTCAAATATGTCTTAGAGTGCTGGAAATCATTTCTTAGAAAGTTTCAAATTATGGGAGGGAAGCATGCCTGCAGAACCCTGTAGAAGAGCTTGTTGCTTTGCAACACATCATACTTGGGGAAAGTGTAGTTCAATTCAACCAGCTACTCAGATCAGTTCAGATCTTACAACCCTGACTATTAATCCTGGGATTAACTCCAAATGCATTTAGAATAACAGGCCTCTTATGGTAACTTAGTGGTTATTCATCCTTCATCCTTTTACGTTGTTTTAGGCTTTGTTTTAAGGATATGGATTCTAGCGTGGAGGATCATAAAGAAAGCAAAAGGGGAAAACCAGTACCGGTGAGTATTAAACAAGGGCTTTTCAGCGAAAAATGCAGTTTTTATTTTTTTTAATACAACCATTTATGCAAATTATGTTTGACATATTTGCTGACACACCTTCTTTTAAGTCCCAGTCTCAGGAAAATGAACCCAGTCCCTTCAATATGACAGCAAAGAACTTTCCTAAACGAAGGTAAGGCATGTGAAACAAACCAAGTTAACTTGATAGGAAATTTTCTTGAGAAAGGTTAACTTTTAGTCGGAGTGATAATAAGTGTAATAAGTGAGCCTGGTATGAAAGCTCATATATTTATGGTTGTAGCAAAAAATTAGACTACCAGCTGAAATTTTGAGGGAGGCAGCTCAAAAATGGTGAACTATTGTAGGTGCATAACCTCAAAAGTGCTTGTTGTGCATTACGGAAGCAATCCCTTGTCAAAAATCCAACCAGTGATTATTGCTGATCTGGACATTATCTAAGGCAGCCTATATCCCTAAATACGAACTCCAAGCAAGTATCCACTTTACACTGTGCAATCTTACCCAAATAAGAATTTGATGTTAAATCAAACAGTATCCTTAGTTGATATTTATATCTTTTAAACATTCTCATTGCCTTCCTGCTTAAAAAAAGATATTTTAAGGCAACATTAATAATTAGTTACAAGAATTTGGCATTTGATCAAGATAACAACTATGTGATGAGTTTGGGTATTCTTATTACCTGTTTGCTGTATAATGTATCACTTCTGGTAGTTAAGGGCTTAAACACAGGCAGATAGAAGGAAAATGATTTTTTTGAAAAGCTGAACAGGGAAACTTACACTGTGAAAAGGTTTTTAGGGATAATTCATCATATTAAGTGTTTTACTTATAATTTGATTTTTAGAGAATGTTACACATGGATTGTATTTTTTTTTTTTAATTTCAGAAGCCGAATGCATGCCTCTGTTGCCTCTTATAATCGTACCAGGTAACTTAAATTAGTAAATTCATTTTAAATCACCTTTCAAAGATGGTGCCTTAGAATTTTTATTTTCTGATGAAATTACTTATCAAAATAATAATTATGGAGGAAAAGTCCTTTGGGAAGCATATGATTGACCAAAGGCTACCCATTGAACCAAAAACAACAAAACTTCGGTGGGATTCTTATTGTTTGTGTCTAAAGCCTTTTAAATTTTTTTCTGTTCACAGAGGGAGTACAGTCAGTGCCAATAAAGCTCTAGAACTTGTTCGAGCAGCTTTGCAGCCTTCATTAAATTCTGAAATTGAGACAGTTTTAAAGAGCTATCAAGAGGTATTTGATATCGTATTGTGGCTTGAGACTCTCCAGTCAGCTTTTATTGGTCATTTGACTTTTTCTAAAGGAGCTTATTCACAGCATTTGCTAGTTGAAAATTAAGCCCTACTTTTTCAAGTTCCTCATTCTCATTAGTACTCTGCAATCTTCTGCCTATTTATTTATTCTTGGTTTATCATTGCCTTATATGTACTTTTCTGATCTGATTGTTAATTCTCCCCTCTAGCTGCTTCACATTTCCATGTATATTAGTTACCAGAATTTGGTGTTTGATCAAGATAACAACTCCTACCTGATGAGTTTGAGTATTCTCATTACCTGTTTACTGAATGATGTATGGATATCTAATATACTGATATCTTGTAGACTTCTTGAAGTTCAAAGCAGTCTTGCATAGCACAAGAGGATACTGTTGCAAAATGTAACAAACCTCTTAACTCAGTTTAATGTGTATTCTTTGGTGGAAAGCAAAACATCTTGTTTGGTGTTGTTCCTTATATTTGTATGTTGTACTGGTCCTTTGCAGATGTTCCGTATGGCAGCACGTAACATCAAAGACAACACAAGTGAATCAGTCTCAGAAGAACAGATAAAAGCTGTCCTGAGAAGAAGCTTAGATGAGGTGTGATAGAACTAGAGAGAGAAATAATATTGATTTCCCTCCCATGAGTGACCAAGACAGAATTTCTCCTTACAATGTCAAAAAAAAAAAATCAAACAGACAAGTGATGAAAATAAAGTAAGGTAACAATTAGGAGATTAGAAGAAAAAAACAAAAACATTATCAGTTTATCCAATACTAAATTATCCAAACCAACGTCATAAGAATTGTGTAGAAGACAGTGGGAAGAATTGGTAAGGAGATCTTGGGGGTGAAAGGGTTAACATGCTGAGTCAAATATGTTAAGTGCCAGGTTACTGATAAATCTTATTTGTTGTCAATGTTTGATTCACAGGCGAAACTTCTGTTCAGGGTGGACACAAAGCCTCATCACCCAGACAGGGTAAGTACACAATTCACTGATGTCACCACCTTCGAGAGGTCTGTGATCAAGAGATGGTTGACTTTAGGTCAGATTCCAGGCCCCTCTCCTCTCAATTTGTCAGTTGAATGTTTAAACTGAAGTCACTGATATGGATGCATTTCATCCAAAACAAAGATACAAAAATTAATAGGCAACTGTTCTTGAAATTTTTTTGTATGGTGATGAAAATTTTTAGTAATAATAGAAATAATATACATGAAAATTTATGTGTCTGATTTGCTGAAAACAAGTGCATTTGTCATGTAACACAAGTGCAAAGTTAACACAAGTCCAAATTACAAATAGCATGAATGTAGTGCCAAAATTTTGTCTGTCTTGACTTTCCGTGGTGTCCTTTTCATGTAAATTATGATTAAATACCAACATGATTTTAAGTGTAGTTTGGTGTAATAAGCACTTGACAAATGTAACTTTTCAAAGACTCCAGATTGCACTTGCCCTGCAGGCTTGTGCAACTTTGTTGTCTTGAAAAATTTACTTGTGCTTATTAGCACCAAATTGCACTAGAGATCATTTTTTTTACCTATACTAGTAGTTTTTAGTTATCCTTGATTTCCCCTATCAAAGGAAATAATTTGTTTTTTTTTATATCTAAGAGATTTAGCAAACTTTATGGGATATGAAGAGATTTGTTCTGTATCCAGGAGACTTTGGGAAAAAAAAAAAAACAAACAAACAAAAAAACAGTAGAGTTGAGATATAACCATTAACCCTTTAACTCCCAGGATCTGATTGTTAATTCTCCCCTGTAGCTGCTACACATTTCCTTGTAAATTAGTTATGAGAACTTGGTGCTAGATCACGATAGCAGCTTCTACCTGATAAGTTTGAATATTCTCATTAGCTGTTTGCTGAAGAATATGTGGATACTGTAGGGAGAAGTTTTATGTTAATCACTTCTGGGAGTTAAAGCGTTAACGTCTGTTTTTGTTTATGTGAACAGTCCCCTTTAGAACATGGTTCTCAATCCTTATATCTTTAATCCTACAACTCCCAGTGGTGATTAACATTACACATCACCTAAAATATCCATACATTATCTACCAAAGCAAACAGAAAATGAAAATATCCAAGCAAATCAGGTAGAAGCTGTTATCTTGATCCAACTCTATCTTCTCACAACTAATTTACTATGAGATGTTTTGTGACTAGAAGGGAGAATTAACCATCAGATCTTGGGTGTTAAATGGTTAACCAGTGTTAACTTTGTTGATTAACTTTTTCTTCAACAGAGATATGAGAGAGGGGGAAGTCCTGCTATTGTCAAGAAGGTATCCTATTAAGATTAAGTGGAATATTACAAAACTCTAAATTATTAGACGCAGGTGTAATGATGGTGATTACATTTACATACTGTTGATGTAAATGTTAGAAGGAAGCTCTGTCAATTTATACTTACCATAGGTGTCTGTTGTGACATGCAAAGCAACCTTAACTTCAGGGAAATGACTAAATGTATCAAAAATTGAAATGGATAGAATAAACTATTAAGTGATAGGGATGATAAGAGATTTGGGAGATTGGCAAGGAAAGGTTAATAATATGCTCTTTTCGGAGACATGGCAATTGTTATATACTCTTAATTAGCTCCTTTAAATTAGTAGCAGTTCATTCAAGCAGCTTTCTTAACAGCCTTATAACTGGTAAGGCTGACCAGCTCCAGCCCCTCTAGCTAATGTGTAAGCTGATATGCAAAGTCTAAGGTACATTATGAAAAAAGAAAAAAAGCAAAAGGGAATAACTTATCAATGCTAATTTTATGTTAAACCATGCTGTGTACATATTCATTTTAAAAAAAAGCTGGAACTAACAGGTGCAAAGAATAAGAGAATATAGCCATTTAGCAGACCTTTGTTAACAATAATATGTTTATTTATTGATTTCTCTGTTTGTTTTTCCAGAAGAGGGTACGCCCTGATGTAGAAAAAGAAAGGTAATGAAAAAAAAAAAAATAATGATGCTGCAAAAAATATTGGGAGATTTCCATCCATTGTAGCTTGAGTTGATTTGTGGCTATAATAAGTCTTAATTCCAAAACAGCTCAAAGTTTCCATTATTAAAGATATTTCTACCTAGAATTAGACTATATATTGGAAACAGTGATGTGACATTTACTGTTTATTGGCCCTTTACACCCTAACATCAGTATTTGTATTCTCTCTACTGTTCTCTATACATTTCCTAAGGTGCTGACAAGGAGAATTTGTTTAACAATGTCAAGCTTCTTGAATTTGTGATCAGTTCCTTCATTCGCATAAACTTTATATTTGATTCAGGGGTGCTTCTGTTGAGAGAAATTAAACTCTTATCACTCTTAGGGTATTAAGGGCTGACATACTTAAGGCTTCTTCTGGTTTGATGTTGTCTGAGTTCAATAGGAATGTTGTGACCATAATGTTGTTGTTTTTTTTAGCGAAGGATCACCTCCTAAAGTAAACAAGGTGGACAATAAAGCGATAACCAGTAAGGTAAACAATACATGTTGTTTTATTTAATATGTTTTTCAACAAATGGGAAGATTAAAAAAATTCACTTTCTTGTAAGACTTATGCACTTGAAAGATGCTGGGATACAAAGCATTTGAAATTTAATGTAAAAAGGATCAGTACTAGTGTACACACATCGGAGATATAGAGGAGCCTTTTTGGTTTTTAGATGGATCCTGATTAAATTAAATTAATACTTTATTTATATAGGGCTATTCTTTCACTATCAAATAGCACTAAATACAATGACTAAATATACAGACTGAAATAAACATTAAGTGCTCGAAAATCCCAACTGGCAGTAGGCAGACCAGTTGGCTATTTACACTGCACAGCCAAGGAGTTGAACTTGGGGCAACCAAGAACAATTCTAGTAAATGGCAAGGTGGAGGACTTGAACTCAGGACCACCAGATTACAAGTCCAGCACCCTAACCACTCAGCCAAGCTGCCTCCTGATGATTTTGTAACTTTTGTTAAAACCTCTTGAGGGTAACTGGTCAGGTGGTTTTGCCACAATTCAGTTTTCTCCCCTTACCTACCCCTGCAATGTTCACCCCATCTATAATGAGTTTACCCCCAAATGAAAGAAAAAATAAGACCTAAAAAAAATGTCAGCATCACATCACAATATCACATTGACTTAAAAAACTCAGTATCTCTTCAGTTTTTTTTTCTCTTCAGTTCCTTGGTATTTTGCTCTAATCCCAGTTCTTTTTTCCACTCTTGGCCATGTTTTGTCTGAGAAGAAACATGTTTTGTTGTTATGAAAATTCAAAGGGTAGAAAGGCCTAGCAGTAAACTTTTGTATTTGATAGGGTTAACACATCCATGAGAGGGCAAACTTGTAGGTGGCAAACTTACTTTGGGTTAAATCCTTAAATCTCTTCCACACAGTTAATATTTGAACTGTTTTTTTTTATTAAAGTGGGATCCAGACAGCATTACTGAGGAAACTGAATTCATTATGGGAGTAAAAGCAAACAAGTAAGCTTGAATTTATTTGGCAACCAGTTATATAAGTTTTGTTGAAAAAAAAATGCCTAACATTATGTCATTGAAAACGCCACCATTTTTTGTGTGAGGGCATCAAATAACATTTAAGAAATGGCTCTCATTTCTCAGTACATTTTTCTTTTAGAGACGTAGATAAGATGTTGTAAGGTTGTTGTGTTCTCTTGTTTATTAAACTGTTTTTTTTATTTCTTAAGAGCCCTTGGTTTTGCTGCTACAAGAGGAAAACTCTACTACAGACATCCAGAACTTTTCAAGGTAAATCATTTGACATGTCCACCTTAATATTGTTAATTAACTCCCTTAAAGATCAGAATGCATAATTTTTTGCCAAACCATCCATGTCTAGACCACCTTCCTTGTAAGAATTTCTGAGATTTCTTTTTCACTATACTGCAACAAACAAATGCTCATGGGGGACAGATAGTATGCATTCAAAGTTTTCCATTCTTCACATGATTATGCAGAGTTTTAATGAAGAGCAGCATTGCAACTTTTGAATAAAACTCATTCATGCACACTGTACATTGAATAAACTCTATTTTTGGATGTTGATCATGTGGTATAAACATAAGGTGGGGAGATGCCTGGGAAGGACTGTTTGCACAAACAGAGAGGAGAAGATCAGAATGAAATCTGATGATGGCTTTCACTTTGGTTTTGGAAATATGTGTCACTGTTACTAAACTAGAACTACCCTATCACAGACAGTCAAATCACTTAATTGATTATGACAGTTGAGTTTGAACCAGTTACTGTATTCTATTCTAGAACATGTTTTTATCTTTTACTCTACAGTACTCGGGTGACTCTGATGACAAACTGTGGCTGTTTGAACAGAATGAACTGCCCATCACTGGAGGCAAGGTATAAAGCTAAAAAATCCTGCTTAGCATGTGAAAGGGTTGTTTAGTTTTAAAATATTTGCATGTTTCCTCTAACTTATACTGTGTTCATCTGTTTATAGGCATTTCTCATGATTGCAGATGACATCAGAAAGTTAGCTGATCATCAGGATTACAGGTCAGTAGCTATCATAACACATTCCCAGTGTACTAAAATAAGTAAAACAAGGATGATTTGGCAAACATCAAAAGTCAGCCTGATTTTCCATGAGGAGGTTGGGACGAGGAAGGGGGAAGAGGGTACCTAATATTGTTGATAAAGTGTTTTATAGACTCCCAGTAATCCATCAGTTTCTGTAGAAGGGGAGCACTTCCCATTCCATCTGAATCCTCTAACCTATACTGAAAATTTTGTCTGACAGGAACAATGAAGGTCTAAATCTGGAGGAAATCAAGGGTTTTAAGGTGCCATCAAAGATGTTAGAGAAGATGAAAAGCCACATGAGAAGTTAGTCCAAATTTTGTAACATGAAGTTTTTTCTTTCAAAGCTTTTACTGTCAGGTTTGAGATTCTGACTGACAAGTCTCCTGTTTTTGACCCCTTAACTCCCGGAAGTGATTTATATGCTGCTTCTCCTTATCAAAATAACAATAACAAATAACAATTTTCCAACAAACAAGTGATGCGGATAGACAACGTTATCAGCAACAGGGTGTAATCTTGATGTGGTATTGAGTTCTCTTAACCAGTTCTCAAGGAAATTTACAGTATATAGAAGGGAGAATTTGCAATCAGATCCATGAATAGTGTCATACCATAAATACCTATCATAAGCCTTGTTTCATGTAACACTCAATCTTGCTTTTGATGGGGATTTGGCTGCATTGAAGAACATAGAGCCTCTATAATTTTTGTAAAAAAAATTTTGAAAGGCCCTGAAATAAGTTATCCTAATAGTTATAATAATTGAGAGGAAGAGAGGGAGGGGAGGGGGGGGGAGCTTTTGAGTGGCCTTGTGCTAAAATGGTGTCAAATTACTTTATAGAATTGAAGAGAGAAGCAGCCGCACGAGGTGAAGTTAGAGAGAAATTCAAAGAGGAGGAGAGTCCTGCCAACAACGAAGTAAAAGAGTCAGCTGGACAAGAGAGCAAGGAAACACCCTCTCAAGCTCCAGATATCAAACAGGAGCAATGAAATAAATGACGATACCTAACAGATAAGGATCGATAGGAACAATTGTATTTATTAGAATTAGTCGTTCTTAGTAGAACTTTACATTAGAGTGGCTCTTCATCTCAGTGGTGAACCATTTTTATCGCGAGTAAGTTAACTGTATCCTAGAGTCTGTTGATAAGTTCTTAAGTTAGACTTCCTTAAATAATTAATCTCCAACCTCTGTGAGGGCCAAAGTATAGCCAGGCTCTCCCTATGAGCGCTGCAGGGCTCCCGTTTTCCGTCCGTATGAAGATTTGAGACGAGTTGGGGAGAGGTTTGCTAGGTCCTAGCATACCTCTTGCCGGCTTGCTTTTCTAAAACTCAAACTTTCTGTTGGGCGAAGAAACACTCTTGTCGCAGTACATAATAATATGAGAGCCTGCTTGTCGGCTAGCCAGACTAGAACTTTGAAATTTTGTAAAAAAACAGGCAAAGATGTTATCCAAGTAGGATGTCGGAACCAGTATAGAGTTACAAATGGAAAACTGAGAGGTCGTTGAACGAGCTTCACGCTCTAGGAATACTATAGGGAAATTCTTCCCCATATTTTAAGTTTTTTTGGGGTGTGAAACATAACTTGTTATGTCCTCAGACAAACCAACTCTTAATTTGTAGTCTTCTCGACGTGTTACAGTTAAATCACAAGATTTTCCTCTTTCCTAGAGGTTTCCTTTCGTTACTGCATTAACGACGCCCTGAAATGGGCCAATAAAATACTGTACTCGCTTTTTCCTGTACCCGCGGAAGATGTTTTCACAGCGGTTAACGGGCAGTGCCAAAGTGGGGAAGGGGTGAGAAGTATTTTTTTGGGGAGGGGAGGGGAGGGGGTCGATAAGGGTGAAGTCCTGAGGATCATATATATGAGGTGCAAAGAGAGGGTGGCAATTTTTGTTACAAAACAACCCGGCATGCCCAAGACCCCAAGACCTCAATGAAGGACCACACCCCACATTTCTACAGAGGCCTGCCTTTGCCCCTGATCAACATGAAGAAGCTGGAAGATTCCGACCCACATTTCAATTCAAAGATTTTCCATCTCACAATGACGGGTGGGCTCTTCTGTAGCTAATTGAAGCGCTTGCTTTTCAGACATTTACAACAGGGGCGTGACTCGAAAGTCTCGACAACTTTCAGAGCCTGTTGCCATATAAAGAAACTACAACAACAATTCTAAGGAGCCCCATTCATCCCATCCACTTTCATTTAATCCTCTGTTAGCGACGACTGATCTCTCTTCGTTCTCCCTGAAAACCGAGTGGTCCCCCATCCCCCTCCAAAAATCCTCCTCTTCCCGGATAAATAATGACTGGTCCCTTACCACTTTAGAGCATGCATGGATTGGGTGGGGTAGCATTAGCTTGATGCAATCTCGTACCCAGATCCTACCGTCAAACAGTGACTGAAGTGTACAACCGCTTGGACGTGAAAGATCTGGACGTCACCAAGCCAGACAACTATTGGTTCCAACAGTAGTTTATTTAACTTAGTTTAGTCATAGTCAATGTAATCTAAAAAGTTCGATTCTTACACAAATTACAGTATTCAAAGTGCAAAAAAAGAAAAAAAAAATGGGCAAGTGTTCTTTTGTCGTTGAACGATTTTTACTGAAGTATTCCATATGCTAATTCCAGGCGAAAAATTGTTCTTTGAAGATTAGTGATTTCTAATTAAATATTCCATATGCTGCCAAAATTTTTTTTGTTGTTGACTTTTTAAATACCTTGTTATCCCTGTGATGCGAAATTGATTGACCGTAAGAAGAAACCGCTCGGTGAAAGGGTGTCGCGAGCCCAAAAGAACAAAGGTACTTAGCCAGGTCTAACCTCTTGAGGACTGTACCACGTAGCAAAGAACTTCATTCAATGGAGTTCTAAGTCACCTCACCAAAACAAGTCGACAAAGAAATTATAAAAAGCGGCTGAACAAAGATATACCAAGCACAAAAGAGCATTATGAGTCATCCAAGGTTAGCCCAAATATGTGCTTAAGAGCTATTTTCAACTGAGTGTCGAAATTAATCCACGATTGCTTTGTTCTTGCTTATTTCCCTCTGCGATTGGTCCAAAGAATTCGCGTTACTCTCTCAAACAATCAGAGATGGAAAGCTAAAACCAATTACGGCTTGGTCGCTCGCATTTTCCTGCGCTTTAGGCAGTTTAGGCGGTTTACTTTGAGTTCTTATTGTTTCTTAAATATGTTTTCCTCTCTTTTGAATGGCCGTGGTGATTACCATGGTTTTGGTTTACGGCACTCAATCAAAAACGTTCTAACAATGACCTAGGAATTATCGTAAGCGACTATGGCTTCCACTTTTCAGATAATACCAGCTGAACTTTAAAGCGGGACAAAAGATCGCAAAAGTTCTAATAATGAAGACTAAGAATCACAGATGATGCATAATTATGGTAATAAATATCTGTCAAAAAAATGGGCGAGAACAAGTAGAAATATAGCAAGAAAGTTAAGCATTTCACAAACTGGACAATCGGGTCTACCTAACCATTCTTCGCTTCTTTCACCCGAGGCTGGATAATTTCGGTGTAAAAATACCATTATATCATCAGAAACATTTTCTTTTGGAAATATATTATCCTGAGCCGTTCTAATTGCTGAAAGATCTAAACTTGGCCCGGCCTTACTATTCTGAGGCCTTCGTAATATGTAAAAAGAAGCAATTTTTACATTTTGAGTATTAACAACGCATTGTACCATACAGCCCGGCTAAGTAGGCTTTAATGTAGGATATATGCATTAGTTGTTGGACCAACTAGGACAACTTTATTTTTTACCCAGCCATTGTTTAGGCCTAATCAGGAGCTTTTGACGCTCGGTACCACTCCTTCGCAGACCAAACTTTTCTAGACTATTACGTCACCTATCCCTCTTCATACCAAAGTGGGTGTCAATGAAACAGAGTATTTATTCTTTTAGTAAACCACTCAGGTAAAAAAAAATAAATTACTAAAAAACTTTGCTCTTCTTGTCATAATTTAGAAACAAAATTTCGCTAAAAGATTTTAATAATCACATTCACGATTGTTATTGAATATTAGCAAGAAAAAAAAATTACTCTTGATATTGGGAAACCCTCTGTCGAAGAGCTGGGTGATATTTAAAGTTTTCATAATTATTTTAGTTTTCTTATACCATCTGACAGCAAGAGAGGCTGTTTTTAGCTTCTAAACAGAGCAGCGTGTTTGGATGTCACAAGTTCCGAGTAGGTGCATCGCATTTTATCAATCTGACGATTAGTTAGTCCATGGATAGTATAAGGAACTTATGAAAAGACTCCTTCACGGATGTTGTTTGGCCATGTCACGAAGAGAGAGCGTGTTGCGTGACGTGGAGGAGCAGAAGACTATGCGGCGAGGAGAGTTTTAATTGGCAGAGCAGTGAAATTGGGCAGCGAATGTTACAAGGTCCTCATATTCCCACAGAGTGCCACTAGACATATTTTAGCGCCATCAACCGAGTATTGTACATAAGTTTCGATTTCCGGAGATGGCGCCAGCTTAAATACAGTACAATATAACGTGTTTTAAAGAGGATAAACTCTCCGGAAAAATTACTGATACAGATTAAGTCTGAGAGTTTACCAAGTAATAATTTGGTGTTAGCTTACATTGGGATAGGGATTGCAGTACTCTTAGTTAAGTCGTTAAAAAATCGAGTGAATATTATTCTTTGGTAGAGTAAATTACTTGAACACGAGTACACTGCGTGATTTGCAGACGCGAGTGATGTTTGGGAACTCTTCGTTATTGCACGAGACATAAGCGAGATAAATTTGAAAACACTTCAGTCATCACAAGTGACCATCAATCACGAAGTATGCGAGTAGTTTATACGATTTCTAGCCTTTTAAAATTTTCTACGAAAAAGAACTTTGAAACGCTGCTTTTGATGCACACTTATCGAAACACTTTCCGACAGTTCAAAAAAATGCTTTCTTTGTAAACCGATGATTTTCCATAATCGTGAAGGGCAGACTAAGGTCAATTTGGTTTTGGTAGTATTTTGAAAGCTTAATCCTTTTTAGATAATTCGATACGGAAATTCTGTATTACACTCTTGCATTCGTTATTGACCAATAAGGAAAGAGATATTTGGTTGAGCATGTGATATAGAAGAAATCATTATTCCGCACCGAATATCACTTATCGCTCAGCAACGAGTTTTCATGATCAAATTTGATCTACAAACCCGCCCAAAAGCCTATTTTTATCTTCTTGTAGCTTACAATTTTTTTCTTTAATCATCCACTCTTTCAAAAGTTTCATTAAATTGAATTGACCTTTTGGCGGGTCGGTTATGAAGTGATATTAGATTTCTTTTTCCGGCTTTAAGTGCTTAATATTAGTCACGTACTGGCTAATTTTCAAGTTTCCTTTCCCCTTTTAGCCGTGTGAATTCCTTTGCGGTCCTTATCAATTCTATAGGACTGGTTGTTTAGTCAAAGAATCACCCTCAGGAAGAAATCTCCTGCGTTTTCCGGCTGAAAACTCCTCTCACCAGTCCCCCTCCGTCGACGTCTATTTCAATACCTATTTCAGTACCACGTGCGTAGCACATTCTGGCCTCGAGCTGTCGTTAATGTGTTCCTGACCTGAAAGATATAATGAGGAAAGAGAGGAAAAAAAATTTTGGCACAATTTTTACAAGTTCGATTAAGCTTAACTAAGAAGGTCTTTGTAAAAATTAAGTCTGTCGCAGTGGTAGAGTCGTCTGTGATCTGCACGAGAACCCTCAGGCGTTTACGATGTACGTGCTAAGAATTACTTATCAAACGTAGCCAAACTCTGCATGAAGGCTGGAGTGCAAAATTTGTTAGGCGTGGAAATTTCACCATCAATGCACGTGATGATCAACGTGCAGAAGACAAAAAAAAAATTAGAAAATAATATTAGATAAAAATAAACATAACAACTAATCACAGATTGAACAATCTCTGATAGACTTCTAGACAACTTCGCGTGTTGCTAATGACAAATTTGCGTCAGAAAATAGCAAACACACTATTATGTTGGCTTCTCGAGATAATTTTTGCTGAAAACCTGGAAATTTCGTCGAAAAGCCCTGCGCCACGTTGTACGGATTTAAAAGCGAGACGATTCTTTTCTGGTGGTAACCTACGAAACATGCGCTCCGCACGACCTTTACATGTGACGCTCTGAAGAGAATGAGTCTTACTATAGTTCAGCTTAAAGATAGAATCGAGTAATATCTTGTGGGGGAAATGTATATTAAGCTTTTCAGAGGGATCAAAACGTTAGAGAATATTATCACACTAAGACTGAAAAGAGGGCTTTCTGTGTCACGAAAGAATATTTTGTCCATCAACAGTTTATATTTTTGTCAGCGGGGGTTCGGAAATATACTCACGATTGACGTTCCCCACGTCAATGTTCAAGAACCGTAAACTTGTCCCAGACACTTGACGCATAATTAATATTGTCCTCTTTCCACAGAGAAAACTGTCATTGGACGATCTGTTGTCTAATATAATTTATTCGTCCAGCTTCCACTACATAAGAAGTAGCTTGACTAATCTGAGTCGCATTTGCCTTGCAAAAGTCCTTTACTTCAGATAGCAAGCAACCATGGTAGGTTGGGGTTACGAAAAAGAGAATGGTAAGTTAAACACTTTGGCGATCATAACAATTTTGTTTCGTGTTTGCAAAAAACAAACGTTCTCCACGTAGGAGGTGATAAAGTTGCAGCGCGAGCCAAGTAATTGTGAATTTTATTTCCTTCTAGCTTCCGATCCTACGTAAATAAACACAATTTCAAATTTTTCGTCGACAGGTCCCGCACACTGGCACAAAGATTGTCCGATAGCTAATGGTAAGAATCAATCGCCGATCGATTTAATCACCGGTGAAGCGAAGTACGACTCCGGTCTGAAGCCCCTGACAGCGAAGTATACTCCGTTTAGTGACGCAAAGTTTTTGAACAACGGCCATTCGGTGCAGTTCCAACCGAGTCCTGGAAATCCATCAGGTAAACAATCATCCATTAACATATGTACATGGGTAAATTTCTGTTTGAACATGGAACAAGCTAATTTGCAAACCACAAAGCAGAAAACAAAGCGGCTCTCATTTTCGAGAGACAGGAAGACTGATGCAGATGGCAAAATTGACGGCTTTAGGCATCGGATTAAAAGATAGAAAGGAAAACTTCGTCTTAACTTTGGATCCTTCTCAATTAAAGCCGGGAGTGTGTTTTTATTTGTCTAGTCTCCCTAAGAATATTGCACTTGAGTCGTTCTTCTGTGTGAATTTTCTTTCTTCAAAAAAACAACCCAGAATATTTTTTCAAGCATTCGTTATTTTCTACCTAGAGAAATATTTTTGTGAGTTAGTTCGCATCTGTCAAACGAGGAGAGGATCCGTGCGTGATTGGTATTGATGAAAATGCCTTGAGCTCGTTAGGTACTTTTTTGCGACCGTCCTGGCAGTGTGTGATGAAAGCCGACGCGTATTATTTATTTGGTCACACCCCAAGCACACCCATGTCTCGATTCCGTCTCGTCCCAATCCAACCGTTGTTATGTTTTAAGCGATAGTGTCGTCCCAAAAACTTACCTCGTTATTTCCCCGCACGAAAAAAGGCAATTGGCAGCGATAAGGAAATGTCTGAACGCACCAACCATCGAATGAATTTAAATTAAGAACAATAATAACGGTCCTTAAACGCTTCATATTGCATATAATTACTTAAGCATATTTATTCACGAAACAAGGAATACTTCAGACGCACAATATGTCTTACGTAATTGCACTCTTGCACAAAAAATTAATGACAAAAGCTTTCTTACATCTCGAACAGAGCAAATATTGGAATCACTGTCAGGAAGCACTCGATTAGCCTATTTATGAGCTTATGGTAATTTTTGGCTCCGAACAAATATCAAACAAACAGTTCAAACGACGTAGTTTTTTCTCTTCAGACCCTCGATAGTATATAGTTCACCAAGGCTCGTTTTGAGTACCCAATACAGTAATTTGTTCTGGATGGTGACACTGAGACGACGCCAACTTCAATTAAAACAGTTCGCTTCAATTCACAAACCCGTAGAAATGAAAGGAGGGTTGTTTTGTTTCTAGAGTGGTCAACAAAGAAAAAAAGCAATAAATAATATTACCATAAATTATTACATGTAATGTTTTATTCATCATTAGTCTTAGAGAGGCAACGTGTTTCTCAGTTATGTAATATTCCTGCACCTGATGTTCACATGTTAAAATATTTTCTTTTCTTCTTCTACTTCTTTTTTTTTCCAACTGCAAGCATTAAAACACAAAATAAAAGAAAATGAGAATTGTATTTTAGGATTGTATCGGATAAGTATTATCTAGCCGCCTAATTCATTAAGACTTCTCAAAATACAATGTTTATTTATCATTAGTTGTATAGAGGCAACGTGTTGTTCACTTATGTAATATTCCTGCACCTGATGTTCACATGTTAAAATATTTTCTTTTCTTCTTCTTCCTTTTTTTTTAATTTTAATTTTTTTTTTTTATTTTTTTCCTGCAAGCATTAAAACACAAAATGAAAGCAAAAAAAAATATTGAAATGCTACCATGTCTTGTTCACTGCGACACAGAAAACAGATTTGTACTGTTGGAATTGTGTTTTAGGATTGTATTGGATGAGTATTATTTAGCTGCTTAATTCATTTAAACTTTTCAAAATATACTTAATTACACTGCTCTAATATCACTGAGTTGCCATGGCATTTGTCCAAAGTTAATATTAGTTTTAACACTTTTTGGCATCAGAACTAACTGGAGGAATGTTGACTGCAAAGTACAACTTTGAGCAATTTCATTTTCACTGGGGTGGCAATGATGCTGAGGGTTCAGAACACAGAGTAGATGGAAAGATGTACCCAGCCGAGGTAAAAGAAATGTAGTAAACTTACGGACCCTGAGGTGAAATTTTGATAATTTTTCATCACATAAGTGTCAGAACATTTTTTTGTTTTTGTTTTTTCATTTTACCTGTAAAAATATCAATAATTACACAACCTTTTGCACCCTTGTATTCCCCGTCAGCTGTATACTGAACTATAAGGCTTTTAGAGTATTGAAGGAATATTACTTCCATTTTCTTGTCACATAATCTGAGTTAGCTGTTGCTTCTTATGTGTTATAAAATCATATAAAATTGGAAAAAATAACTTTAGTTAACACCTGCACAAGTAAGGTACAGCAGTTGGACAATCCCATGTCCACAACATATTTCTACGTGACTGGACAGTGTTGAAAAAATTTGTCTGTGGGGGAGATGGTGGGGAAGGGAAGACTCCCTCTTTTGGTCTCAACAGGTACTGGTATTTGACTCCCAACAGGAATTAGTCCTTGGGGTGTAAAATTTCACTATTTTGAAATTTCTCAACTCTCTGAATTTCCTTGAAGGGAATTAGAACACTGATGGTCTTAATTTTCATGACTAAAAATCTTTTTCTTTGAATTAAAACCTTAAACATTTTGCCTTAACATTTTAGCAGTGGCCTTAGGTCATTATCACCCCCTCCCCTCCCACAACTGTCTTTCAAATACAAAGTATACTCCTTTGTTTGTTTTATCTTTCTTTTGCAGTTACATTTTGTTCACTGGAATTCAACTTGTCCCAGTTTCAAGGATGCTGTTGGCTCCGGTGGCCCAAATGGTTTATGTGTGTTAGGATTCTTCTTGAAGGTACTTTTTTTCAGTGTTCTCAATTTGGAATGGTGTTCTGACTGCATCAGAAAATTTATCTTAAGTTGGTGTTGCCCTTTGTAGGTTGGAGCAGAAAATGCAGCCCTGAAACCAATCATAGACTTACTTCCTCATGTGAAAGATCCCGTAAGTATTCTGACCTTCTAAAACTTTCTGTTCTTAACCTTTGGCCCCTAAGAGTAACTAGCATGTAGTTCCTTCTTACAATATTACCCCAGAAACACACCTAAAGGTCACAAAACTACAGGAAATCATCACCAACTAAAGAAGCTCTCAACTGTTATACAAATTCTCCTTGGAAATGCATAAAGAATAGTATGGGGAATTTGCTTTCTGATGTTCAGGTGTAAAAAGGTTAAGTTTTAGGTTTTATTTCTGCTCCTTTCTTGAGTTTGGTCTTTGATTGTTCTGAGAAGGGGGTGAGTGTAGGCATATTTCCTGAATAGTGGCTAGTAATCATGTCTAGTTAAGTTTATGCTCATCATCTAGATACAGTAAGCTATTTTAGAGAGAAAAATAAACTGATTTAAAACATTCTTTTAGGGAACCTCTGTCACAGTGCCTGGGAAGTATGATATGCAGGCTATTTTGCCAGCAAGTAAGTCCTGATTCTTAATCTCACAAATTTTAGTCACTTATTCCCGTTAAAACATTTGATTTTTATATTAATACAACCTAACACATTCATTATTTTGCAGCCCTCACAGATTATTATACCTACGATGGTTCCCTTACCACTCCCCCTCTGGCTGAATGCGTCAAATGGATTGTATTTAAGAAACCTCTTGAAGTGTCTAAAGCCCAGGTATGTACCATTCATTCTTCAGATTCTATGAAAAGAAAAAAAAAGTATTTTAAATTGTTCATGTAATCAGGTTATGTTAACTATCAGATCAATGTATCGCATCATTCAAACAATTGGTGGCCTTGTTTAGCTTATCAATTAATCCTGAGCTGTTCATGGGCCAATAAAAAATTTGGTTTGTCAAATTGATGGTTAGTGGCTTATCAGCTGATTTTCAGTGATGTCTTGACATCCTGATAACAGGCAGAAGGCAGACATCTCAACTGATATAAAGACAAACTATTGTAAGCTTTAGTGCTGGCCTTCTATTGGTGGAAATTTGACTGACTATCACTGAACATATCAACCTCTAGTTCAAATGATTCATTTATGGTCAAATGTTTAAGTATGTGAGTATGTCAGCCAAACCTTGGACATAAAGACATTCAACTTCCCTCTGAAAAAGGGAACAGTAATTTTAAAACAATCAAAATGACTAATGTAGGTGAAGACCAATATAATGTGGGGAAACCCGCATCAGTGGATACTTAGGGGACTGTTGCCAGTGTCTTCTTAATGTAGGGTTTCCACTAAAAAATTTTCTGGGAAATTATCCAGTGTGTATAGTACATATGAGCATACCTGGTTGAAAAAAAGGCCAGCATATGAAAGGATACTGGTACTGGTAAATCCATGATCAATGTAAATAAATTGATTGATAAAAAGGAGATGGAAACTAATTTCTTTTGTTGCTCCCTGAAGGAAAATAAAAAATATCTAGGCAGCTTGAGCAGTTTTTTACATTTATCTCTTGTATTCCTTTATTAGATGGAAGCATTCAGATCCGTGATGAATCGTGATGGAAAGCCAATGGTTGGAAATTATCGCCCACCTTGTCCCTTACATGAGCGTGCAGTCAAGACTTCTTTTAAGTAAAAGACCCAGCCTAGCTGGGCAGTGTGTCTGAGTGCTAAGAGTATTAATGTAATAATGTAGGAATAGTTTTTGGGAATCCATGACATTCATTAGCACAAATGGGTCAAAGGATGACATTTTCTTTTTTTCTTAGCATTCCATGAAATACATGTATTATTCTGTAGTGCAGTTAATTTTCATTGGAAAACTCAAATACATAGGCTGTTGTAGGAATTCAAAACTGCATGTTAAACTGTGCTTATTTTTTGTTTTTGGCTTGGACTAGACTAATTTATTAGTGTGAGTGATTTATTTATAGTGCAGGAACAAATAAAGCCATTGTTTGAAATAATTTTTGTCAGTGACTGATTTTCCATGTTTAGTTTTTAACTTGTGGAACTGGGAGGAATGACCTAAAATGCAAAGAAAGAAAACATCAACACAAAGGTATTGTTTGATTCAACACCATAGTTGCAGTGCCAAATTGGAAGGAAATGTGTGAAAGATGGTGCAGAGAATTGAAATTTAGATCAAGGGAGTGGAAGAGTACAACCATTAAATCCTTAACCCTGTAATTCCTAAGAGTGACAGGCATCCAATTTCCCCTTACCATATCACAGCTGAATCAAACATAAAGGTCAGGAGAATAAAGGAGCTGATCACCAACAAGAGAAGCTCTTGATTTTTTGACAAATTCTCTGTCAGCATTTTAGGAAATGTTTAGAGAACAGTATGGAGAATATCCATACTTATTTTTGGGTGTAAAGGGTTAAGAATGACTAGCATCTATTTACTCCCCATGGTAAGGTTACTAAATCAAACACTCTGGTCATTAGATTAAAGGAAATGATCACCATTTCAATCTTGAAGTTCTTGACTGTCAAACAAATTCTCCTAGTCAGTACCACAGCAAATATATATAGAGAACAAATATATATAGAGAACATACACTGAAGTCGGGGTGTGAAGGATTCAGTATCAGACTTGCTTTATGACTTTAACAAGTAAAAGTTACCTTGGAACATTAATAAGAATAGTTTTAAACTAAGGTTAGCTCCTATTGATGAGCTTAAATTCTTTAGCCTCCAATTAATCATTCCCTATTTCAATGATGCCCGGAATATGTTTAACGATGACTTAGGTTATCATGTTATAGGTTTTCTTTAAAAATCAGTTGAATCAAAACAACGATGGCCAAAAATAATGTGAAAAATCCTAAAGGTTTCTTTTTTCTTTTTTGGGAGCTTTGAAAAAATAGGGTGAGCAGAAAATGGAACGTACCCGAAAAAGCCACACCTGTACTTGGCAGTGCCTGTCACAGACTGATGAAAGCGAGTAACATCGTTCTTGTGACTTTACAGTATCTTGTCCAAACACGGTTATACTTTCCAGCCTCATGGTTTCTTGCTCCGTTACCTACGTTGGCTGTGTACAGCCGCCACCGCCCGCCTCCCTTCCTTCTACTTTCTACCCTTGCATATATTTTCTTTTGAGGGTAGGGGGCAGTTTTACAGCAACTGTAGATCCTCGTCGAGGGTGACCGGAAGTGCGCGAAGCAGCGAGTTCATGTTTATTACGTCGAGAGGTTACTAAGTAATTTCGTCACAGCTCAATATGGCGGACAGCTCTCAAGGTAAAACGTAACTTTGTCGTCTCACTTACCTTTTCTTCAACGGGATAAGGAGCCGAACGCTTTACGAAAATTTATTAGCATGGCGTTAGTAAAAAGAGGGGATCAGTTGAGTGTTAGTACGGTGCAACAATCTACCACAGAATCGAAAGGAAAAGGTCATGTCAAAGTACTTGATGAAGAAACTTACGTTCAGGTGAGTGTCTTTAGAAAGGTTTACACCGTCATGTCATTCGTTTGAATTATTTGACATTCTGTTAAATAGATTTTTTTGTTGGGTATCCGTAATTACTATATCACTGTGCCACAAGCCTACTTTTAGATCATGTAATTTATGTGGTTATGTTGTGTATATTTATTTTATATTCTACAGGATATCTCATCTGGGGCCTGTTTCTGGAAAGAACCAGTAATTATGAGCCCCCCAAAAGCTTTTTTTTTTTGTTGGATATGTTTTTCATTTATGATCGAGATATCGATAAGTTTGACATTGAAAAATTTATGATATGAGGAAATAAAACTGAATTCTTTTTCAGCCAAGACCCACACTCTAGTCTTCTTTATTTCTAAGGGCCTGAATTGTTACTGGAATGGAAAGATTTCTGTCTAATCCTGTACTAATCTAAAATAAAGCCTTGGGCCTAATCTATTTTTTTGTGATCATTTGCTTTTATCAAAGAACTTTGTGCATCATGAAGTACACTGTATATTGCAGTATGAAAATCTTGCCACTGAGACTTTTAAAGAAAAGGACCCCCTGATAGTATAATCAGTAGAGTCCATCTGAACATATGACCTATCTCAAAGGGCTTATGTTTGAGACATTGGCTTTGAAATGCTTAACAGTGCTCAATTTGCGTTATCAACTCAGTCGATAGTACCAAATTACCTTATTTCAATTTGACATGAAAAGGTTTCCAATCAATTGAGTATGATTTTATGTATATCAGATACACAAAAAGTTGTTTTTTTCTCTTTACAGTCTTTGAACAAAATCATTCAACGGGACTTCTTCCCTGAGCTTTCAAAACTCAGAGCACAGCATGAGTACCTTGATGCTGTTGAACATAATGACATGGAGAAGTTACGCGAAATTTCAGCCAGATATCAAGTGACACAAACACCAGGTGGTTCTTTGGGTGAGTACAAATGAAAGTACTGAATGCAATTTTTTTTCATGGTAATGCACATTTTGTTTAAGGATCACATGAACTATTTTGGGCTTCAAGATAATTTGGTTTTATCAACTGGGTTGATAATATAAATTGGCCTCCGTAAAGATTTTTTAGAGCTGACGTTTTGAGTATTAGCCTGTTCTCAGAGTGGATATTAATCACAATTCCTCTACTTGCTCTTACAAAGGGCAGATGCTGGAATGGTCAGCTTCAGAAACTCTTTACAGAGCTTATTGTACATTATCAACTCACTCGATAAAAGTAACTTATGTTCTTATACCCCCCCTGATGCAGCACCACATTTTCTTTTGAAACTTACCCCTTTATTTTGAGCCTCGATTACTATATCAGTTAACCCTCTAACTCTCATGAGTGATCAAGACAGAATTTCTCCTTACAATATCAATACAATATCAAGCAGACAAGTAATAAGAATTATTGAAAATATTAATTAGGGAATCTTGGTTGATCCAACATCAAACTAACTCCAAACTAACATCACAAGAAGTATATGGCAGACAGGGAGGAGAATTACTGATGAGATCTTGGGGGTTAAAGAAACAAAAACAGGGGAGCAGCACAAGAGTGGACTGTTGGCTAATAGTGAGATGTGATCATCTGTCCTGGAAGTAACTGTTGTTTACTGAAAGTGACCTTTGTTTTGAACAATAGAAATAGTAGAAGTCATCCTCAGAGACAGTTACTTAATATCTAACAATGACTTTTCTTTCATTTTAGAAGTGTCAGGTATACTCTTATCCAAACATTCATTACACAACACAACAGTTGTAATGACTTTTACCGTAAGTGGCTGCAGATGTTGTAATAGGTGGCAGTGCCCAGAGAGGGGCTGTAAAGTGAAACCTAATAATGATAGCCTGCTTCAGGCTAAGTAGAGATTGGTTAGAGGTCTTGAAAGTGGTGGTAGACTCTGAAAGTAACATATTATGGCAAAAACAGAACATTGATTTTCATTAGTCCAGATTAACTATTTTACAGTTTGCATGTATTTAAAGGAGGTTGTTTCTTTTTTTACTTTCAGCTACACCAGCTACATTTGACACTCCCAGTACTATTCAAGGAACACCAGCACCCTCAGGTACAATGACATCAGATAACAGTGAGACTAGTGGTGCTCCGACAGGAAATCACTTAGCAGGTGACAAGTCAGAGAGTAAGAAACAGGATTCCGACTTATCACTAGACAAGTTTCTTGTAAAGAACACCAGTGAAGATAATGCTTCCTTTGAACAGATCATGGACACTGCTGCCCAAAAACACAGAGAAAAATATAAGTGGCTATATGAGAAAGAACTAGAACAGAAAGAGAGGAGAGAGAAAACTCTTGCTTTACCAGCTCCTGAAAATGGTGATCAATTCAAAAATGAGGAGAGACCATCAATGATTGAGACATGGAATTACACCAACAAAAATGCTCTGATGTATTACCCTGATGGCGTTGAGCTTTCTGTTACTGAGAAAATAGAGGGAAAGTTTATTAAAAGACAGCAAATACAGCATGAAAACAGTAGATTTAAAAGGGATCCATTTCCTAATGATTCTTGTGATAATAAGTTGGCTGCTGCTGCTGAAGCAGCAAGTCGTCTAGCTGCAAAACAAGGCAAAGTTGGAGTAGATGGGCAGATCCAAGGTGCTGGTGAAACTCCACAAGTGAATGGGTATGGTTTTGTTGCCACACCTTCACCTGCTCCAGGTAATTGAATTTTTTTTTTTTACGGAGGCTTAGCACCTTTTACCAAGGTCATTTATTATATAAAAACAAACAAAAACAAAACACCTGACAAATAATGATTGAGGAAGCAAATGATTAACTCGAGCCAAATCTGACTGAGATTATCATGTCTTATCATGGTTTGGCATAACAGCAAGCAAGTAAGTATGTGATAAAAGGTTTTTTTAAAGGCAAAAATTAGAATATTACACATTATAGACAAGTTTTTGAGTTATTGGAGAGTGAAGATGTAGTGGAGAGAATTTTTGACACAGGTACAGTATGTCTCCTGTAACCAGAAATGACTCTGTATAGTACTTACACAAAACAACAGCCTACAAGCTGAGCTATTTTTTTTCAGTTCTGGAAAATTTTAGGGGGTTTGTCTTATTGCCAAAAGTTTTTGAAAAATGTATCCCTTGAATCATCAAAATTGAAAATTTTCACAAAGTTTCTTAATTGGCCTATAGTCAACTCATTTTCATAAAATGATAAACACCTGTTCTAAATGAAAACAGAAAATGCTGTATTTGTGTCTCTTGTTTTATTAAGAGAACAATTCTTGTGCATAAGAATTCCAGAATACTTTGATGGTACTTTGGTTTCATGCAGGTGTAGATGCATCACCGCTAATGACTTGGGGCAGCATTGAAGGAACTCCTTTCCGATTGGATGGAGGTGATACACCAATAACTGCCACCCCTGGCCCAACCTTTAAAATGCCAGAACCTAAAAAAAGGGACCAGTTAGGACTTGCCCTGGCTGACAAAGTCAATAGAAAACATCGTCAGAAAAGAAGAGATGCTTTAGCCAGGGCAACAGCATTGATTGGCAGGTGGGGACATAATATAGTGAATGGTAAAAAAGCTAAACAATTTAAGATAGAATATTATTCCTGACAGGGCCATGCAGTGGTATAATTTTCTCATTTTGCTTTAAAAATTTACAAACCATTTTTTTTTCTATGTTGTTGATTTATTATCATTATCCTCCTTTACTCTTTAACATATTCTCTATACTGTTTTCCATACCTTTCCTAAGGTGCTTTTGTGGAGAATTTGTTTAACAATCAAGAGCCTTTTAGATGGTGATCTTGTCCTTTTATTCTTGTGATCTTAATGTTTGATTAAGGGTTTATATTGTAAGGAGAAATTAGATGCTAGTCACTCTTAAAAGTTATAGGCCTATGGAGGTACCCTGAAACAAATCCCTGCATGGCAAGAATACTATGATTGGAGAGCTGTGCTCTCCTGTTACTAAACATTTTAAGCTTTGTTTTGCAGGAGTCCAAAACATATGAACACTGTGGATCGTTTAGGGCAAATGTCACCTGCTGCACAAAGGCTGGCCTCACAAAGACTTGGAATCAGAACAGGAACTGACAAATCATTACGTGCAAGTTATACACCATCGCCATCATATCCACGATCAGCCAACTCTACCCCTGTTCATGTTCAGCAGTCCACCCCTGCAACACCAAAGGATCACAGTTCCACACCAACACAGAGTGCATCACTTACAGACAACCTCCTCAAGTTGCCAAAGCACTAACATCTTCAGTGCCTTATGTACCATATCGACCCTTTACACACTTACATCAGTATGCATATCCTCCATACTGTTCTCTTTGGATTCCTCATGGTACTTACAAAGAGAATGTAACAGTCAAGAGCTTCTTGAATTGGCTGCTGTTTCTTTTATTTTCATTATACTGTTGGGAGAAATTAGATGCTTATCACTCTTAGGGTGTAAAGGGTTAATGACAGCCTGTTGTCAACAATACCAAGTGACAGTTCAAGGATTGTGAAATGTTTTGAACAAAAAATTCTAACCAGGTTTACCAGACTCCTGGGAATTTATCACATTGCTACTTTTGTTTGGCCTCCCAAAACGCTTTCCTCACTTGGAAAGCAAATAAAGGAGCCTTGCCTTTTTCATGGGTGAGATGTAGGATTGAAGACAAGCTACAAGCGATAATGCAAACTAGTACCTTAGTTATGAGAAAGAAGCCCAAAGTATTTATAAAATGAACATTGGAGGAATTCAACTGAAGGCACTTTGACTGTTTGTTTGTATTTGTTTGTATTTGCTTTGTCCATGTCTATTGTGAAGTCATCCAAATTTAAGCAAAACCCACAAAAACTGTTTCCCCTCCTCTAATTCCCTTCTTCAAACCTAAGATATTACTTATGACTAAAATGCAAACTTTTGACATATAGTGTTGAACAGCCAGCAACAAATGGAAAATGTGATGGTTTGACCTCAAACCAAGTTTTTTAATGCCTGTAACCATGGTTGTGGTCTTATTTTCATCTGTATTGTTGAAGTACTTTAAATACAGAGTCCTCTTGCCCTGAAACTCTCAAGATTTTAACATAAATACTGTGTACTGTCTGGAGCCTTCAAGAGGCTAATTTTGAAGTGAATTGTATTGTGTAATTGATTCTCCTTCTTCTCAAAAGCTTTCTGTTTGAACATGTGTTGCTATTGTTTGGGAAAATTCATTTATGGTCACTCAAGAGAGTAAATAGCATTAGTAGACAGAGTCCATATAAGCCGAGTGCTTAATATGCAGCCTAAGGTTACCTTTCCAAGAACTTCCTGTCAACTTTAACCCCTTTCTACAAACAATAACGTAGTACTAAGAAAGTTCCCCAGACAGATAGCATTCCATTGCAACACAATTGATTATCAGATAGCCAGTAGCCAATGTATTCTATCGAGGTTTTAGGGAAACCAACTCAATTTTGCCAGTCATGGTCTTCACTTTGGTGCATGCACTGGTCAACTTAATTAACTGATATGGAGAATTGATAGGCAGTTCATGGTTAAGTTTTAAGTTCTTCTTTTACTTTCATCACTTCAAAAGATCATCAACGTAGACATGAATGATTGAAGATACCCAGAATAGATAATAGTCTCGTAATAACAAAAAAAATTAGTCTCGCCCCCTACCAAAAAGAAAAGTAACACGAACAGAGATCAATCGCTATGCACAGCTAAATTATAAATAATTCTCCATACAACCATAGTAGAAAGTTTCAGAATATGTGTACTAAACATCACACCAATCACAACATTTCATGGCACTTCACTTTTATTAACTCGCAAATAACTATTTTTGATGTAGCTGAAATATATATATATACACATAAAAGACTTCATGTTGCTGTGGATTTGTACAGTTCTAGCACACAAAAGGTCTCACAGTGTTGAAAGAACATCAGGGACACAGTTGTGTCACTCTTAAGCTTAGTCACCATTTTGACATCAAGTACAATGTATTGTTGAACAAATGCACCACAACATGGAATCCATAAGATAATTATGTTGCTGATTTTGCAACTCTATTACTTAGCAATATCCTTATTTTTACATTTCTACAAAGGTATATTTCTATCACATTGTTAAAATAGAAATTGACCTATCTACAAAACTATATACTTAGGCTAGAGGGAAAAAAAGAGTAGACCCTTTGAGGGCTTTTCTTAAGGCACAGTTGGAATCTTTTCAAGACATCACTGTTTTAACAGCCTTGAGAATCTCCTGAGTTTGAATTGTTCTCTAATATTTAGCTAGATGGGATGAGCCAACATACTGAAGAGATCAAAGTGCATTTCCACTTAAGGCTTTGTTCTATGCAACCCTTCCTTTAAAATTGTGCTTGAAAAATTCTAAATATACACTAAGAAATGGTGTAATTAAATATACACTAGATATAGACTAAAAAATTCTAAAAATACACTAAAGCAATTTCCTTCTAAGCCAAAAATTTGGTGGGTAAATTCACTAAAGCAATTTCCTTCTAAACAAATATGAGCTTCTAAGGCATCATCTGCATCGATTCATACCATGTGCCATTATTTCATAATTAACCCGTAACACCCTAACATCAGTATGGATATTCTCCATAGCATACTCCACACATTTCCTTATTGTGCTGACAAGGAGAATTTGTTCAAAAATCAAGAGCTTCTTCAGTCTACATCATCTTTACTCTTATGAACTTAATGTTTGATCCAGGGGTGTTATTGTGAGGAGAAATTAGATGCTAGTCACTCTTAGGGGCCAAGGGTTAACACTAATTTTTTTTTATTTTTAATTTTTTAACAATCATCCTAATCGATCTTCCTTGCAACAAAAGGCTGCTACTTGAACATTAACCACTGATACAGCACAACAAAAAGTTTCTACACAAACTACTTACTTTAGTACCTTACTGCTATCTTTTAACGAGAGCTTACAAAAACAAAAATGAAAAAACTTCTCAAGACAACTAATTGCCAAAGTTCTTGTTTAAAATGATTCCTCATATGTCCTGCAAAAATAGACAAAATACCTGAATCAGATTTGCAAATACATCAACTTTGGCTCATCTGACTAAAAAGAGATAAACAGAAGGAAAGATGCCTAGAGGAGTAAGTTTACCTTAGTGTTCCATGGGCACTCCGGACATAAATTCCTGGATGACTGGCCGCTGCAGCAAACTACGTGCAGTTGGCCGCTCTTCTGGGTTCTCCTGAAAAGACAATGATGGTGAAATGTATTTCAATTCTTTGTGTAAATAGTGCAGATAAGCTTACTGCTACATGTAAGAAAAAAACAAAAGATGTTGTAGAGAGAGGTGAAAGAAAATGAAGAGATCCATAAGAAAGAAGAATTTCATCCTGAGAGAGGACCATACATTCCTTAAGGAGGAGCCAACAAGGAGAATTTGTGTAACAATCAACAGCTTTTTTTTCAGTTGGTGATCATTTCCTTTACTCTCATGACCTTGATGTGTGATTCAGGGGTGAGATTGTAAGGAGAAATTAGATGCTAGTCACTCTTTGGGGTTTAAGGGTTAATCATTTGATTCACTCTTAAATCACTAGTAATTGTCAAGTTGAGCAATGAATTGAAGTTCACAATGTTTGGACTACTATATTCCTGGCCTGCGAAAGACATGAAGGTTGAATGATTACACCTCCATAATCATTAATATATAGAGAGGAATGATAAGTTCATAATGTCTCATTACGCAGCCTCATTCCCAGATCCAGACTGTTATAGTTATGCTAAAATGTTGCAATTATCAATCAAAATTATTTGAAATATGAATAGAGAGTAAGTTATCTCAGACTTACCTTTGTACAGTCAAATACCAACTGTCCAAGTTCTTGATTAACCTGTCTTAGCTTGTTGATCTGTCCCCAAAGAAAAAAAAAAGAAAGGTTATTTGGTAAGAGACAGTGAAAGTTGAACAAGGCTTTAAGAGCTACATCATATATAATGCAGGAATCAGTAACTAAACATGAGTGCCTCCCTACTGTCCACAATTTCCGAAAAATACATTCAAAGGTGTAATCTACGGAATACAATGGCAAACTTGAGCTTTCAAAAAAATAGTTTTTACCTCTTTAGGAGCACAAAAAAAACAAAACAAAACAAAAACACAATTCCAAATGTCCCTTTCTCCTTAACAGTATCAAAGCTGAAAGCCTCCTTGATGACCAGAGCAAACTGTTATACAAAAAACTCTCCAAGCTTTCCCAAATACTATAGCTCACTGATCATTAAAGCTTACCTGTTCCTGTAAGGATTCTTTAGATGGAACTCCCACTATCAGTTCAATTAGAAAACATCCCAAAGTGTAGATATCAGTTGGCCTGCCATGAGGTTTCTCTCTCAAAACCTTCAGAATTACAACAAACGTCAATAATTATTGGCACCACAGGACCCCATTAATCTTTGTTTTCCCTTGTTTTATTTGGCAACAGGGTCTTTCAGTTCATTTGTGCTTGATAACTACGAAATGAAAATTTTTATGCTGAAATCCAACACTAGGGCAATGTCTACAAGGAGCAGTCACACATTCTCCAAACTGAACCCGTTTTTGAATGAAATGGAAAAACTTAAAAGTGAAATGGCTTATTTGCTTTAACAGGGCCTTTGAAACACACTTTGTTCATGAATAAAGTAAAATTATCCAAATGTTTTGAAGCAAACAAAGATCTTGTCCATTTTTATCACCTTGGATCTTAATCTAGTTCTGGTTTACCCATCAACAGTTGAGAGAGCCAAGAAAATGGACTCACTTTACTCACTCAAAAATAAATAATCAATCAAAGAAAGGAAAAAAACCTTCCAAACTTTTTCTTGAACAAAATCATTTTAATCAATCATTATCTTGAATACCACATCTCACCTCAGGAGAAACAAAGCCCCTTGTTCCAAGGGGTTTCAGACCAGCTTCAGTGAGTTCATGATACAACCTCCTTGCCGAGTCAAAATCAGCCAGTTTGGCCCGCGAACCTTCTGCAGCCAACAATACATTTTTGGCTGAAAAGAAAGATCACAATTCATATGACATTATTATTTCAGTATCATAACATGCTGATACATTTCTGGCCCTATTACCGATGCCTGTCTTGTTTCCATCAAAATGTCAAAATGTCAAAAAAGCTAGTTATTTCTTTGACATGTAATGTAAATTTACTTAAAGAAAAAAAATGAAGAAATGAAGTTTTACTCTATTGTTGTCTCAGTGTTCTTACCTTTGATGTCTTTATGAATTATTGGAACTTCCAAGTTGTGCAAGTAATCAACTGCAGCAAGGATCTGAAGCCAGTAATACATGGCTTCTTCACATGTCAATCGTCTCTTCAATATTGACTCCATGTAGTCGTAAAGAGATTGTTCTGCAGAAAGAGGCAATAACAGTCGTGTTAACTATAAACTCCAATCCAGAATTTCTCCTTCCAATATAAAGCAAAAAAGTGATCAGAATAAAGGAAAATGTCAATTAGGGGATGATTATTTGATCCAATAACAAATTCTCAAAAGTAACATCATCAAGAATTGTGTGGCAAAAGTGAGGAGAATCACTGATGAGATCTTGGGACCAAATAAGTTGAACATCAAAAAAAGTAAAACCTTACTAATATACTAATATGCAAGTTATGAAGGACTTTCTGGTAACATACCACACTTTTCCATGAAGATATTAGCACATCCCCGACTGTCTCTTATTGTTCCTGCATAGTGAGGGACAATGTGTGGATGATCACCTAACATCTTGTACACTTCTACTTCCTCCCTACTGATGGTGTAACTTGTCTGACAACCAAAGAAGAAAACAAATCAGCAAATTAATAAAATGTTTTTGAAGGCCTCAAAATTAGAACCCAAGGGGTTACAGAAGTCCTACTGGCACTTGTTCTCTTTCAGTGAAGTCTGGGAGAGTTAACCCTCTCTTAGAATATCACTTTTACAACCAGCACTTAATGTTCACTTCATTACTATCAAGACCCACCACAATGATGATGTAGGCAAAAAGTAAATAATACTTCACACAAAACAGTCCTACCTCCTTCAAAGCCATCTTTTTAGTTCTGTCACTTGTCAAAAAACTGGCAAAAATTTCTCCATTAGCTCCCTTTCCAAGCTTTTCTCTTTCCATCTTAAAGTAGTCAATGTGTTCAACAAAGAAATCCTCTGGCACATCTGTTGAATTCTGTGGGGGAAAAAAAAAACCATCTTTCTTATTCTATGTTCAGATGTGTTGGGCATTGGAAAGCAAGCACTCAATGAAATAATTTACCATCCCACAATTTTCTTAAAACACCAGAAATGATATTTTAAGAAAAAACCTCCTCTGAGCTGAAACTATTTCTTCTTCAAATGTTCCAGATAACTTAGACACAAAATTGTGCACAGAAACCTTTAAGAGAACAATTTGAAATGCAACATGCTTGAGAGGTAAAGTTTAGATTAAAATGTTGGAAACTCAAAGTATCATTGTTTACAATGTACTTCTAAAACCAGATGGTGGCTGGTTTGTGTCTAACCCAATCCTAGTGATTGCCACAACAACGATCTTGGTTGGTCCTTCAATTTCAAGATTTATTTGTTGCCCTTGTTATAGAATACTTTCAACTAACTTAGGACATGTACCACAGCCTATCTATTTTTTTCCACCACAACTACATCCATTAAAGACTTTGTGCTGGCCTTAGCATTAAATTAATCAAACAAATTTAAACATTACTCGAAATATCACTTTGCCCTCAATGCGATGAGGTGTTGGTAGTACAAAGCCTGAAGATACAGGAGGTGCCAAGTTATACAGTGGTGAGGCTGGCACTGGTACTTGCACTGGTGGAGAAATTTTTCTCTGCTTTACAGGAACAGGCTCTCCATTACCTTTACAGCTGTTCCTGCAATGACAAATTTAAGTCATAAGATTACACCCTCTCAAAACCCTTATGATTTACAGATCCTTGTTAGAGGTCCTCCTTTACTGCAAGCTGACAGTATCATAAACAAATGTGCTTTAGATTCAACTTTTAATCTGGGCAGCCAAGCCTTAATGTTAATCAATGCCCAAGATGTCAAGGGGTACAGAAATCTGAGTTTTAACTCCAAGATCTCTTTAGTAACTCTCCTTACTATACTCCGCTAGTTCTTGTGATGTTAGTTTGGAGAATTTGGTATTGGATCCACTAATAATTCCCTAATTAATATTGTTCTTTATTCTCATCACTTCTCTGCTTCATAGTGTATTGATACTGCAAGGAGAAATTCTGTCTTGATCAATCATGGGAGTTAAAAAGGTTAAGAAAATTTCCCCTAGACTGATATTGTTACAGTGTAAAATTTTGAGTGACTAAACAGCATCTGCTTCCTTGGTCTCATTTTACCTCAGGTTTCTCACTAAGGCTAATGTTTGTCCAAATGCAACTTCCAACATCTAAAAAGATACAACATAACTCTTTCTCAAAGCTGGTTGACCTTACCTCAGGCTTTCACAGTCAGGAACCCTACACCCTGGCCTGCGACAAAAACGTGCATGCTGTTTAACAATATTCCGTGTGATCAAACAACGTCCACAATGCTGCCAGTCTTTATGAACTAGCAAGTGCTCTAATTCCGTTTTCACCTGCAGGAAAATGTTCAAAATTATGATTAGTTTTTTTTTGTTTTGGGAAGACATTTATCATATTTACTCATGTACACGTCAAACCTGTGTACAAGTAAAAAATCGGATTTTTCAAGTCAAAAATCAGATTTTTCATCATTTCTTCTAAAAGAAGTAAAATTCAGACCAATCAAAATTTCCCAACAAGTTTATCTCTTATTTCTGAGAATGTATTGAAAACACAGAGAACTAAAAAAATTGCAGAGCAAAATGTTACCGTGTGCTGTGAAGTTTATTAGCACTTGTTCACATCACCACAATTTAAGAATACACCAACACTTTGATTTACTAGAGAGGTATCTTACAATATTTTGTAAACCACATTGAATTTGAAATCTTCTTGCATTCAGCTAACCTTTATCTTAATGTTGAGCAAGAAAGGAGATTTAGTAGAACAAAGGAACACTGAAGAACTTCAAAAGATAGAGTGTGACAAACAAGACCTCACAAGACAACACCATTTACCAGGTCACTAAGCTGACAAAACTCAGACACAACTTGAACTGATTTTGTAAACTCAGTTTTCCTGATGGACTTCAGACAATTGTCCTCTAATTTCTTGGATTGCTTGGGTCAGGTCTTTGAGTATGACTTGTGTACAAGTGGAGGCTGAATTTTTGGGCCGATTTTTTTTTGGTCATAAAAGGTTAACTTATACACAAGTAGGTACTGTATGCATTGTATTGCACTGTAAGAACTTTGATGAACCAGAAACAAAATTACTATTTTGTCTATTTTTTTATTACCCTCGCTGCAAAATAGCCATACCTGATATATTTAAATATGCTTGTAACAACTTACGTTCTTGCATTTTTGGTTATGACAAACAAGACTCGAACAGTAACTTGCATGCTGAACATCTTGAGGGAAAAAGATGATGTCACTCTGCAAATAAAATATGAATCAATGGAATTTTAGCACACAGACACTCACAAACAGAAATCAAAGTAACACTAAGTTGATCGTTCATTGACACCTGTGTTTCTAATGGAATCATCTTATACTTAACCAATAAGGATGAACAGAGGGATGGCCATTTCACATTGTATAAAAACTCATTAGTTTCTGCAATTTCCTTAAACTATTACAACCTCTTTATGTCTCTAATAAAGAGTACAATTAAGTTTGAAACTGAATTAAATTGGATAAGTCTGTGGTAGAGTTACAATCATGCTGTAAAATGCAACAAATAGCAACTTAAACCAGTTTCCTTAAGGCAAAAATATTATCATTGACTGGCTATTAGCTTAGGCTGAAACAATTGACTTCAGTAGGTACTAATACACATTAATGGGCAAACTACCTTTCCAGTTGGGGTCATGTGAGTTCCTTCCTCTCCAGGGCAGTGACATTGTTCTGCATTATCAACTTTGGATGGCAAGAACATCTGGAGGCCTGACTGCTTAGTAGTGGGAAAATCTTCCTCCATTTTTTCCACACTTTCATCATCTTTCTCTTCATCTGAAGATCTTTTCTTTTTATTTCTGCCCGGAGTGTCAATCTGTTGTTTGCCAGGGAAATACCACTGTGGATACTTCTTTTTATCACCTTCATCTCCATCAGCATTTCCCTTTCCCCCAAAGCCACCACCACCACTGCTCCCCCCAGATGAACTACCACCACCACTTCCAGAGTTGCTGCTGCATCCATCACTGCTACCACTACTGCTTCCTTCACTATCAACACCAGAATCTTTTGGTTCCCCCAAGTTGGAGTTGGGTTTCCTCCTCTTGGATGGTGCTGGTTTTATGTTGTTGATAGATTCAATGATCTCTTCAAAGGAAAGACATGACTGTTTTGGAGCACACCTCTTGACGCTTCTTGGTTTTCTTTCTTTGACTGTTTTAGATGTTTTCTTTGCCTGCTTGTGCTGCACTACAGGGAGGTCAGGCACAATGATGGACCAAACATTTCGCTTTTTTCTTTTAGCAGCATGCCTACAAGTTAAAAAAATATTTACAAAGGATTAAAACTGTACCCACAAGAAATGTCAGCACAAATTTCAAAACCATTCTCATTACTTAAAGGATTTGATTTGGGGGTATAAAATGAGTAAAAATCAAGTACTGTACACCATTTCACTATCTGTTTCACACCAATTTACACTCTTGCTGATGAAATCCCTAGGGAAAACCAAGATACAAACCTTCTTGGAATGCTTTTGTGCTTTGATTCAGTTTTAGCAAGCTGCCCTGCTTCTTCAACTTTTACTTCAGCTGTTTCATCATTTGTTGTTTCTTCTTTTGTTGATATGTCATCTTGAACCTCTATAACTTCAGATGAAGCTGAAGGAGGTTCTAATGAGAACAAATCATCTGGACTGATGGAACTCTCTTGTACAGAATATGGGATCGTCAAAATTTTTAAATCAAATTCCTCTTTGGCCTTTACATCTGTGAAATAAAAATATTTACATTGTTTAAAAAAAAACCCTAGCACAAGGACTTGATAAATTACAGTGACCTTCCATTGAACAATGGATAAAAAGTTAGGAAAACTGAAAACTATTCATTCTTACATAACTGCCCTCTTTTTCCCCTGCAATAACTTATCTAATGTAACTAATCTCTCTGCACTTGCATCATTAGAACCAAAGATAACCAAAGGCGAAGGCACAAAATAGACCAAATAGATTAAATATTTAACCGTGTTTTATCTAATAAACAAATTCTTAAAAAATTAAAAAACACTCAGAAACTTCACAAGGGATCAAAATGTAATACAATAAATTATTGATGCACACGATGGGGACAAAGACAGCTCTTTGAACGGCAATTCTAGCAAATAATTGATGCGCGGACACCGAAACCAGACGTTATTATCATAAACTTCCTGTTTCGAGTCATATGACTGGAAAAAGCGAAAGCAATTATTCATAATCTATAGTCTTGCTGCGTGAAGGGCCTCGACTACATTATGTATACTACTAACTCTGTATATATTTTCTATGATATATCTTTATTTCCCTTAAAAGTTTTTCATTTGGATGTAACCGATGATTAACAGTTTCCACAAAACATCCACCCTTGTACATGTACAATTCAGGACCAAATGGTAAAGTCACATGACCGAGAAAGAAATTCTTAACACGCAACCACGAAAAACGCAAACAATTCCACAAAAAACGTGGTCTTTCGCAACATTCACCAATTTAACTAAAGGAAAAGACGTTCTCAAACTCTGATAGATGTTTTGTAGCGATTTTAACAAAAAGCAGAGGATTTCAAGCTACGTCACACCCACGAATTTCTTTAGTAAACAAGTCGTTCTTTAAACATCATATCGAAAAACACCTTTTCTGTGTTATCTCACTTCCCGATTAACTTACTCACCTGTCTTAAAATCGTCTACTTCGAACCCTTTCGTCGTTTTCTTTTCGCATCTGTTTTCGGTGTCGGTTGAAAAGAAAGTAATTTCCTCTTTCTGCTGCCAACGAAGTGAAAAGGAATGGCTATTGTCGTCATTCTCGACGGCTTCTTTGGAATTCTTTTTCTCAGGTTCGATTGCAACGCGCTGTTTCACTTTCCTTTGCCTTCGATCATCGTCTAGGCCAGCGCAAACGCCGGGCCAGGTTTCCCAATGTGGACTGCCTGGATTTGCACATCTTTCGAGAATCGTCACTGAGGAGGTGGTCTTAAAATTCAACGCTATCGAACGATAGTATTCCTTCCCGATATCCTGCACTTGATGGACGCTTTCTTCTTCGGCAGCTAAGCTTACTGAGCTGCATCGTGCGTATACTGACTTTTTTCCCAATTTGAGCGGCATTCTTTCAAATGTACCTATATCTGAAGCTGGCGGAGCGTTGGTTGATAACGTCATTGCCTCAGACCTGTTGGGCGCCATGATGTTTCGTTATAGGTTTCGACTGTGTAAATCGTCGCGAGTGAAGGCTTCCCGAGTACCTTCTATTGCATACACGCTCTTATTATAGCGTTTTCAATGCTAATTTCTGATATTTGTGAGAGAAAAAGTGGACAGAACAACTTTAAATCCACGTCGAAGAGTAACTGTTCTTCTTTCGCCCGCTAAACGTGTTATGGGTGCGTTTGGTATTTGAATACGACCCACAATGCACTCCGTTATACTACGTCATATTTCTATTTCAGGATGGCGAGAGGACAGCCTCGACTCTGACAAAACAGCGCCATGCAGAAAGGAAAAAAGTTAAATTTAGATTTGAAATGATGCCAGCGATCGCGAGTCTTTGCAGCTAGTACATAGAGAATAAAGTCTCCTTCGATCTTATTGTGAAAAAAAATTTGGGAAAAATAAATATTTTTTTGTGTGAGAAGACCTTTAATTACAACTTGTAAACCCAGTCCTAGTCTCTTTCCACAGTAACTGACAGCTGGCTTTTAAGGTTTTTTGACCGCGCGAGATATGCAAAGCAAATGTGGCGGCTTGATACGATCGCACGATGGTCATCGGAAAAGGTGTGTTCCAAACAGTTTAACACAATGCAGTTTTTATGTGATGGAATCTACGGTCTCTAGCAACTATACCCGTAATATTCATAGGCCTTCTACTCCTGAAAAAGAGGTCAACCGAAAAGAAAACACTGTGGACAAGATTGCTAAAGGGAGACAGATTCGAAAGTCTACGCATGCTCAGATATTGATCTTAGCAAAGTTCTATTCCATTACGTAATGTTTTGCGACAAAGAAAATAGAGATCTTTCGAGTAAGATTTATCGCGTTTCGTTCAGTAGAATTTCCTGAGATTTGCCGAAACGTTAAACACATTTGTGCCCTTCCTAGTGCCCGTTGAAAAAAAAATCGTAAGACCAAATTTTAGATAGAGGAAGAAAACACAAAATTGCAAATAAAGAGGAAACTGCCTTGGTAACACCTACCAAGGCTTTTAAATGATCGGCGGGAAAATTTTCTCAAAATGAGAAGCAAATTGAAGAAAATAAAAGGCAAAGCCAAATTATCGCTGGCGAGCGTCTCCCTTTATAAAGCCTTAGCTTAATAACGAAAATAATTTTTTATTAATAATATTTACTACAGCAATTCCAACGATAGTTTGAACCTTGCTCATTGCCTTTTAATGGCTTTTAGTGACCTCGAAAAGCGAAAACATAAAAATTTATTTATAGAAAAACGTAACGCTGGCGCGCGCTAACATCAAGCAAAAACCTTCTGGAGCCTCCTCAAAACTACCCCGGACACATAGAAACGTTTGACAGAAGAAAGGTCTGTTTTTTTTCTTTTCCAAAGCTCAAAACTGGAAATTGTTTGTATTCTAAATGCCACAGTTTTCTCCATACAACTGATTCTACTAAGGGCTAGACAGTCTCTCCTTTTAAGTGAAGTCAGTAAAAACAAACAAACAAACAAACTAAACAACTCTGTGAAAGATAAATTGATGTTAGGAAGCCGTGGGCTGCTCTAGGAGTGAGAGGTTCGAAACTTTTCGAGCGCCTCACTTTAAATGCTCCTCGCGACACACACTAAGTTTTTCTGACCCGCGCGACTTACTTCGCCGGAAAGGAGCGATTGCTCGTAGTCTATCTTCGACTGTTTCACAATAAAAATACACCGCCAATTCAGATCAATGTACGCGAGTAATAAACTTGGGCTAGCTGAGATTTCTGTAAAGTAGGTTTAGTGACTTCAATTTTCTAATAACCAAGCCAATCAATAAACCACAGAGTTAAGCAGTCCACAGAAATGAGATTCAACAAACATTGACATTCCATGAAACATCAATTTTATTAGGAAGAAATTGTCACATGCAGACAAAAAACTGGAAGATGAGGTGGCTTATGGCTGGTGTACAATTTACAGAATAATAATAATAATTTCATTTTAATCTCTCACTTTCACAGTAAAAGAGATCCGACACAACTTTACTCTTTATTTAAAATAAAAAAGAAATTAAAAAATGAAGCTAACTAAGATTGCTTCAAAATTGTTTTCTTCTTTTTTTTCCTGGATGCCTCAATCAACTCCCTGAAAAGAAAATTTAGAGAACTATATTATCTGTATTGACTTATTACCAAAATGCAACACTAGTTCAACTTATTCCTGCTGACAATTTAACTCATTTCGCAGGAATTCTTATGCATAAACTGAAAGTGTGATGTTTAAAAAGAACTTTAGAAGAACAAAACAAAACAGCAGCACAGTAGATACATCATGTAACAGCTTCTGGATTGATGATACAAAAAAATCAAACTATTAACTGTTTAACTCCCATGATCCAATTGTTAATTCTCCCCTCTAGCTGCTGCACATTTCCTTGTAAATTACTTACAAGAATTGGATGTTAGATCAAGGACATTAAGATAAATTCTACCTGATAAGTTTGAGTATTCTCATAACCTGTTTGCTGGATAAATGTGTGGATATTATAGGGAGAAATTATATGTTAATCACTTCAGGTTAAAAGAATAAAAAAAATTAATTAAGAAAAATGAGGAAACAAAGGTATCAGTTATCTTACCTCTTTCTTTTAGCCATATGCGTGTCATATTTTGAAACTGTTTTAATTGTTGTTCGTGATGGAGGGGCCTTGGACAATTTCTTTCGAGATTTCCTTCAACACAAAAAGAAGCACATTGTTCACATTGGACTTAGATTCAGGGGGCATCATCTGGAGCAGGGCCAATGTCCCCTGAAGAGAGGTAGGGTTGGGGTTTGTTTTTAATAATTAACCACTAATAATTTGAAGGAACTGATTGATACAAAGTTGACTGGGGCCAAAATGTCAAACCGTTACTGCCCCTAAACTACTTATGGTTTGGAGCTTTGACTCCAGATGCAATCACCTATACTGATAACCTTTGGCAACCAATTTAAGTTCATCATCATATGGTATAAGATATAAAAAAGGTGATATTGTGAAAGCGGTCTCGATTGTGTTTAGTGTACACTTAATCATTGTGGTCAGTCATGTTGTGAGTGGTTAGATATCCCCTGAATGGAGGTTCAGACTGGGCTTTGAGACCCAGAAAAAGTGTCCCTTTCCCCTTAATAGAGGTGTCCCACAGGAGAGGTTCCACTGCATGTTGCTTGCAACATTGCTGATCCTGCAATTTTGCAGAACTCTTTCCACATATGAACCCAGTATATGGCCTAGTGCACCATTGGGTTTTCTGTATCGCAGAAGTCATGCACACAATAATCTGAAGGTCTCAAGTCCTCATGGGGACCCAAATTTTTCCTTGGTCCCCTACTTATGAAATGTGAATACTGTATTATCTTCCTTAAGTTCTAAGTCTCACCTGGCTGGCTTTTTTAACTTCAGCATCCAGTCAGGGATTTCACATCCTGAACTCTTCATTACATTTGCAATACTATATGACAAAAACCAAATCATATTTAGCAGTTAATGATACTAGGCAAGAAGTCAAGAGGGGAATTTATTCTAATGCAGCGACATGTTTCCAATGTACATCATTCTCAGATGAGACCGAAGAGTCCATAATAAAAATTCCAAAACTTTTGAGGATTAAAACTCTTTACACCCTAACATCAATATGCAAATTCTCCATACTGTTCTGTGCACACTTCCTATAGCTGGAAAGGAGAATTTGTTTAACAGTCAAGAGCCCTTTTAGATGGTGGTCATTTCCTTTATTCTTGCAACCTTAATGTTCAACTCTGGGGTGAAATTGTATGGAGAAATGAAATGTTTGTCACTCCTATGGTTAGAGAGTCAAAAGTTTCTACAATTATAAACTAAGGTGAATTTAAAGCAGCCAATAATTTTTGTAAAGTTGATGAAAAACTATATCCTCGTTGCACACCTGCGTAAATTTGTGGCATCATCTTCAGTGAAAAATGTGATAGCCTTTCCTGGTCTACCAGCACGACCTGTTCTACCTAAGGACACAAGAACAGATTTCTAGTGAATTAGATCATCAGATATCGAGACTTCATCAGCAGTTCTCTCTTCTTAATGCCCTCTACCTGACCAGTTGATTAGTTTGATTGTTCATATTGGCTTTTTCTGGAAAATGTACTGATTTTTTATCTTAATGTTACATGTTTACCACTTATTACTTCTTCTAGTTTAGAGGTCAATAACTTTCTTTCCTTAACCTTTTAACTCCCAAGATCTGATTGTTAATTCTCTCCTCTTGCTGCTACACAATTCCTTATAAATTAGTTGCAAGAATTTGGTGTAAGATCAAGATAAAAACTTCTTCTTGATTTAGTTGATCAAGTTTTAGTTTTCTCATTAACCGTTTACTCGAAAACATAGAGATATCGTAAGGAGAACTTACACGTTAGTCACTTCTGGAAGTTAAAGGGTAAATAGCAGACTGAATAAGAGGCAAGTTAACAATGATTCATTAACATTTACTTGGCTGGTCAGCCTATCAAATTAATCTCTTATAAATAAATTTCCTGACAAGAGTTGCAGAACAAAGAAGGGAATCGGAGCCAACACAAAATAATATGGTGTCTTTGACAGACCTAAATACTGATCTTCATGAAGGGTTTTTAAAAATATTTCATACCTATTCTATGAATATAAGCCACTGATGATGTGGGAAAATCATAATTTATCACTAGATTCACTCCTTTGAAGTCAATTCCACGGCCCATGAGTTCAGTTGCTATAAGAACCCAGATCTGTCAAAACAACAACAACAATAAAATGATGCTACTGAGTTGAAATTATTTGGTGCTAACTCATTTAAAAGTAACCCTTTACACCCTAACATCATTATGCTTAACCTCCATACTGTTCTCCATAAACATCCTGTGGTGCCATCAAGGAGAATTTGTTTAATGATCAAGAGCTTATCAAGTAAGTGATCATTCCCTTTATTCTCATGACCTTAACGTGTGATTCAAGGCATGATATTGTAAGGAGAAGTAAGACACAAGTCACTCTTTGCTGTTTGCTGAGGTAAAAAAGGACACCAAAGAATGAGGTGTAATCCAATAGAGTACAAAGACTGTTCAAGATGGAGAAATTTAACACAGATAATGAAAGAACTAAAGAAATTCAGGCTAACTTTTTTTCTAATGTTCAAATTGAGAACTGAACCATTAAACCAAATTTATATCGCCTCAGAGACCCTTTATTTTCTCTTTGATTGTCAAACAAAGTGTAATCTTGCATAGAGCACATCCCATGCTTTATTATGTAAATTAAAGTAAAACAGCTGTTGGCAAAGTTAACATACATACCTTTCCAGTTCTAAAGCATTTCACCACATTGTCTCTCTAAAAAAGAAAATACAGCATAGCATATTTAATCCTTTACACCACAACATCAGTATACATATTCTCCACACTCTTCTCTATAAATCTCCTTTGGTGCTGATAAGGAGAATTTACTAATCATCAGGGCCAAGTTGTTTAAAGGCTGCTTTGCACTAACCCAAGGTTAAATTTTAATCCAAGCTTGTTTATTTCCTTGTTCAAAACCCTTTTTGGGATAATTTTCTCTACTCTTTTTAAAGCATCCAATTATCAAATTGTAGACAAAAAACGTTTATACTGAATTTTCTTTTACAGCTTTTACACCTGAAATCTGATTTCACACCAACCCTAGGATATCTTTACCCAGTTTACGAACAAGCTAGCTCTGAGCTTCTTAACACTGCAATCATTTCCTTTATTGTCATGATCCTAATGAATTATTAAGAAGTATTACTATTTGGAGAAATTCAATGATAGTCACTCTTAAGGTCTTAATGGTTAAGAACAAGGTTCTCCTCAAGTCATAAATGCAAGGCTAGCAGCTCAGAGAATGAAACACCAGACTAGATTCTCACCTGTGCTTGTGTTCTGTCAGAGTGGATCACATCCACATTGATTCCATCATAAATGAGTTCATGAAACAGTTCCTTAGCTCTATCTTTTGACTGGACAAATATTAACATTGGAGGTTGGAAGCCCTGTTTGGGAGAAAATAGGCTAAATTAGCCATTGAAAACCCTATATATATGTTAAATGGTTTAAGGAAACTTTGGTTTAAAAATAATATTAAGTAAAGAAATTATCCACACAAGTGCACCAGTTGAAAATTTTGGCAATTGAAGAGAAGAAGCCTGAAGAAATTCAAGCTTTGACACGATTTGAACCTGCTTCTTCCAGATGATAGATGGGCACTACTGCCAACTGAACTACAAAGCCACATGTTAGGGGAGAGGAAAATTTTTTGTGAGGGTTTTTCTTCCCATAAAAGAATTTGATAGAACCTTGTAATAAATACAATTATTATTATTATTACAATCATTATCGTCATCATCATTATTTCTATCATTATACTCAATTGCCATGCTAAATTCTGCTATGGTTGTCATGGCATCACAAACTGTCATTCAATGTGTTCTTTTCAAGAACTGTAGTAAGTTGGAAAAAAAACCATCACACTACAGCAAAGACTTTTATCATATCACAACAGATGATCATTCTCTTTACCTTTTGGACAATATCTCTTACAGCAAGAAGTTTGCCAGCCTCCTGTCCAACAAACAGTAACTCTTGCTCTACAGTCTGGGTTGCAGAGTTTCTGAAATAAATTAACATTTGTAAAGAGTTTAAATATTGTGTCCCCAAACATCTGGGAAAGCTCCTGTCATTGTTAATAACTGCAGATTATCACATGGCACATTTTTTCCATTAGAAACTCTTGCATCAGTTTTCCCTTTGCTATTGGTGTAAAAATTGGGCACTCAGATCTTTGCAAACCTTCTTCATTGCCATTAGGGGGTAAGAGTTTACCGTTCCTGTCATCTCTAGCCATGGTAAAAATTTTTTTTTTTAAGATACAACATTTTGTTGTGTATAGTATATACAATGTAGTATGCAGTTTTGTTTTATATAATTATAAAATATTGCTACACAAGAAACTGTGTGGTAGTTAGAAGGACATCTTTTGGATTTTAGTGAAAACAAAAATTTCTGGAGAAGAATTAAGAGGATCTTGGATCACTGAGGATTTAAGAGGAGTTCTGAGATTGTTTAAAGGAGAAAGAGAGAAATACAATACCTGATACCAATTGTAACTTGAACAACATTGTCCAGGTGAATCCGTGCCCATTCATCAATACCATTGGACATGGTTGCACTGAACAATGCTCTTTTCACTTCTGGTTTGTCACAAGCTTGATAAATGGTGGCTATCTGTATTTGGAAAAAACACCCATTAGTAAGTTAATCAAGACTTGGCTCTAGTACAGACTTTTTACCAAAATGAGAGAGACAATTTTCTTGAGTGAACAAAACAGCTAAATACAGATATATTACTTGTTCCCTAAATCCATCCTTGCCTTCTTCAAAAAGTTTATCAGCCTCATCAAGAATTAACCACTCCACACTGTAACAAAAGCAATCAAAAACACCATTTAGTGAAATAAGACTTAAGCATTTTTTGAATCACCATTTTATGACTTAAGGTGGCACAGTGGTGAATTTAAAAAGTGGGCTCTGTTGTATACTGTATCGTATAACTGATAAACTTAAAGAGATATACTTATGAAGCTCAATTCCTGGTGGATCCTGAGACAACAGATGTACCAATCTGTTTGGTGTAGTCACAAGAATATCTAAAATAACATAGAAAAGGTTTCAATTAATTCTCTCTTCCAGCTACTTAAATTAGTTTTGAGAATTTAATATAACAGTGAAACACCCTACAACTGATATGTTTTTCATCACTTGTCTGCTAAATTATATATTGAGATTATCAGGAAAAATTGCATTTTGATCACTTGTGATAGTCAATGAATCAACAACAACCCAAGTCCATTTACAAGAGGTTCCTTTTGAAATAAAAAATGTCATGTTTAGCTAAAAATTTTAAGAGCATATGCAAGACAGAATAGCTTTAAATCTTACCAAACCTCTGAGAAGACTTTGATCCAAAGCTGTTTGAGGAAGCTTTAGCTTTCGTTAAGAGATGGATTCTAAACTTACGGCCATTGGACAGGTGGCAAAACTCATGGTAAATCTTCAAATAATTGAGAATAAATATAATTTATATCCATTAGTCATTTCATAAAATTATCTTAACCCTTTAACTCCCATGAGTGACCAAGACAGAATTTCTCCTTACAGTATCAATACAATATCAACCAGATAAGTGATGAGAACAAAGAAAAATATCAATTTAGGGATAATTAGTTGATCCAAAACTAAATTCTCTGAACTAACATTATAAGAATTGTATGGTCAACAGTAAGGAGAAATACAAATTTGATCTGGGAGTTTAAGGGTTAACATGCCTCTATGACATCCAGTTTCTTCTCTGCACCATCTATTTCTTCAAAAGACCAGACTTCCAGGCTATCAGTTGGTGGCTTCATTAATAAATTTTGAATACAAATTGTTATTTAAAGAACATATTGTAGATTAAAATGGCATTTCCTTTGAGACAATTTCAAATTAACTTGATTGATTTGTATTTTTCTTTGCTTGATGCAATAATGTTTGCTCAGAGGAATATACTATTCTCTTTTCAAACTAAACTTCTTTAAAAGCATTTTGACCAAAATTTATTCAATCCACAAGAACTTAAGGATCCAAAACATTAATGCTACATTGATTTAAAACAGAGTCTCTTCCAGGGATACTTTCCATCAATAACATTGAAATCTATTTGACTATCATTTATCATCATCATCATCATCATTATTATTACTGACTTGTCATCATTGCATTTGACAAATATTAATCACAATTCACCTGTTGTGCTAATTCTCTGGTTGGAGACACCACTACAGCTCTGAATCCTTTTCTGCGAGAAGACTAAAACCAAAAGAAAAGTACTGTGAAAAATGCAATTATTTCAAGGCCTTCTTGAACAGGCCTAAGCAAAATAGTCTTATTCATAACACCACAAAAAGAAAGATTTTATACAATGTACTAATTTATGAACTAATTGTGTTCTTTTTCCTGAATCATTTCTTTTGATCACTTGTGGTGGATTACTATGATCATGTTGACTCATTGTATTTTGTAAATGTACTGCAAATGATTTAATTACCTTCAAATGATAAAGAATTGGTAAAATAAAAGCTGCTGTTTTTCCTGACCCAGTAGGAGCACAGCATAATACCTCTCTTTTCTATGAAGAAAGTAACAGTGGAAATTCTCAACTACAAATAACTTAATCACCAAACATATATGCAACAACTTTGTTATTTAGCTAAAACATATGTTTGAAATAGACTGAGCATATCAACTAAAAATCAAATAGTCATAAACTTCATTAAAACATACTACAGTTCCCCTCTACTGACTGTTGGACAGCTATTGGCCAACATATGACCAGCAGGCTACCAAAAGGTTACCAGTCAGTTAGCAATGTGCAACATGCAAAGAGAGAGTGGGCTGTTACCATGTTACTTGATAGAATACATCTTGAAGCCAACATTTCCACTGAAGTTTAGACAATATATAAGGTAGTGCGATAATGGATACTGACAACTTACTGGCAGAACACCAACAGGTTACTGACTGTCAGCCACCTGTCCACCTACAGGACCCATGTTGGCCAAGATTTAGGTGAACAGTCCCCCAAATATTGCCTGACTGTTGGTCATCTGTTGGCCAAAAGTTGGCTGACAGGTTTTTGCACCAAAACATATAATGACAGTACAGAACCAAGTAATGGTTCGATCAAGATGCACTTACGTGGATCATAAGAGGTACAGCCTGCATCTGGATGGGAGTTGGTTTGTGATAACCTCTTTTGGTTACATTCTCAATCATGTAAGAGGCCAGTTTATACCTGCATAAATACCATGTTGTTAATACATAAAATAAATGTGAGTCAGATAATTTCCTTGTGTAGTCTGATTGTTTGGCTGAGGTTAGTCCTAGGAAGGCTTGTTGACAGTTGTGATGACTGGATGACAAATGTTTTGGAAATCTTAGTGGAAGTCATCATCAGGGTCGTCTCAACACCGCTCATGATTTCTTCTATGGTTGTCAAATTGTTAGTCATTACTACCAACAACAGCCCTCCTCATGATGAACCTCTCCTGGACAATCAGACTTCACCACTGAATATCTCTCCCAGGTTCACACCAATCAAACTGAAAGTCAAATGAATTGTAAGACGCACAAACTTTACTATCAAGGAAGAAGGCAACAGAATCAAATCTGTGTCAGCATTAGGGCTTCAATTCCATTCTAATTTTCCTACCAACCTCTCTTGTAGTTCTGAGAAATTTTCTGCCAGATCTGGAATATCAGAGCCCTTCACGTGAATGCGATTTGCCCGCCTCAAAATATTTACCTATAGATATCATTATAAAAAAATTAAGTGAGCATTTAGTTTCACCTTCAAGTGAATTGGCTTTAAAAAAACATACACAAAAAGTGTTAACCCTTAAATGCTCATCAATGACCAAGACAGAATTTCTCCTTACAATATCAAAACAATATCAAGAAGGCAAGTAATAGGAATAAAAATGTCAATTTGGGGATTAAAAGTTGATCCAATTCAAAATTCTCCAAACTCACATCATAACAATTGCATGGCAAGCAGTAAGGAGAATTACTGATAGATCTTGGGAGTAAAAAGGATTAAACTACTGAGAACAAATAAATCATGCATGCTATTATATAGCAAAAATGTACAAAATGTGTTTCACTTAAATTCATCAATGGTTTAAAATTTCATTTCCTTTGTTTTTTTTATAAAACAAAGGAAAATTAAAATTTCAGCTGTACATTAATATTTATAATGATTTTAATGTAATTTATAACATGGGAAAACTTGCCTTTTCTTGATGACGTTCAGCCAATATTTCACTGGATTTCTTTTCATCGACATCACCATTGACATTTTCATTTGTTTGGGAAGCAAAAATTTTAACCTTTGAATCTGACAATGGTTGACTTCCTCTATGATTTTCATCTGTTGGCAAAAATTATGCTTTATAGTTTTGAATTTTCTTTGTATTGTGACTGTCAGCTTCCCCAAAAGAAAGTAATTAACATTGAATAGGATTCACCAAGAACACCTGGTGTTGTACAGTGTTGGAAAGAGAGCTGAAAGCTTGGAACCACACGTGGGGCACCACCACCACAGTCTAACATAGACTATAAACCTTTAACTCTCAAGATCTGAGTGCTAGTTCTCCCCTATTGCTGCTCATATTTCCTTGTAAATTAGTTATGAGAATTTGGTGTTAGGTCAAGATAACAACTTTCACTTAACAAGTTTGATGATTCTCATTACCTGTTTGCCTGATAATGTATGGAAATCATAGGGAGAAGTTATATGTTAATCACTTCTGGGGGTAAAAGGGTTAATTCAGACATAATCAAGCTACTGAAAGAAGTGTCAAATAAACGACATAACTTCACCTGGAGTTGGGTCTCTTCTTCTTTTCTTTTTCTTCTCTTTTATTTCTGAAGTTTCTTCCAGCTTCCTGTATTTTGATTTGATGTCATCATCACTCCTCTCAAGTTCATGGTCTTCACTTAATTGATGGTGTGCATCTTCTGTTCCTTGCAAAGTTCCAAAAAAGTCAAGAGCTTGTGCTGCATTTTCAGTGTCAAGTGAACCTTCACTGAGAGCCTGATGACACATGTTCAAACAGATTATAATTCTCAGAAGTTGAAAATAAAGACATTAACCTTTTGAACCCTTCTGGTGACTAGCATCTAATTTCCCCTTACAGCACCACTCCTGAATCATACATTATTGTTATGAGAAAAATTAAAAATGATCACCAACTAAAGGAGCTCTAGATCGTTAAACAAATTCTCCTTTTCAATACCTTATGAAATGTATAAAGAACAGTTTGGAGAATATACATACTAATGTCTCAGTGTAAAAGTGTTAAATTATGCCTGGGCTCATCATCCTCTTGAGAGATAATTAAAAGATATGCCATTCCCATCCTGTGAATGTTATCTATATGCACTGTGTGCAGCCACCCCCTCAAAAAAGATCTGGAAGGGGGGCTGTATACAAGCTATCCCTCGGCAACAGGTCTTAGATTGGATTATCAATAGAATACATTTGGGACAAGCGCTAGCTATAGCAGTATTTAATTAAGATTAAAATGTTACAGTAAATCAGATTTATGCTTAAAGGGAGCTTCTTTGTGAGGGGACTTATCACGGGAGGGTTTGTAAGCACGGGAACGTAAACGTCGAAGTTCACCGATATTCTTAAATTAACGGCGGAGTGAAGATAGTTGATCTAAAAGTTGTTTATGGAACCCTGACAATATTTGTGCATATTCTTCGCACCCGTGGTATATAGAGGATGTTAACTATATGACAAAGGGGAAAACATTTACAGGCATCGAAAGAAAAGCTTCTGTCGATTTTAAGAAGATATTCGTGTTTTATTTGGATGGAATAAGTTTTATACAAATACACAAGATAACCAAGGTACGTCTAAAGAACCACGTGAGGCTTCGTCGACTCAGTGTGCATCATCTAATGAACATTTAAAAGTAGGTAATTGATAAATTTTAAAAAAAGATGCTATGAAAACTCACCTTAACCCTTTCTGATAAATTTTGATGTTTTCTTTTGTTAAATTTCGCTCCCGCACTCAACCTTCTGAAAAGGTCATACGTATCCACCATATTGGAAAAGAAGTGACAAAGAAAGCGGTAGTTTCTCGTCCATTATCTTCGTTATGTACGGAACATGAATAAGCCCTCTCATCGGGCCTATGGGCTCGCGGTCACCAACTAGTGATTGTCATCGTTAATCTGATACACTATTCAAGAACGTTTATTAGTGAATCTACAGGATCTAGGGTATCCACGGAAAACAAAGGTTCGCACCACGGATATTTCTTTTTTTTTCAATAATTATCAATCCAAGTGCGCTCCCCTTCAGTATTAGACTACGTACGTACAGTCCATCTTTTTCGAAGGAGTCCGTCACGCGAGTCAAAAAAAAAGAAAAACCCAAAAGAAGAAAAACTACTTTTCGTGTGCTACAATCTTAGAGCTTCACGAGGTGCGCTAACATCAATATTTTTCGCCGATCTTTTTTGACTTGCGCGACGGACTTCGCCAAAAAGGAGCGACTGCTCCAAGGTACCAAGCGATCCTGGACACCAAGTGAGAGATCATTGATCTAACACTTGGTTCACGTTCCGGGTTCAGAGTTGTGACACTTGATATGCGTTTAGGGGGCGACGGCCGGTCAAGGTTTTCAAAACACAAAATGATCCGTTTTGATCAGTACATTCCAAATAACCTCAGCTCGGGAAATAATAAAAAACACTTTTATTCCGCGGTATAAAAAGTTGTGTTACATAAATTAATTGTAAAACGTGACAATAATTACTTAGTTACTTATTTACTAGCCCGTTACATCTCATCTCTCTTTCCCTTCTTTCTCCAAAATGAACATAACCCAAACTTATCAACACCAGCGCCAATTTTCTACCGGTATATTAACCTAAGGTGTGCACCTCGACATTCTCAGTAACAAGCCCAAGGGACCGGCCCTGGGTATTTGTCGAACAGTGGAGGGGAACCACTTACGGTCAATGTCCCTTTGAAAAAATTGGTGACCTAGTGTAAGTAGCTACGTTAAGAGTTTTCCTATCTTAAAAAAAATTTCGTCTGTACTTTTTGAAAATTACAAGATGCCTTTCTAAAACGAAATCGTAAAACTTCGGCTTAAAAAACTACTAACTGTGAGGGTACTACTGACAAGCCCCTTTCCAAGGTCTTTTCTGGTCGATCTGATACATCTAATTCTTGGCAATAGAGCGCCGGCACTCGTATGGAAAAATAGATCTATCTGCACCCACATACTTAGGACGTACTTACTTTTTAGGGGGCTAATTATTGATCAATTATTAGAGCAAAATTATTAGATCATTATTAGAGCAAAAAATACACATTCCAACTACATAGATGACAACTAAATTATGCTCGTTAAGTCTGACTGCTTTGCCTATTAAATTTAATCAAATCTGACTTACTTTCCTATAACGGAAAGTAACACATTCTACTCCCCTCCTCCTCCCAGGGGTTTCAATACCTGTTCCCAGAAGCGGACGCTGATGGTATAATAAGCGGCTGTGCCGTGGGGCGAAACTCAAGCACGAGAACCTGCTCGCAGGTTTAACGCCATTCACTCTAACATCAGCACACATATTCTCCATACTATTCTCTAACCATTTTCTAAGGTGCTGACAAGGAGAATTTGCCTAACAATCAAGAGCTTCTTAAGTTGGTGATCAGTTCCTTTATTCTCCTGACCTCAATGTTTCATTCAGGGGTGATATAGTAAGGAGAAATTAGATGCCAGTCACTCTTAGGGGTTAAAGGGTTAAAAGACGGCGATAAGAGGTCTTATGGGTGGTGGTTATCCGCTGGTAACCAGTATTTCCGGCTTACAATGAAACCCCTGCACCTCCCCCCCTCCCCACCAATCAAAAACCGGTATATCTTTTTTTCCGTTCGAATCCTAGAAATAAATTAGATTTCAAAAAGGAAGTAAAAATAACTCTGCAGACTTCCCCTAAAAAGCCTATAGATTTTGAAAAATTATGTTATTTAAATCATAGTCATTGCATTATACGGTTGTAATTCGTATGAATAATAAACAAACAGATTCCACGTTCCCGTGGGCCTGTTCAGTAAATAGGTGACAGACAACAAAATGTGGCACGAACAAAGAAGCGGCAAACGAGGCGCAGCCGAGTGTGTCACTGATGTTCTTACCAATCTTTCACGCCTTATGTCATCTATTACTGTACAGACCCAAGCAAACTTAGAATCAATGTTTGATTTGATAGAAAAAAAAAAGTACAATGTCGTTTACGATGACATAATCTATGCGTCTATCCTCAAACAGATCACAAGTAAAAACCAATCAAAATGCGTGTATGATATAAATTAATCTTCACATTCCTACCGCACTCCTTATTTTTGACCGACGACCGTTCCCTAGGTACAAATTTCTTTCTCTTCCCCAGCGTTCAAAGATGGCACCCATAATTTTCGTTCAGAAAACACTGAGCACTCGCTCGCCAAAATTACGCCTGGAATTTTTGTTTGTTAAGGTAACAAATTCACACTTGTGGAAAACCAGCTGTAATGGTAACATTTCTAGCTGGAATTATCATCATTCTCGTAGCTGCAAGTCAGGTTTTTCTTTGATTTGCTACGAGTATTTTTCGTAATATTTTTATTGAAGGGTTTTATAGGATTTGATTTAAATATATGATTCAAACAATGCACATCACCTAGAGTGCAATTGCGCACCGTCATTTTATCTCATTCTTTCTGTTGCTGAGCGCTATGAGATAAAGTCAAGAAAAACGTGTCTGAGAAACGGACAAAATGAACAAAGCGAGTGAGAAGTCTTGCTCGCCCATTTTGTCAGCCTCGTCTCGGTTCTTGTGTGTTGTAATATCGTTTTCAGGAAACAAAGAGACTGCGATGATTATAACAGAAAACAAAGAGACTGCCAAGATTATAACCGCTAAATTAACGTCGAACCTCCAACGAGAGAGACACTCAACTAGGTCACCTAACAGAGACGGTTACTGTTGAGATTAAACACGGATTGCAGAAAAGGAAGGAAAGGAAAATTTCAATAAGGTTCTAAATTTAATAAAAGCTATGTGGGAATAAATTAGCTAAGAGTAAACTAGGTCTAGATAAAAACTCACTGGTGATTTGTTATTTTCGATTAAGTGTCGTAAGCAAGGCGAGATTGTCGTGGTTCGCCATCCTCTAAAACGATAAGACACAAAAACAGAGGCTCTGTTTTCTTCTTTTTGCGACTCGATCATTCACGTTTTTCCGCGATTGAAGCAGTTTTCTTGTTTTTATTTTGAGATCAGTTTGCCTCCTTGTGATATTTTACTTTCGTCTGATTGGCTGGCGTGATTAGTTTCGGGTTTTACGACACTTAATCGAAATGCGCAATAATTAAAAACCTCACCACACCCCACACCCACCCACCCCCCGTGATAATCATTAAAAATACTTCTTACTGGCAGAGGTCTGTGTATCCAAAACTGGGCTCTTCATCACGTACTCGTACATCTCTTCAAATTCCTCGATGAAATTTTCCGCTAGTTTACCGGGATCAGCAAGGACAGCTTTATCGGACAATACGCCCATGCGCAGTGTACCTGCATAACTGAACACTGCAATGGACATGCCAGTATCACTGACCAATGGGGGCCAAGCTATGGCGGTCTTCACTTCCTTCCCGCCAATTTCAAATGGCGTCAGGGGGCCGGGCACATTGCTCAGAATCAATGAGCAGTGACGCTTCAGCGAAAACGACGAAAAACGGCCAATGAAATCGGGCAATCTCCCAATGATGTGAGAGTAGATGAGCCCGAAGATACGCCAGTCTGACGAAGATTTCAAGTTGTCCATTCTCCGTTTAGTTTCAAGCAAACGCTTGAATGGGTCAGCCAGTCCCACGGGAAGGTTGTAGAACAAGCCAGTCGAGTGATTCTCGAGCGGTATGTTGTCACGCGACAGGACCTTAGGGGAGCGCGTGTTGATGGTGATGGCGATCTGGATGTCATCTGGGTGTTTTGAACCCTGCGATTTGAGGTAGCGACGCAACGAACCCGCCAAACAGGTTGAAAGAACATCATTGACGGTCGTTCCTGGGTAGAAACGCGAAGTAATATGATCAGAGAATTTTTCAATTTGAAGGTCGAAAATAATCCGCGATTGTATTGGGTTTGCTACTCATTTCTCTGTGATTGATCCAGAAACTCGTTCCACTCTCTTAACCTTTTTACACCCTTACATCAGTATGCACATTCTCCCTACTGTTCTCATTACATTTCCTACCGTGCTGACAAGGAGAGTTTGCTGAACAATCAAGAGCTTTATTAGTTGGTGATCATTTCCTTTACTCTCATTACCTTAATGTGTGGTTCAGGAGTAATATTGTAAGAAGAAATTAGATATTGGGCGACAGTGGGTTTTTGGTGTAAATTAACTTTTCCCCAGCGTTAGCCATGAGATTCTTGACAACGGTTTAGAAAAAAAGTGTTGAGCGGAGTTGAAAATGGATTAGAACGCAGATTTGATGAACAACGGTTTAACTCAATTTTGATAAATATCCTTATATTTCTGCGACCGGTATTTCTTGGCTACTAAACCCGTCCCTTCTGATCGAGAGCATAGAGCAAGCTAAGGCAATGGAAATAAAACTGGTATGCTATTACGGAGTATTGCGATGTGGATTATTAGTGTGCTTATTCGCGTGTCCATTCGAACGCGAGGTGAGCGCGAAGAGGGAGTCATGCGTGATGGATATACCGATAAACATCATCTTAATTTAGACAAAAAAAATTTAAAGCTACATCACGTGTCGTACTACATCAAGCGAGAAACGCACGTGGGGGAAGAGCCTCTCTCTCGCGCTGACCAACCCTTTGCGTTTTTCTCGCTATAGCATCGCGCTTTCCTCTGCTAGCACGAAAAACGCCAAAATATAACCCTGTTCTGCAAGCTTCAAATGTCATCCGGCAAAGCCGATCACCTCAATGTCAGAAATGAAATATATTGAATTGTGTATGTGTTACCACCTGTTCGTGCCTTGATCTCCTTCACCAGCTCCAAGTCAATAGTCTTTGTCCAGCTGAAACACTTCTCACCCGACATCTTCGTAGCTGGGAAGGGATTGTCAGCTGTGGAGAGTGCTACACTCAGAAGAGCTAACGGACCTGTTAGAATTGCTTTCCATACCTACAAAATAAAAAGGCGAAGAACAGGATAGATTTCAACACGTATCAAAAGCAAAGTATGATGGCAATAATGTTTTGTACCTTGCCCCCCTTTCACAAACATTAGAGCTATCTAAACCCCTTAATCCTTAAGAATGACCAGCATCTAGTTTCTCCTTACAATAATAGTGCCTAATCATTCATTTCAGATCATGAGAATAAAGGAAATGATCACCAACTAAAGAAGCTCTTGATTGTTAAACAAATTCTCCTTGTCAGCACTTTAGTAAATGTATAGAGAACAGTATGGAGAATATGAATACTGATGTTAGGATGTAAAGGGTTAAATTGATTGTCGAGAGTAATCCCAGATTGCTTTAATTTTGCTTTACTTCGCTATGTGTTCAGTTTTTGTTTTCAATTCGAGTCCTAAATTAGTGCAGGTAATTTAGTGTTAACAACTGGGTTGAAAACGTAAATTAGCCACCGTAAAGGGTAAAAAAGCTGACGTTTCGAGCGTTAGCCCTTCGTCAGAGCGATAGTGCTAAATTAGTGGTTTCTCTAGATATTTGCTTTTATTTGAATTGGCAAGTATGTAAAACTTTGCTGGTTTAACGACAGACGAAAAGAGCTCCAAAAAACTGGTGGATCTCTATGTAGGGCCTTTTGCCAGGAGAAGACACCGTCACCTAGATCGTGTAAAGCCTACAAGCAGGCCCTCATTTTTAACACAGCACGACGCGCGTTTCACCGCCTCCGGGAAGATTTGAGACGTGTCGAGGAGAGATTTGTGGGGTCTGGCACTGATGATGCTAATAGCGCCAGACTCCTTGCAGGACCTCTCGCCGACTCGCGTTGTTCAAGGCTTCATACTTTCCCGCAGGCGAAGAAACACTCGTGCCGAAGAGTTAATTTTGAGGGCCTGCTCGTAAGCTTGACTAAATTTCTCTATCTCAGGGTAAAACCTGTTTTACCTGTTTTTGTTTGTCGCATGGAGTGGCCACGGGTTTCTTGACCCGCAGCAGCTCTGGCTTTTTGTCCATGAGCCTGGCGAACAGACCGATCATAGCAAAACCGTCTCCTATTGCATGATGGATTCTTATACAAATTGCAGTCTGATCTTTTCCTGGGAGGTCTAGAGGCGTCACTAGGATTTCCCAGGGAGAAATATCTTCACGCATCGGTGATGAAAAATTTTCACCAAGCATTTTCTGCAAATCTTCTTCGCTACGCGGGCCACCACCTTCTAATCGCCTAATGTGCTTTTTGATGTCAAAATCCGGCTCGTCTTGCCAAATGTAACGCCAGTAACGTTGAACTATACGTTTGCGCATGCGTACGTAGCTAGGTTCCTCGACATTTTGTACTACACGGGACATAATCAGTTGACGGAACTCTTCCATATCAATCGTCCCATCAACGACAAACAGGCCATTGATAAAATTACGGTTGTACTCGGTCTCGTGAAGAAAGGGTACATCATGACAAGCCAATAATTTCCCCAGTCCCCAGTAAGTAATACAAACCCCTTGGAACCATTTCAGAATTCTGAACAAGAACCAAAATGGCAGCGCGAGGATAGCAAACAGAGTCCAAACCAGGATAGCAGAGAAGCATAACAAGGCGTAAAGAAAAGACGGAGCAGACTCCATGTATTTCCAATAAAGATTCATGCTGGGAGTGGTGTTAGACTCTGATCTTCAAGCATTAGCGTTTAGCCCACTCCTGTCAAAAAGAAAAACAAAATGATAGATCTCGCATGCAAATAATCCCATCCAGTTGCGTGTAAAAAAAAAAAAAAAAAAAAAAAAAAAAAAAAACCAACACCAAACTAATCACAACCAATCAGAACAAAGGTTAACCCTTCAACCCTAAGATATCATTAGTAATTCTCCTCACTGTCTGCTATACAATTCTCATGATGTTACCTCCGAGAATTTGGTATTGGATCAACTAGTAATCCCCTAATTGATACTTTTCTCGGTTCTCATCACTTGTCTTTTTGATTCTGTATTGATGTTGTTAGGAGAAATTCCGTCTTGGTCACTCATGGGAGTTAAAGGGTTAACATTTACTAATGAGGACTTAGAGTATAACGGCAACCCGCTTGAAGCGCGGGAAAACGCGAATGACCAAGTTGAGATCGGTTGTAGTTTTCGCACTTGATTGGTCTAGACGTTGACGAGAATTTCCGAACTACCGTTGCCTCATTTTCAAAGCGAGTCCTGGTGCTCATCCTTTCATATGATTATAAGTTATTTCATTCACATGCAAATTAAACTCATTTCCGTGCGAATGGTTGAGCACCTGGCCTCGTTTTGAAAAAGAGGCAAAAGGTAATTCGGAAATGGCCTATTAACCCTTTAACCACTAAGACTGATTAGTAACAATTTTCTCCTATCAGTATCAGCCCTAAAGCAAACATTGAGGTCATGAGAATAAAGAAAATGATCACCAGCTAAAGACGCTATTGATTGTTCAGCAAATTCTCTTTGTCGGTACCATAGAAAATGTATAGAGAACAGTAAGGAGAAAATGTATACTGATGTTTGGGTGTAAAGGGTCAAAGTTTAGGGTTAAGACTCTCCCGGTCTTCTAATTCAAATGCAACAAACTGATCGGTTTCGCTACTCGCTAACTATTCCGTGATGTCCTGTTCCTGTTCCTGTGATGTTCCTGTCTTGTTGTTAAGTTTTGAACGACTGTTAGATTTATACCAAAACGGTTACATTATTCAATTTTGATTTCTATGCGTGATAGTTCTTTCGGGTTTCACCCTGGCAGGAACCCATTACCCTGACCCTGGTCAATTATCACGCGATATTTTATAAAGCGTGATAAAATAACGCGTGCTGAGATATAACAAGCGCCCTAATTGGGTAAAAACCTATCGTTTACTTCACCGCTTTAACACTTAGAAAAATTGAGACATACGGTGTTGATAAGGAGAATTTGTTAAACAATCACGAGCTTCTTAGGTTAGTGATCATTTCCTTTGCTCTCGTGACCTTGACGTGTAATTCAGGGGTGATATTGTACGGAGAAAGTAGATTCTAGTTACTTTTGGGGGTTAAAGGATTGAGGTAATCTCCTTCAAAAAGCTCTCAAGAGCTGCTGATGTCATCCTGCGATTGAATAATAAGCAAGAGAAGAGTAAAGCGATGCATGTAAGAAAAGAAAGAGAGCAAAAAAAAATGATTAACTCACCTAAAATATTCATATACAAGAATGTAAGGAAGAATTCTCGCACGAGATGCCATAACTAGTCCACGTTAACAAAATCTATGGAAATTCAACCTCTAAAAAATCACTTGACAACCGAAAGCCTTTCGCAGTTCCCTTGAAGGGCCACAAAATAATTTCCAGAGTACAGTCATGTAAATTTAACGACGGCGTTGAGGTGCTCTTGAACTTTTGACCGACAGTATATTTGATTATGGCGGTGCGTGTTTCCAGCCTGACCACAATGCAAATACATACTTAACGCAAATAAGAAAAGTCTAGAAACATTCTCAAAAAGGGTGAGGGTTTTATCGAGTACAACACCTTTAAACAAGAACATTTGTTGTCCCAAAGCATTCGATCTGGCTGCCAGTCACAGTCCGCATTTCCGTTAGCAGACCTCTACGAGATATCCGGTGCATATGGAGCCATTCTAAGAACTGTGCTCCGCAGCATTTTTCGACACAATTACTGATTCTTTTAGTTTTCCCATTGCTGCGTACTTTCCTTCTAGTGTGCACGATGGGCGCTTTAGAAAAGAACGCGAAGAACTTTTCTCGCAATACTTTATCAACCGGCCGGTAAATGACACAAAATGACCTCAACCTTCAATCATACTGTGTTCATTTTACAATAAACTAGACACGAATATTGGTAACTGTGGTCAAAATAACTTGCGTTTCTTTTTGTGGCGTCTATGTACGTTTCACTTTCCCTGAGCTTTCGATTATTATAAAAATCAGTTTCTGAAACTTGGAATATCATAAATGACAACAGTTGGATTAAGATTCAAACAAAATTAGGCATATTTCCTTCTGAGAAAAAAGCCGGCTATGTTAAAACACACGTCGCTCGAAATACATCAGCCCTAGCTTCCTTTTTACAGTTTTTCTCGGGACCAAGACAGATAATGTTGTTTAATTTTTAACTAAGTTACGACATGCCAACACACATCCTTCGTCACGCCTTAATGCTCAATGTAAAAAGTTACGGTTTGCTAAAAAAAAGATTAGGGATCTTCGTAACACTTACTGGTTTTAGTAATGAAGTCCAAATTATTTGAACAACTCTCTCAAGATCTGATGATTCGGACTGTTTTTAGTGGCGAATGTTACAGCCAAGAAGTGAATGCACTCTGCATCACCGCTCGCCGAGCTATGCTATTTCCTCGCTATCACGTGATTTTAACTTCCAATCCTAGTAAATTCACACAATTTGATCCTTTAACCTCGACCGAATCGGTGATGAAAGATTATCAATTTTCACGGATGCAAAAAAAAAAAGGCTTTCCGACAGGTTATATTTACCTCATCACCTTATTCGGCAAATTACAGAAACAGCGGAAACACAAGTACCATAGAACCACAAACTACTTCTGCAAGAGTTTGCTAAATAAATACTGCTTCACGGGGCTGTATAACCACTGCCAGGTATTAAATTTCACTCTTTACTTAAACTTTTCTGCCTTATGATATAATTATTACTGTTTAAAGCTGTTCTGTAGAACCAAAATAGGCCTCAACCCTTGAATGTCCAAGATCCAATAAGTAATTCTCGCTACTTACAACAATACTTTTCCCTGTAAATTAAGCAGGAGAATTTGGTCTATTTCCAAAATAACACCCTCTTGCTGATAAGCTTCTCTGTTCTCATAACCTGTTTACAAGACAACTTATAGGAATTGCAAGGAGAGGTTACATGTTGATCACTTCTGGGAGTTGAAGGGTTACCTCTTGAGTTTAAGGTGTTACTTGAAAATTTAAAAAAAAAAATTTATTTAGCTGAGGAGGGGGGAGGGTATTTCTCCCTTTCCCCCCTCCCTTAACTGCACTAATGGACATATGTTGACAACTCTATCAGAAATACATGTCATCAATTCTCTAACAATAACATTTATCCTACATAACTTTGCATAGGGTGCTGAAAAGAAATATTCACAAAAAAAAAATTCATATCAGAAAAAAATTACTTCTTCAGAATTTCTTGGTTTTAACTGACCAAAACCTGTCAATAATTCTTCCTTGTGTAAAACAGTCAGCTTTCAGTACAGAGTAAAATGGTTTCTTCCTTTATTGGCAAAGGAAGTGGAACTCAGAAATGTCTGTTCATTCAAATCATAACAGATGGCCTGTTCTGATGCTCTGCCAGTGAGCTACAAAGAACTCTGTGTTAACCCTTTTTAACTTAACATCAGTATTCATATTCTCTGCACTGTCCTCTCTCATCTCCTATGGTGCTGACAAGGAGAATTTATTTGTCAATCAGGAGCTTCTCAATTTGGTGATCACTGCCATTATTCTCATGACCTTTATGTTTGATTCAAGGGTGTTACTGCAAGGAGAGATCAAAAGCCAGCTACCCCTTGGGGTAAGGCTTTCAAAATCAGTCCAACAAATTTTTCAATTTTTTTAAGAAACACCCTTTAGAAACATTTTTGCTGATATGGGAAAAGCAAGAAAACCTCCATAAGAATAATTAGGTACTTAAGTGTATGACAGAGTGAATTGAGCTATGAACAGACATAATACCATGAAGAATTTCATATCTACATTAAATATTCCATCTCCTACTTTTGTGAATTTTGTTTTTCATTCAATAGATTGGAACTGGACTTGATGCCATGCAATTGGGGAGAATTTTTCTGCTGATAAAAACAGTTCATGAGAGAGGACTATTCTTTGCAATACGGGAGAAAATTCAAAGCTTCATTGAATAAATCATCAGAAGCAGGTGCACTTTATTGGTTTTTATTATTAGGGTAATCCAGGCTTAAAATAATTTCACATGGAATTGCACATGGAAAGAAATCTAATGCAAGCATTTCATAAAAGACCTGCCTGGCCTTTGAGGCAAATCATTCAAAGTATTCATCTCCCATCAAGATATTATTTTGACTATAGAGTAAAAATCTCTGTCTATCCTGGCCAATGATCCTATTATTGTGTTTAATGTTTTTACATTTAACATCAAGGCAAAGATAAGTCTCTAAACAGATATTCACTGTAAAGTATGCTTGCTGGAACTGATTACTCAACACTTCATTAAAAGGAAGGTGGTAAGTGGTTTATATGTGATGCTTGATTAAGCCAAAAATCAGTGTGTGACATGCGGATTTAACAGAAACGCAAGGTTAGGCAAAAGTTCAAGTTCTCCCTTTTAAATTCATGATGCATGAAATAATGTTTAAACAACACCTGATGGGTGAATATTTCTTAAATTCATGCATGAAATGGGATCAGGATCATCTTCACGATGACTCAAACTCTGAAATCATCCATGCGATTATCAAGTGAACCCATTTTTCAATCACTGTGACAAATGAAAAAATTTCTCATGCATAGTACCATAATAAATCATATTGTTGTCTGCTCACTGGTGCTGAAAATAATTATTCTCTTGTCTTGCCAAAAAAGGTTGCTACTAATTAAGAATGTAAACATCGTTATGACAT